CCTTGCTCGCCTCTCTCTCTCCTTTCTTCTCCCTATTCTCCTTGTTCTCCTTGCTTTCTGACGGGCCTTCCTTCACCAGGGGCTTCTTCTTTCCCACCGTTTCCCATGAGGTCTACACACAGAAAAGAAATGGGATGACAGAAAAGAAATAAAACACAGAAAAAGTATAACACACAACATCAAAACTAAACCGTGTGCAGGACTAGCAATAGTAAAAACACAACAGCAGTAAAATAAGGGATCAATACACACAATGCATTGTAGTAAGCAAAACAGGTAGAGCAGCTTTCATTTTAAAAAGGACATCTTTGCCTCCACTTCAGCTACATTTCAACTCGTATCAAGTAGAGGTAGCCTCTGGTGCTTTGCAGTTGGATGATAACCACATTTGAACTCATGTACTACCCCAAATATTATATCACACCGTATAAACATTGGTGGAAGAAGTTCCAGAGGAAGAGTTATGGCAGCTATTTTTGACCAACTTAAGTAGTGACGTGTACACTATGCAGCTGTGTTATGTAAGAAAAACAAATAAAATTGTGGCTTGTTACTGCAAGATTCTTTAAATCAAATGACTCAGAATGAGATTAAGGTTAAAAAAAGGATTTAAAAACAACATACTGATTATAAGTATACCGTCACTTTAATTAGTGTGTTAATTGTTTAATAGGTCGATCTTCCTTTATGCTATACCTACACTTAGAATATAAAAAACTCATTCAGTACCCATTCCTTTTGTTTATGACGGTTTAAAATGCAAAAAGTACAGCAGAAGCAGATGTAATCAGAAGATTGCAATATCTACCATAACAGTAGAGTCATCCATGTAAAGGGGAAAAACCAGCTATTTCCTATTTTTGGACTTCCATGAAACAAAAACAACAACACGGGTAGCTGTCTGGCTGGCTGCCCTGCCCTACAGCCTCTCCTCACCATCTGTGCAGGCTGGTATGCTTCAGAAATGCGAGGACACTGACTCGAACTCACAATGCAAAGGCCGAACAACACCCAAGTGTTTGCTAGATATTTGGTAGCCTGTTTGACATAAGTCTCTGCACAATAGTGTGGCTTCACCCTAGCCCAAAAGCCCCTGATGTGAAATCAACCCAGCGATCACCAGGGCAAAGAACAACTCAGTTATGTGCCAGATTATTCCATTTTTTCTCAACTTACTTTTACATATTAAAGTAAAAGCAAACAGAAATATAAAATATCTTAGTCTACGCTTTTCCCCCCCTCGCCTGACAGGCACTCTACACAAGCCAATCTTCAAACTTGAGCTGTTTTCTGTTCTGTTCTTTCTATCTAATGCATATCTGACAGAATAGAGATGACTCTATTTTAATCAGTACAGCTGTCTTCACAAGCCACGCAATGGCTCGTATTTCTCTGGAAGCGTGCGTGACCATTTTACAAGTGAAACAACAGAGACTGTACTGGACGTGCTGCTTTCACTACATAAACTGTGTATACCCAGATATGCAGAAACTGTTTTTCTGAAGTGTAAATATTAGATCACAGGTCCCACACACACCTGCTTTTCAGTTATTCCGGCTAATTTTACTGCTGTACTAGTATTACTGTGAGGTAACCAAATTTCTTGCATGAATAATAAATATAAATATTTCAGTTTAATAAATATAAATTCTAATACAGTAGATACAGGTGCAGCTAAGGATAGTCATTGAGATGTCAAACATAATGTGTGAACTCATACCCAGCCCTGTAAAAAGTCTAATCATAAACACTGGCATGTGAGGCATTTAAAAGTACACAGTAACACTCATACAACTCTCCTATTTATTAACTCTCATGAAAACATAAAGGAATTACAGCAGTAACACCCCATAACATTCACTACCCGGTGTTTGTAAATTTGTCATTGGCATTTAATTAGATTTGTGGTCAAACACATACAACGTATTGTAAATGAGGGCCTAATTTCTAGTCAGTTCATGCTGTTGTCTTTATCCATACATTACTCAGGGCTGCTGCACATTCTGCGTTCCAAGCTAATGAAAGCTATTCACAATATCTGCAAGAGCAAATCTACAAGTGTGAAAGTAAATGAGTCGCTTCGACTGTCAGACGAGATTAAATGAGCTGTCATTTACCATGTCCGAGGTGCTTTCCAGGAGGAAATTGATGGCTCTGCTTACATCCTCATTGCAGTCATGAAGCGCAACCATACACTCATCTTGGTTCTTCCCCGTCACCTCCATCAGCTGTGGGAAGCAAAGAACGCGCATTATTAGACGCGTCTGCCAGTTAACAAGGCGTATGATGAATGACAAGATGCATAATGTAGAGCTGCTGGAACCAAGAAAGAACAAGAAAAGCTGCCCGAACTCAGCCTATTAATTAGACATGAGCCTTTTAACCATGCAAGTTTTCTTCACCTGGTTAACTTTGTCCTCAAAGTCGGCATCGCTCTTGTCATAGATCATCTGGGCAAGCCTGATCTGTTCAGCAGTAGCCTGGACCAAAGAGACAATAGGACGATTGGGGAACATTTTGGTTAACAGGAGAAAAAAGAAAGAATGAAGAATGCATATCATATAAAGGATAAACAAAATTCTTTGCTTGGTTTTTATAATCTAAAAATCACTGACAATAGGAGAAATGGTCACTGAGCAAGTGCCTGCAGCTGTCACCATTAAAAGCAGGTGTGCTGTCTAGCTGCAATCAAACCATAAACAACCAAAAACATTCTTTTCAATTGCATTGTGGTTGATTTCTGTGATTCATAGAAGTTGGGTTTCAGATTATTTTTCTCCACGTTGATGTGGTTACAGTGGCTCACCTGTATCAGTTTCTGTGGTTGTGATGTTTGAGTGGCAGCTGGCAGCGCTTTTTCCCGAGGGCCCCGGGCCTTGTCGCTGCCCAGCGAGCTCATCATATACAGTATATACAAAACTCTGTATGTACAAAATAGAAAAATCTGCAAAGGGAAACAAGAAAGATGAAAGGATAAGTGAAATCAACGAACATCAGTGTAAATTACCAGTACAGTCACAACGCTAAGACTCACTACTTTCCTTTGTGTGAGTTCATAGAAGTGTTTAATACCAGAAGTATGTGTTTTGAGCAGGGCTAAGCCTTATTGCACAATCATGAATACTGGCCTTATGGAGGCTGTAAGACACACAGTTGGCCTGGTGATGCAACAGCTTTGCCGCAAATCTGGGTCAAGGAGGTAGAGCGACCCAGTGTCCTCTTACAAACAGCACAGACCACAATGTGTGTGTGTGAGAAGCAGAACAAACACTACACACCCTGTCCCCACATCCCCTCTTGTTGCTAGATAGTTTAAAGCACCTGGCTCAAAGCTACTCATACTTTCGATGGCAAATATTAAACACTTCTCTCATTACCACATGCACACAAGTGGGCTTAATTCACCTGCAAAATGGATGGAAAATGTGATTGCTTAGTGTTTGGTCCTGCAACTTGAATAGCAAACTTTGACTGAAGTTCCCATCAGTCGAATAACAGACATTCCCACTGATCCATTTGTTATGTCAGAGAACAATAGCAATCCAGCTTACAGTGTCTGAGTGACGCTGGCAAATACAAAGCTGCCATTGGCTGAACAAATCTAATGCACAAGGACAAACAAGCATTAAATGCCGTTTAACTGAAAAAAAAAAGTCAAAATCTTTATGTCACTGAGAATCTAATGCAGCCGCAAATCACATCAAATGAATCAATGACAACATATCAGTGCAATTGCGAGTATCGATGGTCTAAGACACAAACAATAACAAAACAATCCGTCTGCACACCTCAATTGCTGTCACATTTGTTTGGAAATTCAGAAATGACAGATCAAATAAGAGCTAAGTTTCACGTACATGTGCGTTTATGTATATTGACATTTCATAATTCTTATAATTAGCCACAGATTATGTTAGTAGTATAGAAAGCGGAGCGTTGTTGTGAGCCAATGCTAACGTTAGCCAATTACCGCTATGTTACTTATTTCTTAAGTGTGTGATATGTTGTTGTACGGTTACAGATAAAGGTCCATATAAATCTATCAAAAACCAAACAAATTCCTGTACCGTCGTTTTTAACTCAACACTGACCGACTTTGTGCTGTTGGTACTCCGGTCCCCTTTGTCCTCGCTAGCATGAACTGAAGTTAGCTACCAACATGCTAATGCTGACACTGAAGCGTCGATAGTGAACAAACGATGCGGTGGGAATGCAGCTAGCTAGCGATGCTATCTAAATCTGGTCCAAGTTGATAGCCAGCGGCCGTCAAACTGGCTCGTTAAAGTCTTCTATGCACTTAGAGGTTCGCACACTTGTCTAGCGATTGTGGCAGAAACACCAGACGTGTCTTTAACATCTAAATTACAGGCTAACCGGCTAACAACAAAAGGTGTCTCGAATCTGAAGAAAAGGCCTCGCAGCGGAGCACAATCCCATCCCGACATTGCTCGCCGGGAAACAAGACAACAGAAAAATTGCGAAAGACATCCTTCACAAGCCCGTCTGAGCGAAACAAAGAAGCTCGCGACCAACTGTTTCGGCGACAACGCGATTATGTGTACGGCCTAAAGGCGACGAAATACGTAAAGTAAAGTTGAAAAACATTAGGAAATTAGTGTTTTTATTACCTGCTAACACGCTTCACTCGGCCAGCAGCAGACAAGATGGTCACGTGACGTGCGCTGCCGCGGTAGATGCTCGGCTCTCGTCTCCAGGTCACAACTCTTTACACCGAATGATTACTACCAGCGACGTGCAGCTAAATCAGGATTTACATTTTATATATTTTTTTAAATTTTATATATATACTGGTGTGCTTATTTAGAACGCACACAGCTCCGTATTTCTCCAGCATATGATCACAATGCAGACTGCACTCCTACTGACACACAGACCTTTCTGTCCTGAGAACGACCAAATGCTTGGAGTGACCCACTTTCATTCAGGAGACAACCTCCAAACTGGATAAAAAAAACAATGTCAGGCACGAAACCAACACGTTACATCAATATACATTTTATTTGTATTATTTACTCCTTTTAAAGATTTAATAGCTTTTTCCCAGATGTTTATATCTTACAATATCCTCAGATTCAGTCATTTGTAAAAACATTCATGAGGCATGTATAAAAAAAACAGGGCATCACCAAGTCGACAGGTCAATCCACACACTTTCTCAGACATATACATAAAAATGTATGCAATTGTCCCTATGTATTTTACACATACATATACACATTTATATATAAAATACACTTTAAAAGTGTTGGTTATTTGTTCAATTTGTGGTCCTAATTGGGGTTTCTCTTTTTCAACCTATCATCATGAAAACTGGAGAAAAGTTCCATGTAGAAAAGGAAAATGATGATCGCCTGTGGCAGTCTTTCACAGAAAGACTCAAGGAAGGCAAAAACGGAACTCAAGCCTACCCTGCCTCTGCCGAACAAGGAAAAGAGCCGAATCGCTCACTCCTTGGTACAAAACGAGGAGAAAAAAGAAAAAAAAAGGTTTTACAACTGTGACAACAAATGTATGTGCCTGTAGCATTTAACTCCAGGGTAGAGTCCAAAAAATTCTCATTAGTTCTCCCTGCATCCTTCTGGCTGGATGGCTGAGAGGATCAAACTGAGCTACTACAGGTCTTCTTCCCAGTTCTGGTAGAGGAGTCGTGAGGGGTTTCAATCCAGTACATAAAGGCTCCTCTATCTATCTATCTACTGTCTATCTATCTATCTAACTATCAATCAATCATTTGATTATGTTTAACTTGCAACCAAAACTTCAAATTTGGGGGTAAATTGTCTCGTAACACCAGAGCAGTCACTGATCAGGACTGGAACACAGTCAATGCAAACGCTAAAAAGCATTCTGGTCAAAGACAAGCAAAATAAAAAAAATAATTAAAAAAAAGAGCAAAAAAATGAAACAAAAAAGAACAATCAAACAATTCAACCCTCAAAATAAGCAGATATAAACACTCCTGACCAGCCAAATAAAAGTGACGGAAAAGGTGAAAATAAATACAAATAAAGCAAATTAGAATATGGGCAGGAGTATGCCTGTCCAATCACACGGTCAAAAAATAAAATATGCTTTTTTTTTTGGGAGGAGGGGGGGATTAATTCACAGCAGAACAAAAACACTGCATTTATCAATCTTAATGTTTCTCCTTTACATTATCTCAGTAAGGATAAGATTAACACAAAGTCCCATATTGATTGGCTTCTTTGTTTTACTTCTGACAGGAGAAGAGAGAAGTTCTTTGAGATTGTTGCGGGCTGTTCCAACGAGTAAATATTCAAATGTCAAACTGCACTCCAGCTCAGTCCTTCAAAATTAAATGTCTCTTCAGTCCTTCTTCCTCTCTCGCTCTCTTTTTATTGCTGTCCATTTAAGTGAGAGAATGAAAAGGAACTTTCGGGAGAGAATTCCACAAGTTTTTCCACAAAGACGCTGTCATTTATCACAGAGTAAGCAGCGGTAAACACTATCCTTACGTACAAAAACAAGCCAGCAAAAGACCAGAGCCTAATCCCTGCAGGTTGGATGTAAATGTTTTCAATAATGAGAACACATGTAACTTTATTCTTAATGTTTTTCCAAAACTCTTCTGAGTTCCTCAGTGGCAGACTTTGCAGCTCTTGAAAATTATTGGTTAATTGTTTGTACATTTTTATATATATATATATAAAAAAAACTAAGTAGCTGAGGTGAAAGGTGCAAAGGGATAGTTAGAGAAGAAGGGATAGTGTAATGGTGGACACAAATATACACAACAATACTGAAAGCCGTGACACGCTGAGTGAAAAATCATGCTCCTGAGTCCATGTGAGAGCAAAACAGAGTGATAACTTAGTGAGCAAGAGGGATACCAAGGACAGTGATGCCGATGAACTCAAAGAGGGAGAGGGATGGCGGGGCTGGTTAAGTAAAGGTCTGGACGAGGATGTAGTGACAGAGCGATGGAGGAGGAGGAGGAGGAGGAGGAGGAGGAGAGGCTAGCTCCACAGTCCTGCGTAGTTGCCGTGCAGGCCAGAACAGAGTGGTCCACCTGCTACAAACAGCTTGGTGCCGGAGTCGTCATAGCAGTGGGTGTACACTGCGTTGGGGAAGGAATGAATGTCTGAGAAGTAACTCCTCCACGTCTCATCGTGATTCTGGAAGCAATGCAGAGAGTAGCAGAGAGACAATATGGGTTAGGAGAGACAAAAGGAAACATTTGTGATAGCATATCTAATCTTGAAGTACAGTGCGACTATGGTGGTGCTGAATCAACTACAGTTTACTTTTAATAAAGGCGACATTCACAAAAAAAGAAAAAAAGTGTACCAGCCAGCCTTTTCCTGTCGTGAGCTTGAGGATGCCATCTCCAGGGCACTTTCGATATCCTCCGGTGGGACTGAAAGGGTTCTCCAGGAATCTCTGAGCTCGGATGTCGTAGAAGAGAAGAGAACCATGGCCAGTGCCCACCGTCACAATGTGCTCATAGAAACTCACCGAACGGATCCCTGTACAGACACAGATGTGTTAATGCAAGTTTACTCAAAAGTAAATAAATACTCTCCTCTCCTCCTTTGTGCTTTCTAATTTAAAACTTGACTCTTTTGGAGTTGCTGTATCACTGTCTACCCACACAGATCTGAGACATACGAAACCTTTGAAACAGAGAAATTATGCTGAAATTACCCATCAAATTTATAAAACTGTTGCTGCTTTTATAATATGGACTGTAAATGTCTTTTAGCTACCATGGAAAAGACTTGGAATCACAACTTTGTAAGGACTTAATTCTACAGCAGTGAAAGAAACTAGGCTGCACAGTCAAAAGATGGCAAAATCGGGTATGTTAACATTCCAGAGCACAAAGTAGAAGAAGCCGAAAACAAAACCAGGGGTGTGTTTCAATACCCATACTACCATGCTATATATAGTATGTCAGAAAGAGACAGCGAGTATGTCCCAATACACTGTACATCAAATGCAGTGCGACAAAAATACCAGGATGTCCTACTACATCTGGTCTCCTTTTGTAGTATGCCAGCATGCTTTTCTGGCCATGCTGACTCACAATTCTCTGCGCAGCTTAAGATTCGTCACATATGTCACAGCGTCTCGCTTGAGTAACAAGCCTGAGCTGCAGAGAACGCACAAACAGGTGACTTCACTCCACAGACTGCGACAGATGTAGGAGCAAAGCTTAAGACAGAATAATTTGACAAAGTAGTATTCACCAATTGTTTGCAAGCTGCATGCAATAGTATGTACTTTCTAAGGCTACTGTAGTATGTATTGAAAGGAAAAAGAAAAAGTATGTGATTTGGAAAGCAGAGCAGAGCTCAACAAAACCTTAAAGAACAAACTTTGGTCATCTCTGGGAGAAAAGTGAGAGAAAACTTCAGGAGTTGTTTTCAGCTGATATTGACCATGTTTCATGCTGTCCAAAGGCACATTTTCTAATTCATAATCCTTTCACATTCCTGCCACACTCCTGAATTTCCCCAAAGGGATGAATAAAGTATCTATCTATCCTTGCATGACAGTCAAGGTTTTAATAGTATCTCATGTGGTAACGCTCCACTATGTTTTAAATCAATTGCACAGTAAATACAGGACTTAAGCTGGACTTCAGAAAAAAACACATTTCAAATTAAATCGAAATCGGACTCCATTTATGACAAAAATTACAATTACATTGTTTCACCCTAACCATTCAACCCTACTGATGAGTAATATGAGCTCAATATTTGCAGTATTCAGTGTTTCAATCTTCCATATGTACATGAATTCCTCAAAAGCCACCTCAAAGGAATGCAAAAATGTTTTTACAAAGTTGAGGATTTATATTTTCTACTATTATCATTAATGTTTTTGAATACAAGACTTTAAGATGCATATAAAAATACATTATGGAACCTCGGCTACTGACGAGTGTTCTTTTAATATGTAAACACCATTAAGTATTTTAGGTAGGTCAGCTGCTGTCTGCTTGTATTATTAGCTTCTTTTGGAAGTTTTGCAGGTCACTTACCGCTTCCTCTCTCTCTGGAATTAACAGACTTGATGCTGTGTGTAGGCTGCCTTGGATCCAGAAAGGAAACATGGGCCTGAGAACCCACAGCATACACCGACCAGTCCTGCCCATATGCCAGGCACACATTCTCTTTGCAGTGAGGCAGCTTGGTGGACAGTATCTAGAGGCAGCAACACGGAATGTTAAATGGTGAGAATTATAGCTGCCAACACTGAACAAATTAAGTTTCTTCTTTGTGTATCACTCAAGTGTGAGTATGAGCATCGATCAAGTTCTATCAAGGATAACCTCACTCTGAAACTCTAAAGTGTCAGAAAATATCAAATTTGAAAAATATTTGCTGTTGTAGTGGAAAGCTGATCATATCTGTAACATATTTTTGTACCAAAAACAATTATTATATCATGTATTGTACCTTGCACAAATTATGCTCAGCTTTCCACAGGTGGAAATAGCCGTCCAAGGACACAGCACCCAGTTCCTGAAAAAGCAAAAACAACAGAGAAAGCCAAGACATAAATGATTGAAGCTGAGGCGAGTGGAGGAAGAACCCAGAAACAGCAGTACTGCTACTCTGAGATGAGAAACTCAAGTGTTTGGTTTCAGAACAGCTGATTTAACACAATCAACACTGAAAATGTTTACTGAGTTAAACATGTGTCTAGCGAATGCAAAAAAAAAGCCACAGTCAGATCTTTGACAATATGACACACCACGGCAACAGGTAAATAAAGAGAAGAGCTACATTTTAATCTCGACAGTACAAATATTAATGTGTTGAATTAGAAAAATAATAATACACTTAAGGAAAAGTTTATTTACAATTATGATTTCACCTCATAGTTTCCATGGTAAAAATTATTTGGGTGATTTGAAGTAGAAAAGGCAAACAACTTAAGACTGCAAACTAAACTAAAACTCACGTTTGCTGCATTAATTCCAGGCTTGCAATCCTAAAGACTTTAAAACACTCTTAAGATTGCATCCAAATCATCATTCAGCAATAATATTCACATAATCTCGACTCTGACATGGTACCTATGAAAGGAATGTTCCTATAGTGCAGCAAATCAAAGTATAATACCATTCAGAAATCAGTGTAGATATGTTGAGTTTCACACAGGTTTTCCTTTTTTTTAAAAAATTTTTGCAAGTAATCTACTATGAATGTTTCAGTGAAAAGTAAGGCAGAACAATTAATCAATTTCAGATTGAATGAGCATAATGTAATAGAAGTGATCTGACAGAAAATGAGGTGCTGCACCTCTCCTGCTCTGTTTTTAGGCTTTCGAAAATCACATTAGTTCTGAACACCAAAGTCACTCCTCAATACAACTAACTCACACTGTGGCTACACCGAATACATAATGCACATGGACTGTTCACAGAGCGGATGAGCCGTGGAATGTATGGTTTTTGTGGCTATGCGTGTACATCTTAGGGTTGTTGCAAAGCTAGATGGTGAACTTTCATTTTGGAGTTGTTGTTTTGTCAGTGTCTGGACCCAGTGCAACCCTGTGAAACCTAAAAACATAAACTATAATATGGTTAAGTTAATATCTTAACAATTCAGTCGACTCTATCAGGGATACACTTCTTACTAAACAACCATCAGCTAGTACTGACAAATGAAGGCTTTTTTTTGGCCTTTTCAATATTACAGTGTACAACAGCTCTAATACCCACACACAGGTTATAAAGACAACGTAGAGGTTTTTCATCTTATGTAATATTAAAATGTGAGGACAAAGATCAGTGCATTCATCCTACATTATTGACTAATTGATCATAAAAATGTAACATTAGTAAAGACAGGCCTTGTATGACGAACTAATATCCAACATAGATTCTAAAATTCTCTCAACATAAAGTACAAATGAATGTGCTTGAATACAAATGAGCATCAAGTCTGTAATGTCTACTTCTCTTTTTCATGTCCTGTGTTTTCCTAAAAGTACGCCACTTAGGTGATTTCCCGATAGCTGCATGAGATTGAAGCTTACTTTATGGTTGTTGTTGAAGGCCAGAGCGCGGACTTTACAGTTGTACGGGTTGGTGTACTCCTTGGGGATGTCCTTGAGGGCGCGGTGGGAGATGTGGGCATAGGAGGGTACCGTCTCCTCATTCTGACTCCTCTTAGCCTGGCTCATCACTTCCTCTGTAACTTCCCAGAGGCCCATGGAGCCATCTCTGGACCCTATGAAATAAAACACACACAGGGCTCATCTGTGTTACTACAGAGACTATTAATCTACTACATGCACACATATGTGGTATAATAAAAAAAAACAATTGTGGTGTGTAGAACATTAGCTTTGAAACAAGGAAACTTGTGCCCAATGGTCACACAGCTTAAATAATGCTAACTCACCAGACACTGCCATGTTGTCACTGATCCATGCTATGGAGAATATCCAGTCATTGTGACCATCCTGAAAAACAAACAGTTACTATGTTAAAGTTATACAACCTCTTGTGCTTGAAGTATAAATGCGGAAGAGATAATGTCAAACAGCGGCCAGGCAACATTGGCAAGATATTATCACGTTAATAAAACTGTGGCATTTCTTTCCTATCTGGCTGAAGGAGAGAGAACCTTCACAAACATCTGACTCACAAACTGAGTATCAGATGTCAGCATTTTCAACAAAACTGATGACTTGTTAAAACTGCGACTTCTGATAAGACAAACACAGATAAGCCATTCTTACAACACTCAAGTCATGGCTGGTACACAAAGAGTTCAACATAATTCAAAGAGTTAAAAAAAAAAAAAAAAAAACATTAAAAAAAGGAAAAGACTGGATTAGCAACCATAAGCCACAACTGTCAGTAAAGCCCAACAGTTCAAACCACTTACATCTCCAACACAAACAGGGTCCAGTGTTGGCAGTTGGTAGATGGCTAGGCTGTTGGGGTTGTCTCCTCCAGTGGCGAGCAGTGTTCTCGAGGGGTTGAGTTCAATAGCGTGGATCCCACAACCCTGCTGGTCCAGCCGAGCACGAGAAGCCCCTGTGGGGTGGTAATGCCGCCCCGCCACCACTGCACCCACTGCCCCCGAGCCTCCATCGCGACACTCCCTGTCCTTCAGCATAGGAATGCCTGTTGTCTGTCCTGTAAGGACGTCAGCTACAAAAAGCTGCAAGTAAAAAAAGAAAATACATTTAGAAAGAAGGGGGAAAAACGGTCAAAAGCCTAAAGATTATTTAGGTGTATGACTGATTTTTCTGTCACTTCAAAATGTGTAGGAGTAAAACATCCTGAATATACTGATAAGTGCTAAATTTGGGTCCAGGGATCTGAATAACCTTGACAAATCTAATATTACCCTGGTATTTAAGAAACAAAATCATTGAACATTAACCACATTAAAGTAGTCATTGAATGAAAACATGTTCAACATGGCACATTCCTGGAAATGGGAGCAGATGATTATAAGTAGCTTGTATCTATTATTCAAAACAATAAAGCGAAGTCACTCTGTCTGTAAAAAACTCTGGACACATGGATGGTGGGTTATTTACTTTAAGGCCAATAAGTGATTAAATAATTATAAGCTCATTTTTGAACTGAATCTGTAGACACCTTAACTCCTTCACGAGCCTGAGATTTTGAGTTGCTGAACCTCAGACTAGACCGTTTCACACTCAAATGCAAACTGTCCCTGTGCATACAGCCACAGTCTTATGACCCATGCAGTCCTTCTTCATTGGTAATGCACAGAGACAAAATCCTGAGGTCAGTAAAGGGGACACCCATTTACTGCACCGAAAAAATCAAGCGTGTATATTATAGATCAAAACTTGCCACTTAAAAAAATAGCTTCACCTACAACTCAACCCATTTGTGTTTCTGAGAAACTTTTTTCTGTTGCACATCCTTTTGACTTGTGTGATATACTACCACACGAAAACAACAAAAGAACTTGATCATTAAACTGCTAACTTGTATGTTGATATCACCCTTGCTAGTTAAGGTGTTTACATTACAGTTTTTCATAAGCTAAGAATTATTTTTCTGTCTTTATAATGCATTTATTTGAGTGAATGTAAATCTAGTGATTAAATCACTGCACCTTGACTAACATCAAGTGTCACAATTATATGGAAAAGCCAAACTAATGCACGTTCACAACCAAAGGGCATCTCACCGTGTTGCACTTGGTCCCACACACCACCTGCCTGTGGTTGAGCCACTGTGAAGCAAACACCTTGTTGAGTCGTCCCAGAGAAAACTCCCTCTCTTTGAGGATGCCAGGGAGCCTGCCGGCCGCAAAGCCACGCAGGCTCCGCTGGAGCCGCAACTCATGTTGCTGTTGAGGTCTGAACTCCCGCCCCCGGAGGGCACATACCACAGAGCGCCGACTACACCACCACTGCTGGGCATGACGTGATGAACAAGAAACACGGCTCCGCTTGTGTGGTGTCTGACACCAGCCCAGCTGTGGAAAGAGATGGGAAGAAGATTAAGTGCCTAAAGATTAATTTAGGAATAAGCAGATGTCGTCTGACAAGTCCTAAATGTTTCAGAGATGATCAAGTATTGTGCTTTACATACAATGGAGTGCACAAAAAAGCCAATTACTGATGTCAACATAAAAATCAAATACATTTTAAATGAATGTGCTCTAATTGCATTACATCCTTTTCTTATTCAGCTTTCTTCATGCATATTTTAAAATCTCAACCTATCCGTGCTTAGCCGGACCCATCCCCCAGAGGATTGTGGACACACAGCTCACTGGTACAGATTAACAGCCTTACTGGATCATTGGAGTATTACAACAAAAACATACACGCTTGTCGACACTGACACTTCATGGGGCTTGGTCAGTACAGGCCTGGTGCACACAATAGGGCTGAATTTGAACATCTCGCTCAGGTAGATTTGTAATGGCGGCCAAAAATGGAGGTGCAGGCTACACCTATTACACTGCAATAACAATGGCCAAGAACACAATGAAATCTCTTACGCCCAGACAAGTGCATATTAAAAAACGCACAGACCGAGTCACATCATCTGCAACGTAAGCGTGACACTTATGTTTGTCTGTCAAAACATTCATTTAACCTTTCCAACACCAAGGTGGTTGTTGCTAAATCTTTCATGAATAAATAAAACATGGACTTGGTCAGTGCAACTAAAGCTGCAATCTCACGTCCCAGTTTAGTCCGTTGGCCTATCTATTGTTGCATTGGTTTAATAGATACTGAAGCACACAAAAAAGTGAATGCATAATTGGGCAAAATCATTTAAATTTATTCAAATGGCAACAGAATTATATCTAAGAATCCATACAAACAGAAGAGGTACCATAGAGTATGTGCTGTAATCACTTAAAAGAAATTGTTTAACAGTCATCCATTGTAATACATGTATATTGACTGGATATCAAAGTAATCTGTAGTGCTTCCTGTTATTCTTTTGTTGTTCACTGATCGTCTTGTCAGAACTGAGTAAATATTAGGTTGGAAAATATTTGTGTTATCAAGGATGTGGATCAAATGTACTGGTGAACGACGGTGGCCACACCGGCCCAAGCGATGCCTTAACACTGCTGACATGCAATGCAGTTCAAAAAAGACGTCAATATATATTTAAACAAATATAGTGACACCGCCATTTAATTTCAGTTTTATGTCAAGTAACATTTCGTGGTGCTATAATTGGGGTCAAGACTGACTGTACGAGCAAAATGTTCTTGTTGATTATAATGGACGTTGTTGTCAGCAAACGTCCAATTCATTATCCTGGACAAGCGATCTGTGGTCAGTCTGTACGTAAGGTAACCTGGCTAGTCAGATTAACTGTTAACGTTTGTGCTACAGCTATGTCTGATCAGCTATTTTCAGGAAATTTACGTTTCCAGTGAGAAGCGCTGGTCTTGTTGGTGTTTAAATGTGCCAAGTGATGACCCCAACCGAATAAAGGACTGTCAGTCTAATCTAACTGCTTAAAATGTCAATGGTTACGATAAAATAATAGCCCCAATAAGGTGAGGTAACCAAACCTCTGACTAACGTTAGCTGTCTTAACGATAATGGACTGCTGTTGGCTAACGTCGTGCTAACGTCTAGCTAACGTTAGCAGATTCCGACTTTCTGATAGAAATAGGCTCTATTAATGTTTTGACCAAAGCACAACTGAGCTTGTTAGGTGTATGTTTTTTTCCATATGATGCAGCGGTTACTCTGCCAAAATGTCGTCAATATTCTGCCTCCAGCATAGCTCGTATCAGCTAAATCTGGTTAGCCCTATGCTAGTTAGCATGCTAAGACAACTGACTAGCTAGCTAATATGGAACAGCACCGGTTTCCGCCTACCTGTTGTTGGTCCTTGGGCTCTCCTGCCTTCCTTTTCCTGCTAACTGTTTTTCTCGCCATAATCTGACACACACAGTTCCCTCACCCACATGGAGGGTAAAAGTGACGCTGGACACTGGATCATATAATGGCGATATGCTATTTTGTTCCTTGGCCCTCGCTGGCAGCGTCCAACGACGAGGAAGGGCGATCACATACGGGTGAGGTTGGTTAGTCGCAGGCTAAGACTATCGCTCAATTTCTATCGCTAGCCTGCTTCCCAGCCTCGTAAATAATGCGACTCTCAGTCCGCACAAACTACTCAGTTTCGTCAGAGTCGCTAACTAAAGTCAGAGGGTTCACACTCTTTTTTCCCCTGCCAAGTCGCGTCAGCAGCAACGGCAAAAGCATTGAGCAGCGCGCAGCCGCACTCATATTAAACATCAACAAAAACAAGGTCGTACGTGAACGGGAGCGTCATGCGTGCGCGTTCACGCCAGCTGCGTGAGACCCGTTTATCTAAATGGGACCTCTGTGTTAAGGACATCATGTATTTTTTGTTTTAGCGACAAAACTAATTCTGCAAGCAAATTATTTAATCTTAGAAATCTTAATATATACATATGTAAATGAAACCTCCACACCCACACACATAATCATTTGATAACGTAAAGCTATTCATTTTAAAAATATAAGCAATATTTAATGAAAAATGCTAACTTTGCAAAAGTTTATGCTGACAAAAATGTAGTTCTGTTAATTGACTGTGATTCACAACAACTACTATTTGTGTGTGATGTATCTGGCCTGTTATCTCATATTCCCTGCTATTATTGTGCTTATTGAGGACTTCTAGTGGTCACCTTAAGATGGTTATAATCTCAGGCTACATGCAAAAAAATCACACATCTTTTATATTAAATCCACATGACAAAGGGCTAACTGGATTTTCTTAAGATGGCTGTTATTTGCATCAGCATCAACGTATGGTTGATGCAAAAATTTGAAAAACACACAGATGAGGAGTACGATCAGGGACATTCATTTGGATCTGGGAACAGATGTTACCTGTGGTTTTGTAACCTTCCTGGTTTATTTGCCCTGATAACCACAGGCAGGCTGCATATGGCCTCTACTCTTTAGCATATTGGTCTTTCTTTCTGCTGACCAGGCCTCACAGTTGGATGTTTCCAGCTGTCAGTGACAATACCTGGATGGACAAAGATCTGTATTGTTGTGGTCTTGTCAAGTGAACAGAGAATAAAAATATGTTTGCTGTAGTTGTACTTCCTCATCTACTTAATGTATCATATTTAATCTACTGTGATCATACTTGGAAAAAAAACATTATCAAACTGAGCTCAAAAAGCAAGACCAGCAACAATCAACAGTCTCACTGAAAAGATGTGCACATTTAATCATGTGTTTTTCAAGAGGAAATTAAACATTTTATAAATCACATTTTAGGAGCTTGGGAAAGAACGCTTAGCTCAACCATTTTTTATTATACTAATAAAATATTTCAATGTTCTGAAGATTCATTATGTGGTGACTTAGATGTGAATCTGATATATAAACCCTTAAATGTTATCCCTTAAATAATGAGAATGTAGTTGCACTTTATCCCTTGTACAACTTGAAGATCAGGACAGAAACAGGAGGCATCAATGGAGGAGGTCCAGACCCATCCACACTGTAAACAGCCCAACTTAGGTGGCTGTCAGAGGAGAGCCAAGTGAACATTGACTTGCTTTATCTCGGATTACCAACACCACACTTGAATCAAGTATGGAGACAATAAGACAATAATACCACTTATGTGTTTGTCTCTTAGGTAAGTATACCTGTCTTCTTTATCGCGGTAATTAAAAAGGCATTAAAAAAAAAAAAAAAACTAAGTGAAAACACTCAACTGTCGATCATATCAACCACATATCAGACTTAAAACACTGGCTAAAGTAACTCTACTAACATGACTCCTTGCTCATGACATGTTACTCCCCTCCATTAGGGATTCAAACACCAAAAAAATAGCAAAATTTGACTCAAGGATAGATTTAGGATGTTGCCACTGAAGCAAAGAGTGGCATGCTTCCAGTTTGGGAAGTTAATTTACCGCAACTTTGTGGTTTGAATAGTTCTCTATATTCTGCAGACGGTTTGTCACTATTAATAGTTTCTATCAAACAAGTAAAATGATATTTGTATTGGCAATAAAATATTCTACTACTGTTTTGTTCTCAAATAGAGTAGTGGTTAGAAATGTTCTACTTGCACATTGAACAGAGGACAAAATATTGGACTTGTCCCAAGCAAAGTGCCAGTTTTATGAGTCACATTTTTACTAACTTTAAGCCCTTAATCTGTTACCATGCCTCTCACAATCCACATCAAAACCACAGAGCTCAAGATTATGGGAATTTTTTGCCATCTTTGCCATTGGTGCAGCTGCATGTTTTTCAAACATTGAACCCAGGAAGTCTATTATCACGCAGGGAAAGAAATAAGAACGTTCTTTACCAAAAAAAAAAACCCTGCAATCAACATTGGAAAATTATTTTTGACCTTTTTTGAAAAGGGACTGTGGAGATGCCAACCGAACTAAAATCAAGAATACTCATTTCATATTACTCATGAGGACAAACAGTGGACAAGTCAACAAACCAAAGTCATGTTTGATTAGATTTTGTCATATGAAATTCAATAACAGAGAATGAATGATAGAAATCACTGAAATCAAATCTTTTCTAGTTTCATCCAAATTTCCAGCAAGGCTTAAAGACCATTACGCATCTCCCAACGATTACTTGAGGCTCAAAGTGCCAGTCAACAGTCACACAATATGAAATGTCTCTATTGCACTGTGATGTGGCTGCAAAAACAACCTTCCATTTACAATTTGTTTCTTTTTCTTCTTCTTTTTTAAACCACTCACTCTTTTCCAGTCTGCAAACAAAGGTTCATGACCGTTAAAAGTGTCACACTTGTAAGTTAACATATCTTACAATAACATATCAAACTCTTTATTTTTAAAATCAAAGTGTCAGTGTACTATTTTAAATAAGTTGATAACTATGAAACGTGTGTGCCTGTGAAGTATGTGACACATCAGTGCCAGTGGGTCATGGGATATTTCTAAATTTCCTGCAGAGGAATTTTCCCCATGTCTTCCCACTCCTTTAGCAGGCTATTCCAGTGCAGGTCGAAGAGCATACTGGGGCAGTAGTACTCTTATGTTCTGAGTTATAATGACTAATGATCAATTATGCAATTCCTAAAACAGAAAGCAAAGAAATGGAATCTTTAAATGGACAAGAAAAAGTGCCCAAAATGAACAGAAAAACAGACATGAGTGAATGAAAGCATAAAGCAGAACAAAATAGGTGCAGGGCACCACAGCACAGAGGGCACTTTTTGAGAGTCAGTTCTCTGTCTGGTGACTGTGCCTTTTTTCCTCTTTTTTTTTCTTTTTTTTTTAAATTTTTAACATTAGTTGGTACAGTGTGTAGAGAGCCTCCTCAAAGCCCCCTATCCCCTCCACCATTTACTAGGTCTGCAGTGAGCAGTGGAAGATGGCAGCTTAGTTGTTTGGGAGTTTCCAAAGTTCACACTGGTCTTTCTGTGATGCACTCAGAGCCGGTCACCAGCCCCTCCCCATTCAGTTCTGCAGTTTTGCTTGCAGTCAGATAAACACTTCCAAGTGGAAGCAAATCAGAATGGCATCAAAATGCCACAGCCTAATTCTTTCATTTTCCCCTTCCCAGCACAGTCATTCCTCCTATTGTTGAATAACATGGCTGTACCAAATCCCGGAACCTAACACCAACCCAAAGTATGGTTACAGTTTAACCCCCTCCACTCTAGGCACACAGTCTTTAAGAAGTGCTGAGACACAATATGTTTTAGCACAGAGAGAAATACAACAGTCTCCCAGCTGTTCCTTCCACAGCCAAGGCAAGGGCAGGGCAGGGCAGGGCATGGTGTGATAGGGTAGGCAGAAGGAAAGGGGCTGTTGGGTGTAGCGGGAGGCATGCCCTGGGGAGAGCTTTGGTGAGCTGACTGGCTTGGCTCAGCTAGCAGTGGCACGAGCCATTAGGTCCTCCAGAGCCTTGTCCTGATCATTGTTGTGGACTAGCAGCACCTCTTTGATGGCGTCCCGCTCAAATCCCATTTCACCAAATCTTGACATCAGCTCAAGAAACTGCAAGGCCTAAGACAGATGAAAAAAAATAAATGTTAAAACTATATTATATAATCTATTAATGAAATCGAATGACTTTTTTTTGCCTCTCACTGAATTAAAATGAAAACATATTCTGCTATGCTTTAATGGTTTCCTATGTTCTTTAAGTGTACGGGTATGTAACGGCAAAATGTACAAACCTTTTCTTCTGAGCACTGGTACATCTCTAAGCATTCCTCCACTGCACTTGCATCAAAGCCCCGCTCACACAGACGATCATGGACAAACAGATAGTCCAGTACCTTGGGCAGACAATAAGCAACTGTTAATCATCTGTCTAGTAACCAGACATTGCATCACAAGTAAAAGAACAACATGGTGCTTACAGTTCTTAAAGAGATAAGGTCAAACAGTAAATAGAAATGACCCCATATTAATGTTCTGTAAGGTTATTCTTTGCTCTTCATCTTACTCTTTCTGCTGCATTAACTTACTATACTAATTCCAAATCCAAGTTCATCATTTTAAACACAAAAGGTTCATATTACATCTGATACATGCAGTACATAAACATACAGAACCTGTTGTACCACATCTGTTAATAGTTGCCATAACAACAACAATAGCAGCTGTACAGAACCTGATCTAATGCCACCACAGACAGTTAGGGGAGTGCAAACCATTTATTTTAAGGCTACATTTACAGGTGTAGTGTATTCAATCTTCACCGTGCAAAATTACAAAAGCACACAAACAAAATAATTCAAAAGCTAAGCATCAGACAGTTAATGTGTTAGTAATCCAGGTTTCTGCGCATTGGGGTGGGAGGGAGTCTTACCTGCTCCACATTCTGCCCTTGTCTTTGCATGGCCCGTAGGACACCTTCATAGGAGTAGCCCATGCCCACAAGCGTTTCCACACACTGACGTTCACCGGGATTCATGCTGAGAAGGGCTCCGCCACACGGCAGACCAGCAGATCCTGACCCTGGGTTGGCCTTTTAAAAACACACGTGAATATCAATAAAGGTCTAAGATTTTATGACATTTTTATTTACCATCTCCTGCTAATCACCACTATATTGCACACAAACTACAGGCACAATTAGTCACATATGCAGTATGTATTCTTGCACTCACTGGCTTTGGTGTGCCACTCTTGGTGTGGCAGGGTGGCTCAGGTGTAACAATAACTTGAGTCTTGGGTAGGGTTGGCGGGCTGCCATTAGGCAGGCTCTGCCGAGGAGCAGGAACGGGTGCAGCGAGTGAACTGTATCTAACTGGCTCTGGGTCACCAGAGTCAGAGAGCTTGGGAAAAGTCAGAGAGCGAATGTTACAGGGTCGATCGTCTGTATCAAACCCTGCTCTTCCAGGATGTCCAACTCTGTCCATGTCCAGCAAGTTAACCAATCCATTGGGTTTGTGGGTAAAGCCTGGTTTAGCTGAGAGGCTGGTGTTGGTGCTGGGTGGCGATGGGCTGTTTCCACGTGATGCTGACCCTGGCTGAGAGACCTCTGGTGGGGACACCGAAGGAGGAGGCTGAGGTTGGGGCTGGCTCTGGAGGATGCTCCTTAGCTCCTCCTTATCATCCAAAGTTTTGAGTTCCAGCTTGTCAAAGGGGTCTTCTTCCCGCTCAAAGTCGGCTAGATTGAGGCTGTGTGGCTTAGGAGTGCTAGGCTGGGTTTTCCTGGGGCCAAGGCTTGGGGCGGGTAGTGGGGTGAGAATGGCATCATGGCTCAACCCTGCCAAAACAGGGTTTAGCGCTGGTGGTGGAAGGTCCTGGTCCTCTGCAGCAGAAAGGTGTTTTTTCTCGCCACTGCCATCAATGTCCTGGGCCTGAGTCAAACACTCTCTGCTCTCTGACTCCTGCTGAGCTGCCGCCTCTTCTGCTCTGGCCTCTGCTGCTCTGGCCTCAGCCAGTTCTAGCCCCCAGCGCACAGTACGTCTCTCCAGAGAAAAGTCATACTGTTGAGGAAGTAGGAAGAGGAGGATGAGGGTGATAGGCAAAGAGGACACAGAATAACAAAGAAAAATAATTATTCTATTAATATTTAGTATAACAGTCACTTGATATTACAACTCCAGCTTAACTTCTATAGAACTTAAATATCAGGACTTGACTAAACTGAAGATTTCAGGTTGTTCTAAGTATTGTACCATATTACTGTAAACCATAAAAGGTACATCATTTCAAGCAGATGTGCTAAACTCTTTGCAATAACTGAAAAAACTTCTTGTACCAAACTGTCAGCTCACTGACAGCATGTGCTTAGCTACAACTATCTGTTAAAATGCCCATTAACCAAGCATGACTTGACTGCGTATAATGAAATATGACCAAAAGTATGACGTGCAAAGCTAAATGTAGGCCTCAAATAACATCAATGCAAAATCAACACCTTCCCTGTACCTGACTCACCTGTGTGTTCAAAAGTAAAGAGCCACAGTCTGGCAGACAGAAACCAACAGGCAGCCCCACTTTGGCTGGACAGCGGAATTTATCATTTATCTTGAAAGAAACATCATCAAGGTAGCTGATGGGTCCTGTGTACCAAAAAGCAAAGTATATTATTAGAAGAATAGACACTGGAACGACCAACACTTGTCACCTTGAACATATACTAAATTCACAGCTCAAAACATCAGTATAGTTTAACAGTGAGCCAAAAGTGTATTAAAAGAAGCTCTTGCCGTTGTTATATGCATCTGTTCCAGACTTCCTCGCAGCCATTTAGAGTCACTGAAAACAGAAATGAGTGCACAAGTTAGTGAACAGCAAGACTGACGATTACCAACCATAGGCCAGTGTTTCTTAAAATGGCGAAACAATACAAAAAAAGGCCCAAAGTGGATTTCCACAGTCCTTCTTGCACCCGCCTTTGCATGTGACATTTGATCAGACACGGAAGCTTCTGACATTACACCGCAGCATGTCTTTCATAGAGATAACAGTCCAACGGAACAGTTTTAATCAAAGCACAAGTGAAATGACACTTTGTCGCATGCCAGTGCAAATCATCCCCCATCCATTCTTTGTGCATTAGCTGCTTTGAATCTTAAGTCACATAATCCAGTTATTTGGTCATGCTGTGCAACAATGCCTCACATTATCAGCACAGAGAAGCCACTGTATTCAATCTGCGAAACACAGAACTTTGATCTCTGTGCTAATGTAGAGCAGTGTTCATTATAAAACATGACTGATTGACCCATTTACACAGTTGACTTGTTGGTAAAAAAGTACTTAAAACTCCAGTAGGCTAAAGTTTAAATAAACAATCTATTAATTTGCAGACCTATTATGATGGTTTTGTTAACTGCCTATATGAAAAAAGAAAAAAAAAAGAAAAAGAAAAACAAGCATTTGTACATTAGACTGACACAAAATCTCACCATTTTAATACTGTGGCAATGGACCACACATAATCAAGGTGAAAAAGCGTAAACAGTTTAGTTTTGTGTTTACCCTACAGTTACTAGCTAATAGTAGTTGGGGACAATGTTATGCAACACCCGATCACACATGTTGCTGTGTCGTAGCTATTTTAACATCTTAGCTTGTACACAGAGTTAGGGTGGAGCAAACACGAGTTAGTATTAACATTGCAGGTACCAGGTACAATGATAACAGCATTGGACAGCACGTCATGGTAGATGGGTTAGCTAACTTAGGGTGCGCTCAACTGCGTCCAACTTAAAACAAAAACGATAGTCGTAGCTGACCGCAATTTCAGGCAGGTTTCTGTTAAAAATGTTTCGTTTCAAGGCTCCCAGCTGTCACGTCTGGCTCACAAAAGTTGCCAAAAGAGGCAGTGAAGTAAGATATACTAATTAGCTCGTGTCACTTAAGTTATTGTAGCCTTAGCCACAAGCTAAGCTATTTGTATGTTTGGTTACTCCTAGCTCAATACGCTAACAGCTACCAAACAGTGGGAAGTCAGCGTCGCGTACGGCATTAGCTTAGCTGGTATTACGGGGATATACAGGCCGAATAAATGAATTCATCGAGAATCACCACCAGACACTGGGTAATAGACTTGGGGGAATGCCACTGTTCATGCTAATACGCTTAGCTTCGCCAGTGGCCTGGTTCTAACGTTATGTGGCCGGATAGAACAGACTGCTGTCTCTGCTGCCACCGCCCCTCACATAAAACTGAACTCACATATAAACACAGAGCTCTCTCACCAGTATCTGCTCCGTCTTGCCCTTTCAAAATTCAGACGACGTCTTTTCGCGGTGGCACTCCAATTTAAACTGTTCTCCGAGTGAGTTTTATTTATACTGAAACCTCTTTCCTGCTTCAGCGTAGGTCGCCATCTTGATTTGTCAAGCTCTCTGCCACTGGTTCCTGTTTAACGTCACTCGCCAACATGACGTCTGATCGTGACACGGCAGTGCTTATTAGTTGCTACCAGCGACTTTTTAAAAAAATTAATCCGAATAATCGATTGTTCTAAATTATTTATTTTAAAAAAGACTGACAATAATTAATGAATTTAATTAATAATTAATTTCGTTTCATTTTATTGTGATAAACTGTGTGCCATTGTATACTGCAGCACAGCAAAAATGTAAACAAATGTTTGTATGTTAAAGTAAAAAGCTGTAGGAATAAACTAGAAACTCCAACATGATACAAATACATTTTTAAAAAGAGCATTTACTATTTTAGCAGTAATGTAACTGCTGATATTATTCATAATCAGAAGTGATTCTGATAAACACCAAATGCCAAGTGTAAATTACCTTTTCCATAATTTTTCATCTCAGTTAGGTTTAGGCTACTCTGTCAACAACTTATTACCTAGAGACACTCATTCACAGCATTTTAACATTATTGGCCAACATCTCAATTTAAATTTTCACTAGAAAGTCAGTCCTGATATCAGTAAGACTTGCTGAATAAATATAACTTAACCAACCACATACATCACATATCTCCCATCTATTGTTTCTCACAATATAGGGGGAAAATAATAAGTTATGAATAACTCTAAGGGGAGGCAGCTTTTTAACAAACCAAGCAATGTTATTAATCTTTTATTTTTAAGGTTAACGATATTGTTTATCTTCACAAATGAGACGTTACTTGAAATATAGTTAGTGGATGCATTTGTTTTCCCTGGTTTCTAAAGTCATGTTTGTCTAAATCGGAAAGAAAAAAAATGTTATATGTGTAAATACAATATACAGCTGAATACATCATTGAAACGTGAACAAAACATATTCACATTTTAAATATATACATTTACGTGTGTTTGGAAGTGCTGCGGTGATGTTTTTTTTTTTTTTTAAAGTAAAATTGTGTAATACATGTAAATGTTATATATAGTTAAAACATAAACAAAAAATACTCACATTTAAATTATATGCATTTACATGTGTTTTGAAGGGCTGCTGTTAAATTTGTTTAAGAAAAACGACAACAACGTGTTATGCACATGTATATGGAGAGCCAAACCTGTCATAATTAGAAATAAATTCATAAATGAGGAAATAAATAATTAAGTATATGTCATTTTTTTTACATTTTCCTTTAGGTGAGGAAAAGCAAAAATGTGCAAGAGTGGGAAAATACATATGAGCACATTAGGAAAAGCGGAAAAGCAAAAATAAATGCATAAATAAATAAATGTGGAAATAAAATTACTAGATGTGAGATAAAATAAATGAGCATGCAAAAAAATAAATGTGGAAATATAAAAATAATACAAACAAGTGTAAAAATGATACATCACTGTGGAAATAAATATAAATGTGGGAACAAAAAATAAAGTAGGTTTAAAAAAAATCAATGACTAAATGGATAAATGAAAGGAAAACGTAAAAACAAAACAAAACATGCATTTAATTATTTATTCCTTCATTTATTCATTTCTTTTTTAAAAGAATTATGACAGGTTTGGCACTCCATACATGTATGTCGTTATGTCTTTTTTTCCCCCAGCATCGGGTGCGCGCACGTCACGTTCAGACCCGTACGCGCTTTACGTTCCGCAGACACGCGCAATGATAGCCGGAAGCATCGATGGGAGGAAAATAAAAATCGATTAAATCCACTGTAATTCGCGAGTGTAAACCTCTCACTAACTGTCCTTTTTGCGACCGTAGGCTCGTATTTCTCAGTCTTTTACACTGCAGCTGTGCTGGAGGGGACGGTAGAGAGCAGAAACCTGCTCCATTTGAACGAAGTTGCTCGGTAGGGGTTTAGCTGACGTGTGGAGAAGTTGAGACTGCCAGAGAGCAGATAAACAAATACAAACAAGCAGGGATCAGCTGAGCGCCTGTCCGAACCGAATCAGCAGCCCGGAGAGATGGCAGGGAGAGCGAGACTCCTCTTTTGCGCCCAAGAATGATCCACAGGAGACCGTGACTTACACTGATACTTGCTCCATGTCAACTGTCAACACTGGCACACAAAGAATTTCGGAAACACAACACGAGGACCAGCCATAGGCTTTAGCAGAAAATCCACTGCTCCTGTCACTGTCTCTTTTTCAAGACATAGCCAGGTTAGCATGGACAGCCAATGAGTTTACCCTCCACTTCTCAGCTGTAACGAAACGAAACACATTACAGTGCAAGGAGACAGAGGTAAACACTTTTTGTTAACTTTGCTTTTTTTCCCCATAAAGGGCCTGCGAACTAAACCACTGACCTAAGCTAGCTTGGCAGGCCACATATCCTGTTTGTGTTTGAAATTTTTATGTAGCGTTCAGTTTGCCAGCAGGACCGTTGTCTAATCGGGTGTGCTGTTTCATGTTTCCCCCTGCGTTTTCTAGAAGGATTTGAATCAATACAAAACAACAGCTAAGGCATTGTGGTTGTTTGCTGTGGAGTCAGATTGTGATCATGAGCAGAGAAATTTAAGTAGAGCCTTGTACGTGTTTTCAAGTTCCTAATATTTCTGTGCACTTTGCAATCCTCACCCACCTTTTGACTGATCTGTGGCTACTGGTGTCAGGAGTGGAACTAACATGGCCCACCAGGCAACCCCTAGTTCCCAGAAGGCCCTGATGATGGAGCTGAAGTCTCTGCAGGAGCAGCCGGTGGAGGGTTTCCGCATCACTCTGGTGGAGGAGTCTGACCTCTACAACTGGGAAGTGGCCATCTTCGGACCCCCCAACACCCTGTACGAGGGCGGCTACTTTAAGGTGGGAAAAACCCCTTCCAGTATATGTAGTCAGAGAAGTCAAAGCAGGGCATCGTGTTTACTTTATGAAGCCTGTGTACAGTAAATTCACTAGCAGGAGATTACATATATATGTGTGTGTACTCCAACTGTGCTGTTGGTGAGAGTTTCTTCCAAAGTAAAACATACAGATTATTAGTGCCGCTCTGAAAACAACCAGGTAGTTCGCTTACAGTGACCCAAAGTGTCACACCAAGTACTCTTGCACTTCTAAAACCTGTAACTTGACAACATCTCACCCCTGCTGGCCTCTAGATTTTTTTTAAGACAGCCATATCTATAGTTTACTAATTTTCAGTTACCCCCCCGTGTCCCCACAATTCTCCGTGCCCAGCCGACACCCTCCTCACTCTGTAATGGTTGTGCTTCAGATAGCTATTTTTAGCTATGAGACCGATATAGATGGCACCTCAGCACAGAGAAAGACTAAGAGAGAAGGGCATGATTAGACCCATCTTCATTTCTTTAATGTTACCTATTCTATATAATGTTCAGAACGTGTAGCAGGTGGAGCCCACTGTCAAACTAGGGCCGAGCAGGTGACGCTGTCGCCCACCAGGAAGGCCAAAATAATACACAGCAGGTATTGCCGTAGTCTGCTCTTTCAGATGGTCAATGCTGCTTTTGCCTTTACAGTGTTATCTATTATTGGATTTACTCAAATCAGATTGATTTACCTTGAGTCACAAATTTGTTTTGGTGTGCTGTAATCTGCGCTACATATTATATTTCATCCTATGTATCTTTAGACATTGGGATCGGATACCACACACACACTAAAATATGAGAAACCTCCGGTGGAACAGCAAAGCAGGGACCCTTCTATTAGCATACACTGATGTGTAATAGGTGCCAAAGCTAAGAGTTACCTCTGGGCACATTTCCACCCGATTATAAGGCTCACAAACATGTTCACGAGCAATTTAGAGTTTTTTATTCACCTGACCTGCATGTCTTTAAACGAGACACGTAACATATTTACACAGAGGCCTCACTCTGCCAACAATTTCAAACCCATGACCTTCTTGCTGTAGGACAGCTAATGCTTACCTCTGAACCACTGTGACTCCCATATAATTATATTAATAAATGACCTGTAGAGTCTGGTTTACTACTGCCCTGATTGTTAGACTTAAGGTGTGTGCAGGTGACCTTCATTTAATGAAAAACTGGTGGAAGTGATTGACTACAGTACCTGTGTGGCTTTGCTGAACCTTGCATGGCTCCTGTGGATGTAACAGCAGTGCAGTGGGTTTAAGAACATACCATCCATAGTCAGGGATGAAGTGTGTTGATGTATCCACGAAAAGTACAGTCAGAGGAGTTTAAAATCAACAGGAGTGTTAAATGTAATTAGTCATTATCAATTTTTATTTCGTGATTTTCATAGATATTTTACCCTTTCACAGAAATGGCTGTGTTGTGTTCATTGGCTGCACTTTTAGTTGTAAAAGTAAGTTATGTATAGGCTATACAGCATGATACAAACCACTTGAGAGCAGCAAGATTTGAAAGAAGAATAAGTTGACAAGCCAGAAAGGTTAGGGAGCAAAGCTTTCTGAACAAGTTAGATGTGAGGAGAAAGACTGGAGCTGATCGAAACTTCGGTGAAACGTAGAGGTCATGTGCGGGCATGGGCACATGTGGCTGCTTATGGAACTGGTTCACTCATCTTTAATGATAATGGAGAAGCATGATGAATTCAGAAATGTACAGATACATTTTGTTTGGCTGTGTACAAAGCAATTCCTCTAATCTCATAGGCTAGACCTTCATTCTGCAGCAAGACAGTGACCCCGAAGACACTGCCTGTGCAACCGAAGCGTTTATCAGTGAAAGGCATTAGATAGGCCAAGTCAGCCACCAGATTTAAACCATAATGAGCATTTTACCTGCTGAAAAGGAGACTGAAATAAGCCTTTGCAACAAACAATTAAAAGCTCCTAATTTTCCAAGTATTCCCAAGGAAGACACTAAAAATTGTTCATATCAGTGGCTCATAGAATTGATGCCACTGTTGCATCAAAAAGCTATACGACTAAACTGTTATTTCCGTTGACATGAACCCGTTAACCTGCTTTTGCGCATCTGAAAAAAGTGGAAACTCACACCAGTGCAACATGGCGTCTGTGTTTTTAATGTCCCATGGCTGCAGTAGTGCAGTGACTAGCTGTGGAGTAGTGATAGTCCTATCTGACTGACAAGCAGTGGGAGCCGAGGTGGCGTTACACACACCCGGGCCTACAAGCCTTTCACCCAGATAATTGTGCAATACTTTGGAAAGAAAACACAGAACCAGGAGCACCTAATGTTATGTCCCGTAATGTCCGGTGCTTATAAAATATTTATGGAAATGCAGTGTGATTGTAGGTCTGGCTGAATGTGTGATTTCTGTGTTATGACATGTTTCAAATAAAAGGTTACAGGAAGCAGCTTTGTGGTGAAATACCTGCCACCACTGAGCTTGTGAGGTTCAACAATTCAGTCATAAGAGAGCTTATTATTATTTAATCTAGCATTACAGTTTGACTTGAAGAGCGAACAGAATCTATTTTGTAGCATGACTACACTTGGACTAAATTCATCAACTTACATTTCTGGTTTCTCAATGTTTAAATGATATCAGCTTGCATGACCAAACGGTTCATTTTGATAGTGTTTCGCTTCAAAACCTAAAGGAAGAACTTATTTTGTCAGGCCAGCAAAACTCTCTGTTATACAGTTTACAGATATATCTGGTTTTGATTTATGTGGAGAGTGTTATCATAACTTTAATCAAGCTCGGCTGTCTGTAAAATGTTTTGACTGTCAACCTCTGCTTGTTCTTGCAGGCTCACATCAAGTTCCCAGTCGACTACCCGTACTCCCCACCAACTTTTCGCTTCCTCACTAAGATGTGGCACCCCAACATCTATGAGGTAAAGCTTTTTGTGTTTTTTGTTTGTTTTGGTGACGATATGATGCCGGTTTGGCATGTATGTTTTACCTTGACATGTTAATATGACGGTTTATGGTGATGGAAGTGTGTCACTTTTCAACTTGAGCACGTTTGGTTTGACTCACTCCAGAGGGCAGAGTAGTTTTACAGTGTTTGAGCAGAGTTGTAGTGATCTGGTGTGCAGCGACTGTGCAGGATTGTGTGGAGATCGAGGCAGGGACCTTATAGATCCGCACATTCTAAAGAAAGCAGCAGTGTAGACTTGCATCAAAGCCATGCTAGGGAATTATTTTCAGGGGAAAAAAAAAAGAAAATGTAACTTTAATTTACAGGGATGAGTTTTACAGATCAAAATTGTCCGTAGGTGTGAATGTGAGTGTGCTTGGTTGTCTGTCTCTAAGTGTAGCCCTGCGATAGACTGCCGACCTGTCCAGGGTGTCCCCTGCCTTCACCCTAAGTCAGCTGGGATAGACTCCAGCCCCCCCGCGACCCTAGTGAGGATTAAGCGGTGTATAGATAATGGATGGATGGATGGATGGAGTTTTACAGAGCAAAGAGAGATTTTAAACATTCCGACACCTTCACGTTTACATGGCAGATGTTATAAAGTGTCTTTTGGTCTTCTTCCAGAATGGAGACGTGTGCATCTCCATCCTGCACCCTCCTGTCGATGACCCACAAAGCGGGGAGCTGCCCTCTGAAAGGTGGAACCCCACTCAGAATGTCAGGTAATTTATTTTTTCTTTTTCTGTGTGCACTTGAATCTATTCTGTAACATATATGTGCAGTCTAACTAGTCTTTTCATTGCTGGAACTTGTTGTCTTATTGTACGATAGATGTAATTAAACTGAATGTGGATGACAAAGCTAAGGGTTAAAGGGGAACTTTCCCCATTGTTTTATACATTAAAGTTGGTTTACAAGTCTTGGGGAGTACCACTACTGTAAAAAAGTAGTTTGAAGCATCTCAAGTGATGTCACATGGCAGCTCTGTTGGGGACTAAATACTGCAAGTTTGAAAATCAATTAGTCAGAAAGATGTGAACTCACTAACCTTCTATAGCCAGCACCACATTTCTGCTTGAAGCTTAATTAGCTGCCATTAGAGCAATAAGCAACACATCCAGATTTCTAAAACAGCAGAATGCGGTTGAGTTGCATTGGGGGTAAAGTAAATGCCGAGTCCTGACAGTGAAGACAAACGTGTGGAATAGAACGGATGCATCGTTTTTATATGCAAAATCTTTGGTGTAGTCTGTTTATAGTCCCTCAGCATCTGCAACAAAAACATGAACGGTCATCAGACACATACAACTTCTACTATTCCTTTGTTCTGCGTTACATCTAAAGGAGAAGCCGTTTATGAACTTCTTCTAAATTTAGCAGGTCAGCAGGATTCACAGAGTTGAGGTAAAGTGCTGAGTCTGTGTTTGAAAACCTGAACAGATTGGGCGTAGCATGTAATTGAACCACGAGAGAAAAGAGGTGAGCTAACGCCTCTGTCGGAGCTGGCATGAAGCTTGTGAAGTTTCAAAAAGCCTGTGTGGCGCTTTTCTTTTCATATGATGACAGAATGCAGTATTAGAGTGTAATCATTTTTGTCTGTGTGTTGTTCTTTGATGATCAGGACCATCCTGCTCAGTGTGATCTCTCTGCTCAATGAGCCCAACACGTTCTCCCCAGCTAATGTGGATGCCTCTGTTATGTTTCGCAAATGGAGGGACAGCAAAGGCAAGGACAAGGAGTATGCAGAGATAATCAGGTAATATATGTTGTTTACGTACAGACGAATGTACGTTAGAATTACTTACAACAAGCGTAGTTCATGGAATCAGTACACTCATTTTCTCAATCTGGAAAAATGCTTAAACACGGACTTATTTCTGATTTTCCTGCAGGAAGCAGGTAATGTCAACAGCAGCGGACGCTGAGCGCGATGGCGTCAAGGTGCCGACCACATTGGCGGAGTACTGCGTCCAGACCAGGGTTCCCTCTCAGGACAGCAGTTCAGACCTCCTCTATGACGACCTCTACGACGATGACATGGAAGAGGAGGACGAAGATGAAGACGAGAGCGAGATGGAGTCCGTAGGTGAAGCCGGGGGGATGAGCAGCGTGGAGGACGGCGGAACGTCTACCAGACGTTACGACAACCAGGACGACTCTGGCAACGAAGACTCATGATGATCTGGATGATAACACCTCCCTGCCAACTCCCCCGCCACCGTCCCTCTTTTTTCAATGTGTGTGCGTGCGTGCGTGTGTGTGTGTGTGTGTGTGTGTGTGTCTGCACATACAGTGGGGTCAAAAGTCTACTGCCAAAAACTTTTCATCATTTATTAAACTAATAGTGTTTGGTCAAATAATAGTTCTCAGATGCTGTTACATAGCTTTTCAGCAGACGTTTGTTGGTACTGTTTTCACTGAAAGTCAGAATTTGGTGTTTCCACCGTTTGCCTTAATTACAGCTTGCACTCTGTCTGGCATCAAATGTTTTGCAGAGGTTGGGAGTTGAATTATTCCAGCACTGTTTCAGAGCACCCTGAGAGTGTTTTTGATGTTAACTTTTAAAACGCTCCATTGAAGCGTTGGAGGTTCCATCCTTTTCCACACCACTTTAAACAACAAATGATGACATGCTTCTGCAGAGTCAGTAGAAGTGTGCGACTCTAGACAAAGCGAAATATCCCTGCGCCTGAATACTGACATAACTGCATTCAACTCTAGTTTTTAATTCCTGTTTTTAATCACTGTCTTGTGCAACAAAATCCTCACTTATTGCACTTCAAGTTGTTTGGTTTCAATCATGAAGTTAACCATCTTTATTTAATTTCTTCAGTCTTCATCAATGAAATATCAGTATTGTTGAGTCCAGGCTAAACCATTACACTCTAAATAGAGTGGTTTGGTCACTGCTACAGATTTTTTTTTTTTAATGCAGGCACGGCTCTGTTTTATTGCAACATTTATGCTTTGTTCATTGGTATTCAGATGGTCCCGGTCTGGATGACAACAGCTTGGTTTTATGAACGTCTTTCCAGCCTGTGATTTAGTGCAGAAAACAGTGAGGCTCCAAATTAACTTCACAATGTCTTTTGACTTACGAGTACTAATAGAAACAGTGCGGAACTTTGTTTCACAAAGTCCAATATGATTTGTACTGCGCAACAGGAACCTATAGATGTTCATGTTTGAATCACGCTGTGTAGAAAGTCAGGCTAAATCTTCTAGTTTATCATTATTTCATTTACTGAGGTGCACTTCCCAAAGATACAACCGATACTTGTATTAGTTCTGAATAATGCATTATTTATTTAAAAAAACCACTCTCTGAGTAAACATTGTCTTAGTTTCGATAAATGATGAAAACAAACTGTCCTTGTGGTGGTCTCTTGAACCCCACTGTAGCCAGCCGGCCCCTTGGCCTGGCTCGTCCACGACGGATTGTTTGATTTCGCGTTGAGAGAAAGATTGGATCTATCCACTGTGTCTTTCCTTGTTGCTGTTTTTCTATGTTTATTTGTTTGACACTGTCCTCCCTGACTTGTCTCCTGTATTTTCTGGGATGGCTCAGACAGTCTGGCATTGGGACACTCTGCTGTTTGGCTCATTAACCAGTCGATGAGCTGGCCAGCTTGTCCTGTCTCTGTCATTCAGTGCGTCCCATGGCAGAAGATCTCTGTCCCTCACGCCTGTCTGTTCGACTTTGATGCAATCAACTTAAACTTGCAAAACGCGGGCTCTGCCGTGACTTCACTCTCCCGGGGGACACCTTCAGTAGTGTCCATCACAATGTCTCCCACATGATCGCCCCCCCTCCCCCCCTGCCAAAGCAACGTCATTTGGTTATGGGGTGAACAAGGTGAAGACTTTTTTTTTTTCTCTCACGTCGCCTCCTGCACCTCTCTCTGCCTCTTAAACCTCAGGGCCTCAATAGACTTTCACTGAGAGAGAAAAGCCAGTCAAAGAGAACCTTAAGACACAAACTGCTCCTCATCGCCACCTCCTTTTCTTACTTTCTGCATCACTCGGTGTTATTAGAGGGCCAAGAGTGCTCAGAAAGTCTCCAATCCCACTGCTCGCGTTTACACGTGACTGAGTGTTGCTGTTGGTCCCGATTAAGGTTCTTCAAGTCGTTTTCTTTTTTTGGTAGGAAAGAGTCAAATAAAGAAAAATCTAAATACATCCGTAGGGACTTTCTCCTCAAGGCAAAGCTCACATTATGTTGCGATAGATGTGAAAATGTTCCGTTTTTGCGCCGTGACTCCAACTTACGCTTCAATGCAAGCTAGTGAAAATTGGACGTTGTTACCGTGCTGCACCACATTAAGAGTCTGTTTATCGACAGGGACAAAATCAACACGCAGCTTAGAAACACATTTGCATTTGAATGAACATGACACTGATTGCCTGTTATCTGTGCGTGTGTGTATATTTACATTTACTATTCATATTGGCTATGATGTCAGGGTTTTCCTTGTTTCTGTTTCTGTGGAATCAGTGGGGACTTCTGTCACAGGAGTTGAGTTTGCCCAAATGACCTTTTCGACTTTGTCCAGTTAAGAAAACATTCGGTGTGTTTGCACTTTGTCCTAGTGCTGTTTTGGGTGGCCCAAATCGGCCAAGGATTTGACTGATTTAAAAAAAAAAAAAGAAGAAGAAGAAAAGAAAAAAAAAAAACACCCTCTAAGTATTAAGCTTTTGAACACACTGAACAGCATAATGTGACTAATATTACTTGTGTTGCATCAAGTACACCACACACTTTGAGCTATGTTTTATGAATCTGCTGCCCCGTTTAACACAACGGAGCAACTGGGGCAAAACCTGTGATTCCAACGGATGGATTTTATGCCAAGGAACCCACGTACAGCCCCACCAACTGTTGATTTTAAAGACTTATGGAGCAATGGATGCATGTAGTGGATTTAATGCTGTTTGAAAAAAACTCTTTATGAGTTACCTTTTGGATTTTAATGTGAAGCCAAAGGAGTGAAACATTTTCTCCTGGCCCTGCGCTTTGGAGGCTCACGTTGTGACTGGATTCTGTTGAGGACGGGGAGACGAAAAATCCACTCCTGAACCGGACCTTTTATTGGATTCGATATCACGGCACAAGAGGAGCTGGATACATGCCAGACATTTGGAACTTTTCTTGACGTGGTCCCCCGTTTTTGCCCATCCCTTACCATATAGAAAAGAAGTAAAAATCAGTAGTAAGCAATGAAAAGTACCAATTTCATGTGTGTCTGCTAACGGAATAGTTGAACATTTCAAGAAATATATGTTTTCTGATTGTGAGTTGGATGCAAAGATTGATACCAGAATGTCTATTAAATATGGAATTACTACCAGCAGCAGGTTAGCTCATTTTAGCATTAAAAGTAGAGTCTGTGATTCTGGAGAAAGATTGTTTATACATAGCTGGTTAGCACCTTGAAGCCCCTTTCAGACATGCTGTCGTTTCTGTTAATCTGATGGCTTCTACATGTGTCGGCTTCATGTCACAAGAGAGCTGCTTTTCAGTGAAAGTCGCAATGGCAGTAGGTTGAACCCAATGACGCTTCTGTGTCGCTTTAAACGAGTCTGAACAGATCGGCACAAATAAGTAATTTAGGTAAAGCTTTTTCCGCATCTCAGCACTGGTATTGGTCCAAAAAATATGAAAATGTACGCAGAAGACTGAGCTTGAATCTGAAAATCACAGGACATTTTTCTTTTCCTCTTTGCAATTTTACAGTTATTAGAAACTGAAATTAAAATAAAACTTACAGCAACGAAACAGACTATAACAGATTCATGAGATTCATCTATTATAAATATGACCCAGATTTTGGCTAAATGTTAACAGGACTTTAGTTTGTTGCCTCCAGCTGTTCAGAGTCTTACCTCCGAGTTTATAGTCGATTAAAACCTGCATCAAAAAGCAGCAGGCTCCACAGAAGTATCTCAGAATCAAGAGAGCAGCACGTATTCACGCACAACAGAAGTAAGTGTATTGATTGCTATAATTATAAATTACCTCTGACGCGGAGACAGAATCAGTCTAATGGGAAGCCTGTCATTTATCACAAAGCAAACTTGGATTCAACCTTCTGTTTGTAAGTGCATTATTATGCATTATATCACTAGATGGACCATCCAGCTTCACATGTATGACAAATATTACCTTGGCTCTCTGTGTCACTGTTGTGGGTGTATCTGAATGAAGCTGTGAGGAACGTTAATGTAAAAGTGACCTCTGTGATGACAGAATGCCATCGCTTCGACAGATTGATGTTATGTATCTCGTGTCTGAAAAGGGCTTTGGACAGCCAGATTTACGGTGCCGCTCACTCCCACCGCCCCCGTCTTGTCGTCCCTCCTCCCTTCCCTCCTGTCCTGTGCATGAGCAAGAACACGCAAAGGACGCTGTGGAATAGTGTCGTGCAAATCAGTCCGAGCCACTTTGTTTCCCTGTTAGAGAGCCAAGGCTGTGGAAATGATGCAAAGCAAGAGGACTGTGAGGAGATAAACACTGAATTTCACCAAAACTGTTGGATGTGAATCACTGACTCCACCTTTAAGACTGGAAACAGTGAAGCATGTAGCCAGCAGGAACACAATCTTTAATTTAATTTACACCTAATTAACACTTTATATCTGTTTAAAAAAAAAGAACAGAGAATGACAGGTTGGGGTTTTACCTGGTTTATGTGCTGGACTATAATCTGGCCCGGATTTCCCAAAAAAATGCCTTTTGAAAAAAAAACAAAACACTTGAGGTTGCTTCCCCCTTGTTTCCAGTCTTTGTGCTAAACTAGGCAACTTGTGGCAGTAACTTGACATTTAACAGACTACAACTTCTATCAATCTTCTCATCTGAGCCTCAGCAAGAAGCAAATTTCCCAAAATGTCCAACTACTGCTTTCGAGCCAAGTTACTGCCTCCCATCACAAGTTTGGAAATCCACATTTTTGTTTTGTTAGAGCGTCGTCTAGGTTTAGTGTAGCCCTTATGATAGCGATTTGATGATCAGTTTGAAGCTCTTCAGTATTCTGCATTTTTAAAATTTGAATTAATGCCTCTTTTTTTCACAACAGGGGCAGGTGGAGAACGGCTTAGAAGGCCTTTTGAGCGAAGATCGAACTATTTTTCAAAAACTCAAGCTAAGAAACGACTCACTAAAAACAGACTGCAGTCTAAGATGTCGAGATGTTAGTCCATGCACACTGTTACGTACAAAAACTGAATGAAATCATTTAGTTCATTTAATCTGTGTGTGTGTGTTTGTGTGTGAGTGAGCATGTGTGTGCACAAGTGTGTATTTTCTGAAGTGTTGGCCGACACTGTGAGGTCACACGCTTACCAGACTGACCTGTCCACAACGTTACCACAATGTGTCCGCCGCACCTATCGATGTTAAAGCTGTCCTTGTTGGTTTCATCTTTGATTTTTTTTTTGTCTGTTTTTTTTTTCTCCCCCGCTCATGATTTTGTGTTTGTGAGGATGCAAACATCACTCATAAAGTTTCTATTGTAAAAAAACAAAACAAAACAAAACAAAAAAACAGAACTAGATTGTTGGATTTGTTTGCAATATTGCTTTGATATGTGTTACTAAAGCCCACGTGTCATGAAAAACGGACAACACAGCAAGTTTTGGACTAAGATTAGGAGCGATATTCAGATGGACAGTTGTTGTGGTTAAGTTGGAGAATCATTCAAAAATAAAACCGTATGTCATCAAAGCCTGCTGAGAGATTTTTATCTTATTTTGAGCCGCGAACTGCTCGTTACCACAGCACGCTGCCTTGAATATTAGCACGTTGTAGTTGATTTATTATCATTCAAATGACAGAAAAATGTATAGTGATGTGTAGCCATGCATTTAGTTTTGGTTTTATTTGTCCAGATGTTGATTTCTGTCTCTGAGAAGTGCACCTCCACATCACTCTGTTTGAGGTGAATGGAGTTTTGTTTGTCCTGCACATAATATTTGAAGAAAAATATAATTTCACAGAAACGTTCATCCATCCATTATCTAAACTTAATCCTCACTAGGGTCGCGGGGGGGCTGGAGCCTATCCCAGCTGACTCCCTGGACAGGTCGCCAGTCTATCACAGGGCTACACTTAGAGACAGACAACCAAGCACACTCACATTCACACCTACGGACAATTTAGAATCACCAATTAACCTCAACGTGGTTTTAGACCTTGTGGGAGGAAGCCAGAGAACCTGGAGAGAACCCACGCTGCACGGGGAGAACATGTAAACTTCATGCAGAAAGATCCCAGGTGTTCTCACCGGCATGCAAACTGGTGACCTTCGAGCTGCGAGGCAACGGTGCTAACCACCGAGCCACCTTGCAGACCTCACAGAAACGTGTATATTTTTTAAAAAAGAAACAAAAAAACATGTCAATCCTCACTGTGAAAATTCTCATTGGAACTACATTTTACCATAAAAATATGACACATTTTTTCTTTATAGTCAGGAAATTAAATCCCATTCAGCTCCTTTGTATTGCTATAAAGACAGAAAACTCAGAAATGAATAATTTCTTTTAAAAATCTGAACAAATTAAACCAAACTACCCCCATCTGTAAATAAATCTCATGGTCAGGGAGTGTGCTTTATTTTTTCATATCTTCATTGATGACCTTTGATGGCTACTTGATGGTTAAATGTGCAACATGCAAAATTATCGCCCATAATTACACCCCAGTTTAAATCCATTATGACTGATTTCATAGAGTAGAGACGACGCTGGGATACTCCATACCTTATATTAAGATGACACAAAACTACCAAACTGCGCAGTAAATGTTTAATCATGAAGGTCATTTAATACCAGAACAATTAGCTATCTTCAATCACAGAGAGAGGCGCTTATATGCTCTGCCAAGCATGAAATGAATTACTGATTCCATCTTTTTCTGCATGTACAACAGTTTTACTTTATGGTGTATGTAAACTGAAACGATACTGGTGAACTTTCACTGACCCTCCGCTCTACATGATCCACGTTCGCTGCAGTTTCCTGCGTGTCTTTATAATGAAAAATGGCAGTTAATTGACATCAGCGCTTCCATTCTGCTTTATGAGTTGAAAGAGCACATTTGTTTCTTTAATGGCTTTTATTTCATCCCTTCAGCAGAGGCTAATAACACAATCCTGCAGCATGAAGTCCAGAGCAGAGCATGTACATGTATATATTAGCGCAGCAGTAGCACGGTCAAGGTTTTAAACCACGTGAACGTCCCCATTTGCTTGTAAGTGAACAAGTGCTTTCATAGGTTTATACTGCTGTCTTTAAGGAAGAACCTATTTTCAGAGCACTAGTGTTATATTAGCTTAACTACAGTGAAGGACACAAGATATATTTTAAAACCACATAATGTCTCAGTTGTCCATTTGAAGATGAGGCCTGTTTGCAAACGGTTTCATTACTAAAAGCTACATAATATATAGTTAACCTCCCTGACAAATACGGTTATCCTGATGTTCACAGTTTGACATTTATGATGATGAGTACATTCAGCTCGAATCATTACATCATAACAGTCACTCTTAAATTTTATGACCATTATTTATAACACATTGAGATGCATCACTTGCTTTTTGTTCCTGCACAGCGACTCCTCTGAAAACCAGTAATAGGTGTTTCTCATTTTTATTTTAATGCTTAGAGCTGAGAGGAGAAAAAAAAAGACATGTTACTGAAGTCATAGCTCATGTGAAATGCACTGCATGCTGTGTTTTGGTACCAAAAGGTGCAGCTTTGTGAAGAAAACCCATGTTTTTGTCCCCACCCTGTGGCAGCATCTTCAGTTTACAATTCATTTTTTTTCCAGTTACCTTTTCATTTGATCAAGCTATTTTTACATCAGTATCCCCTTTTATTTTTGTTATTCATACTTTAAAAATACATTTAGATATAATGTGCTAAAAATGACAAAGCATCAAGCTGTAGGACATTTCTTGTATTTATTTTTGGCAAATTCAAAGTACTGACAGATTACTTGAACAGTATTACTTCATAAAACATATCCTTTTTAGTGCTTTACTTGTAGTGGAACTCCTCGATTTTGTTGTTCTACACTCCGTTTTGCGCTTCGGGTGTGGATTTAATCTTATTTACATCCATTTGTGTGTTTAATCACATTATGCATGACTAATCGAGGGAAACAGATAATCATGTTTTTATGCAGTAACTCAGATGAAATCAGTAAGCCGGTGTTCAACTGTTGATTCATTTCCTCCCTGCTCGTCTAGACAGAAGGAAATCTATTACTTAGATAAGATTGCACTGCAGAGACAAATCACCTAAACAATGACAAACAGAATAAACAGAAAAAGTCAGAATTATGGATGCCCTGCCACAAGAGAGTAAAGTCCCACATGTGAGCTGGCAGTTTTTTTTTTCCCTTCATTATTCCTCCCCTGTGTATAGTCTACATTCAGCTGCATCACTGTTTGTCCTGCTGAGCCTCCAAGTGTCTTTGTGCTGCTCTCAGTGTGTCCTGCAGGTCTTTGTACCCAGCCAGAGTGCAGGCCTCCTCCAGCCGGGCCCAGCGGTAGTCCTGGTGCTCATCAGACAGAGTCACGGCCGTCCCCGGGTCCCTCAGCTCGGCCAGCCAGTACAGCACCTCTTTGGGTTTGCCTCGCACCTCGTACCGCAGCTCCTGAAGGAAACCGTCTATTACCCGGAGATGCTCGGTGCCCAGACCCGCCTCCTCCTTGGTCTCCCTCAGAGCTGTGGTGAGGTCGTCCTCACCCGGGTCCACGTGACCTGACAGTGAAGATATTAGAGGTAACAATTAAAGCTGTATGATCACAATGTAGCTCATTAGGATCTGATTATCACATCTTAAACACACCTTTGGGTGGGGTCCAGTGGTGCTCCCCATAAGAAGTCTGCAAAAGAAGATACTCGATATTGCCTGCTGGAGGAATGCAGCTGGCTAAACGTCGAAACACGATGAAGCCGCAAGCTCGCAACGCCATTTTCCTGTTTAACAAATTTGCACACAAACAATGTTTGCATTAGGTTGTTTTCCAGCTTTCCAGAAAACTAAGGACTGTAGTGTGTAAGGTAAAGACATCATTAGTAATTTCTGACAGCAGAAACAAGACCCAAGTTTTCCAAGAACATAAACTTATGCACTTTTTAGATGGAAACTTCTTTGCACTGGGCTATTACAGAAACTCTGATTTCCTTTAATAACCCCTGTTTCAAGTCTGAAACACTTGCCCATCTGTTTTCAAGGCCACATTGTGAAAGTAGCACAATGTCCATGGTGTCACTTTAGGAGGACGGCCACTGCAGCTGTGATTAGTGGCACTGTGGCTGGTTCCATTGCACCTGATTACTGCTGCAGCTATGGTTCAAATGATTTTTAGTTGGTCAGTAATCTTCCTATATCCTTTTCCCTTATAGTGAATTCACACAATTATATTGATCCAGCAACTGGTTTCCATGTGGAGCTAACATGCAGACATGCAGACAGACACAGCTCACCGGTCCATAACTGATTAAGTTCTGGTGTTCACATGTTATTTAACTGTCTTGTGCCTTTAGACTAACTGAAAACCACAGGTATATTCAATTTTGCTTCAGTGATCACAGATTTTCTAACTTGTGTGTTTTGTGATCACATTTGTGTTCACTTTTGTTGTTTTGAGTTTCTATTTGGGGCATACATTTTAAATATAGTCCTTCTAAAGTAGTTGTTATTGATTGTTCATAAGGCAAAATACTACTTGTCAACTTGAAAATTATGCATCTTTAGACATATAGGTGACATTTTACAGGAGTGTTTGGTTGTTTACTGTACATATCCATGTCATATTGTTTCATAGTTGCTATTTGTTACTATTTTACTACATAATTACATTCTGCAAAACAGGTCTGTGATGGTGGGACCATTTGCTATTCATCCTGTGTTATGTGGTCATATGGAGAAAGTGTTCCTGTTGATTTAGAGAAGCTAAACCTGCTGACTGTAGACTTTCCAGTTCACATCGGCTTAATTCTAGCCTTTGCTTGTGAGTTAACCAGTCAGGACAAAGTCCAGCACCGTTACATCTGACTGGAGTTCACCTGAACCCTCCATGATGCTCTTTTACAGCATAGCTAGATAGTATTAATACACAAACACAATCAGTAGTTTCATTATATCTTTGACATTCGACTTTTTGTTACTAAAAATGAAAGCAAATAAATTCCCATTTTACTTACAGCTTGCAATATACATTTCTGTTGTATTATTATTTTAAAATATATATTACAGATTTAAGGTTAAAACGCAGTACAGACAGCAGGGGTGTCAGTGAACGCAGCATGTCAGCTAGCTTCCTGCTCTAAATGCACAAATCAGACGTCAAACACAGAAGCGACTTTGTAGTTTCTCATCATGTTTCTCGGGATTCTGCTCCTGCAGACGTCCTGCTGTTAAAGCCTTTACGCTCACAAGTTGCAGAAATGATGAGTTACAAACCACTTGTGTTCAAAAATATCTGCAACTTACTGTTTATTCGCAGTGACAAGATTTCATTGGGCGCTGTTTTGTTTCTCACCGGCTGTCACGAGCACTGAGCGGTGCACCCAGATAACGGTCCGGCCCACTTCGAAGACTGACGCAAATAGTTCCGGTTTGTAAAACAGAAGTAAAATCACTCAGAAGCAAATATTTTCAACGTACTTTCATTTAGATATGTTTCAAATACGTTACAGACTACAGAATGTAGGGTTTTATAGACTGCTGTTATTATAATTATAATTATAATTATTGTAACAGCTTTATATACAGTATTTTCTCTAGAATGATGCATTTTTACATAAACGGATGTCAGAACTTTATCTGCAAAGAAATTATAGCGATAAACAAAAACAGGTGAGTAAAAAGAACAATGTTTACCTCTGAAATGTAGCCATGTAGAAAGAGGAATACTAATATAATAACAATATAATAATAATAATTCTGCAAACTCTACCAAGGCTTTAATAATATAGTAAATCTAACATTTCACTAGTACTACTACTACTACTGCTGCAGATGATTATGATAGTGATGGAAGCTATACAGGAAACTTTAGGGACATGAAAAGGTGAAATGATAAGACTAAAATGCTCTAATAAAGAATTCATTTTTCAAACAATAGATTTCAATTGATGCATTCATCGTGCTGGAAATCGCTCTCAGTGACAGGTTAATCAAATAGATCAATGATAAACATGCACAAGTCTTTACTATCAAATAGCTGTTGTGGCTGTGAGAGACAGATAAGAAATTTACCGAGCAGTGCTAACTGAAGACAGCTTGTGTCTGTAGATAAAAAAGATAGGCCCCCCTTCCCACGCAACCCTGAACCGTCAGCAGTACATTTGATCAGCTTGAAGGAGAAGACACAGCTGCTGAGTTTAAGGTAATGCCAAAATAGGTTAAAATGTCCTTTTTTTATTTTCAAACATAACCAAAAATATACATAGAGAGACAAGCAAACAGACAGAGAGGTGCATAATATACTTCTGAAGGAATTGTACAAGCTTTAGCGATAGTGCTTAAAGGCTTACTTACATTTTCTTTTTCTTGACATGAATTATTGTTTTTCTGTTCTGTAGCTCTTTCCTTCATATCAGCTGCGTGTAGTTTAGATACAGGCTTCAAGAAGTGTGACTTTTGCTGCTGCTTCTACTGTGCTTACTCAGCCTGCGCTGAAGTGCTCATTATTCCACTCCACTATACATGAATCATACTTGCATCCAGATATTTTTGGTGTACACTGACTGTCACAGAGATTACGCATGGAGATGATGTAGCTCTGGATATCCAGTGACTGTGTTGAATGATGACAGCTAAATCTATGTCATTTACTTTAGCCTATAAGTGTCACTTTATGTAGGTCATAAACTGCAATCATCAGGCATGTGATCGTTATTTTGCATTTAGGAAACACACAGCAAGCCAAAAAAAAAAATTGTTTTTGGTGTGGACTTTTATTTTTTTGACAGCTTTTTTTTTTTCTTATTGCAATGAACACATTTACTTAGAATATAACAAATGATGGTCAGACAGATATTATGGATTAATGCTGCAGGTGTTAGTGTGTCTGGAATAGAGCTGATCAGTGCCAAGAAGTGTTCTTGCTTGACTGCTCTAGAAGTGTTGTGGACTTAATTTAAGCTGACAACTGTGATGCTAGGTGCCAACACAATAATCCCAGTGACAAATCCAAAAGCTACACTTCTCACATGTAGTTAAGGATTCAGCGGAAGTTCTCACCCTAAAACATGTACTTCTGCTGCACAGATGACACTGATTGTGGGTTAGTTACACCCAGTCTTGTGAACTGGGGATGGAAAGTAATGTGGCAAAATGTGATGTTTCCTGCTTACCCACTAAAGAACACTTCACTGAGCCATGGAGGAGAAAAAGCAACCAACAGGAGGGCCTTACTTTGTGGGCAAGAAGGATGAACTGATTGAAGCAAAGCGCTCCGTCAGAACACTGGAGGATCGGGATGTACTGATTATCCACCAACAGGGAGTCTTCTATGCTCTGGACTCTTACTGTTATCGTAAGTTCTGTTTTTCTTGTGGAAAACTCCAAGCAGCTGTTTTTTATGAGAGATGGAAGGTTTAATGGTATATAATAATAACATAATGGTTTAATTGCACTGCAAATCTGAATATTACATTATATTAGAATCTGATGTTGTTGATAAATGCAGATAAGCTGCTGTGAATAGAAATCCTGTTTTAGAACACTGGGCTGCCTTACTTTGTTATCCATGGAACATTTTAGCACATATCACCTCAAAAGTGTGTCCAGTCAGCAAAAGTGTGTTTGTGTGCTGTAAACTGTTTGCTTATTCTGCAATACACTGATCCTCTGTCTTCCCAACAGATGCTGGGGGAATGCTGCAGAATGGAGACATTGAGGTAAGGTTTACATTTGACTTAAGACATTAGATGTTGTGTCTTTGACCCAGAGGAAAAATGAGCCAAACTGCTATTTAGGTTAAAATATTGGTTTGTAAATTTTTAGTTTTTAATCCTGTTTCTGCTTTTACATGTTATTCTATCTGCACCAAAGTGCCAAAAGCCAACAGCTGGGCTGTGGCACAGAGGGATACTGTAATTATAATATCAAACTTGCATAACATTAATGTTATACTGTAGTCCCACGGGGCCTAAATAACGAGGTTGTTTACCTGCTTTCTCTCCACACACACACACACACACACACACACACACACACACATAAACATACGCAGGAGCTTAATGGCAGGCTGTGCATAATTTGTCCGAAGCACAAGTACAAGATCTCTTTAGCCGAAGGGGAGAGCTTGTACAAGGCCACCGACCCCCAGGAGACGCAGCCTGTTCCCAGATGGTACTCGAAGGGCGTGAAGCAGCGGACGCACACGGTCACAGAGATCAACGGGGAAGTCTTTGTCCAGCTCTCCAAGAGCCGTGACTGGCTCGAGTCAGACTTCTTCCAGGGAGAAAAGGGCAAGCTGGAAAGAGCTAAAGTGGAGGAAACTGAGAAAAAAGAAAAGAAAAAGCTGGAGAGTAAAAAATAAGGACTGCATCTCAATAGTCATTATTTGTGTCTTTGATCTGCTCTAAATGACTGTATGGAGAGGATGTTGGTTGTTAGATGACATGCACTCTGTGCTTTATTTCAAGTAAACTTGGGCAGGAATGGCCTTTAAAGTGATCTTCTTTTTAATGAGTGTGGGAGCATTTAGAATTTTAAATTGCTGAGCTGACATGATAATGTTTTTCTTCAAAGCGTGGTACCACTTTGGCATTTTAAGTTTGTTTCTCAAAACCATTATCCTCTTCACTAAATAAAAATTCTATCAATTAATTTAGATTTCTGACTCTATCTTCTTTAGTTGGACAGCGACATGAGGTAATTAAATGTGTGCCCACACTGATGCATCCTTTACATTTCAGTACTCTTCATGTACTATGCATACAGCAAATTAATCGATAAAATTAAAGAAAAAAAAAAGGTTTCTACAGATCAATAAAGTCCTAAAGTAGGTAATCGTTTATGTAAAATATAAAAAAATCACACTATACATATAATAGTATCTGCTTTTTGTAACATTCATGTCTGTTTATTCCCTCGGAAAATATCAAAAAACATGAATATCAGGTCAGAGGCTGTGCAGATTTCTGTGCAGATTTCAGTGTTTGGGATTTAGAGTCGTGACTTGTTTGTCGCCTTCTGGCAAAGAATTGCTTTAGTGACTGAAAACAAAAAAACATTTTGCAGAGGACCCAGAGCAAATCCCAGAGGTTGTTATAAGGTGCGAAGGGCCACTTGAGTCAGACACTGTGGCTGTTTGGAAGATGCTACTGTCCAGTTCGGCTCCTTATAGCCCCCTGGTGCATACTATGTATAGAAATGTATTACGTTTGTAGTGAAGACTGTTTCAAGAGTGTGTTTTGTCCAACCAGAAACCAGGGAGAACATGTATACTATTATTATTAACAGCCTCTGTATTGAATATGTTAAAACAACTACATTTTTTTGTTGATTGAATTTAAATTTTGAAAAAATTGAATTTCCCTTCTGGGATAAATAAAGTATTTTTCATTTCATTTTTCATTTCATTTCATTTATTCAACACAACTATCATACATTTTACATAATTACTCAAAAAAAAAAAAAAAAAAAGCTGAATCATATTCTAAGTTGTTATCCTTTCTTTGCCATCTGATGTAAGAAGTCAAGACAGCCTGTCACATTCAGAGTATTTCTCTGTTTCTGCACCCACAGCACAGGCTAAAGCCGTAACATGGCCCCAGAACTCCAAATGCCATGGGTTGAAAACACACAGGCCATGGGGTTTAATGTTTCTCTGTGCATGAATGATGCCGGTCTCTGTAGCCGGCTTACAGCAAAGTCTCAGCGCTGTCCGAAGGCCTTGGCCTCTGTGACGCTTCGAATACAATCAAGAAATGCACGGGGCCCGCGGGTTCCACGGAAATATGCGTGCAAAGTTCCAGCGCATTAAATATTAAAATATGATTATGCAGTCAAGTTGGGAATCTTGACACAAGGCAGGGACCATTATCTGCAGGTGGTAATTTGCAGTAGGTCACGCAGAGGGCTGTTTGTCAAGATAAAGAGCAGACTGTGTGGGGAAAGTGCTTAGCAGGGCGAGTGCATCTACCAGGGGGGGGGGAGAGAGCATGTAAGCAGCATGGATTTACAGTGTTGCAGGGCATTTACACTCAAGGCCGCGCTTTATGTTTGCTTTACTCGTCGTGTTGTGACCGACACAAGAGGCTAAGATTAAACCTTTAAGGCTTAGGCTATCCTTGCTCTCGAACAGGCCTGGAGTTTGTCCAAGAGGGACCACCGGATCTCATTATTAGTCAAACTTTTTTTTTTTTTTTATATCAAATACTCCCACAACAAAACACCCCCACAGCCAGCCAAAGTATTCTCCTGCTGCGTCAGCAAACAGCCGAACGCTCGCTCTTTGTTGTTGTCGTTATTGTTACCACTGCACTACTAAAAAAAAAAAAAAGAGGTGCTAGTTGCAACCAAAAAGGGTTTCTACGCAGGGATACCATAGAAGAACCATTTTTAGTTCCACGAAGAACCTTTTAGTAAAAGGTTCTGTAAAGAATCCCCAAAGGCGCTTTAAAGAAAAATCTATAAATTATTCACTGGGCACTATAAATGGAAAGACAGTTGTTTGTGGACATACCTGGTTCTATTTTAATAATACGCAGGGAGCCACCCAGATCAGACAGGTCGAGTTCATCCATTGGAACTGCAGTATCAAACTTTCATGAATGCAACTGTGGTGTCCGAGTGCAAGTGAAAGCAGGATTAGATGACTGTAAGTCCATTCATAAACATCAGAGAAAAGACAGCTGTGTCTTTAGCTGACAAAGGTGCATGCACAGACCTCAAAGTGTTAACAGGAGCTTGAGTTCAGTTTGTTGCTTCCAGCCATTTGTAGGAGTCTTTCCTCTGAGTTTATTAAATACCTGCAGCATCAGACAGCAGCAGGATCCATATGAGCATCTCCAAAGCAGGAGAGGTGCACACATTTAAATGCACAACACGTCTTTTTTTTCATCTATTACAATTTAAATTTTCCCTGACATGGAGACAGGATCGATCAGGATTTAACAGCACACACAAGTCACAGTTTACCAGCTACAGTTAAACAATCTGTTACACAATTGAACGCTGAGCTCCATCACACCTGGATATTAGTTCACTGTAAAAGTCTGATCTGTTTACTAAAGTCAAAAATATATCAAAGTTTTTTTTACTGAAGTGATTTTGCAGTTTTACAGCAGGAGAATTGCAACATTATTGTGAGTGTGGACTGTTGAAGAAATTTTACCCATAGTCCTCATGTGAAGTTTGCTGTAGTGGGCTGTTTATTAGTATTTCGGTATACGGTGGACTTACCAACACAGAGCATGAGTCTGTGATGGTAAACCGACCCAGAACATCTGCAGTGCCACACATTTTATAAGGTGTGTCAGAGGGTAGGGAGGACCTGTATGCAAATACCGCAGTGAATAGTGGTTAGTTAGCACACAGGAGGCAAGAGAACAATGAACAAAAGGTGGTGGAATTGGGGGTCTGTGATAGGAGGTAGGAGAACACATGGCAAAAGGTGATGGAATCAAAGGGTCTGTGACCAGCAAAAGAAGAGAGAATGACTTTCTTCATCATCATCAAAATAAAAGAGAATGACTTTCTTCATCAGGACGCATTATAGAATGTGATCTCTTTTATTGTACCGTAATTGGCTTTTAGATAAAATATCATCACACATGGATGGATTTTGTTGTCTTGAAATCATCAATATACTATGAATGTCTTAAGTTAAGGGGTCATTTCGCCTCAGTTTACCCCCCTGACCATCTTCAATTTGACTGATTTTTTTTAAAAGTAGTGAATATTGATTGAGCTGACCATGGGTACAATCTGGGGTCAAAGGTGACATTAGTTTTTGAGTTTCAAATCCCTAAACAGAGGTGGCGTCATGTCCATGTTTGTGTCTTTTCTTTGTGTTAATCTGTGGCACAATGTTTGAAGAGCTGTAACTTGAGAAATATTGTAGCTAGAGCGCTGAAATTTTGCAGGTTCATTGATGTTAGACAAATGTCCTTGACACAGACAAACATTCAGGTTTAGGGTGTTTTAAGTGAAAATGTGTCACTGTTGCTGATGTTAATATATTAGTCCATTTACAGTCTCACTAATGTCATTGAAAACTAACAGCTCGGGTCTAACAATTATGATTGCGCTCTTGCGGTAAATATTCAAGACAGGTAAGATGAGCAACCAATTAACACTGAAGTAACTCTCGGCAAAAACAAACTGCAGCAGAAAATGTAAAAAAAAAAAAGAAAAAGGTATAGGTATGTTTTATTTATGAAATACTGGTTTTTAGTATTTATTTATTTATTTTTAAGGTCATAATGTACGGAGCCCCAGAAGGGACATGGAGAGAAAAAAAAAAACAGGGAAGGAGAAAAAAAGGTATCTTTTGCAAGATCTCGCAAAACTTTCTCGGGATCTTGCAATAACTTTTGCGAGATCTCGTCAAACTATAGGTAACTCCAGTCCGGTAGGTGGCAGTAATGTACCTGAATGTTGGATGCTAACCGCCAAATCAATAGAAGAAGAAGAAGAAGAAAACTATAGGTATGTATTTATGGGTCTTTTTGGCAGTATGGAGAAACGACAACGGAGGACACCCACCCATACAAGAGTTTCACTGAGTTTTATTTTGAAATCGGCCAAAAATGATGACATTCAAGCAGTGCTTAGCAAGAGGCACAGTTTTCACAAAACATCCAATAAAATTGATGTTACTTTTGCAAGATCTTGCAAAAGATACCTCTATTTTTTCTATTTTTGTTCTTTCTCTATGTCCCTTCCAGGGTTCCGCACAATCTAAAACGATTTCTAATTTTATTTATTTGGGTACCCGTCTTTGCTTTTTGTTGTTTTTTTTTTGTTTGTTTTGTTTTTTAAAAAATTGTGTCTGTGATCTATGCTTGTAATTTCATTCTGAGTGCATTTTAATTTCTTTTAATGTACTAACTGAATGACAATAAAGTAAATCTAGCTCATCTATCCATGTGATAGAATGTAGATTGAATGTTTGATGACAATAAAGCATTCTATTCTATTCTATTCTATTCTATTCTATNTTTTTTTTTTCTTATTGCAATGAACACATTTACTTAGAATATAACAAATGATGGTCAGACAGATATTATGGATTAATGCTGCAGGTGTTAGTGTGTCTGGAATAGAGCTGATCAGTGCCAAGAAGTGTTCTTGCTTGACTGCTCTAGAAGTGTTGTGGACTTAATTTAAGCTGACAACTGTGATGCTAGGTGCCAACACAATAATCCCAGTGACAAATCCAAAAGCTACACTTCTCACATGTAGTTAAGGATTCAGCGGAAGTTCTCACCCTAAAACATGTACTTCTGCTGCACAGATGACACTGATTGTGGGTTAGTTACACCCAGTCTTGTGAACTGGGGATGGAAAGTAATGTGGCAAAATGTGATGTTTCCTGCTTACCCACTAAAGAACACTTCACTGAGCCATGGAGGAGAAAAAGCAACCAACAGGAGGGCCTTACTTTGTGGGCAAGAAGGATGAACTGATTGAAGCAAAGCGCTCCGTCAGAACACTGGAGGATCGGGATGTACTGATTATCTACCAACAGGGAGTCTTCTATGCTCTGGACTCTTACTGTTATCGTAAGTTCTGTTTTTCTTGTGGAAAACTCCAAGCAGCTGTTTTTTATGAGAGATGGAAGGTTTAATGGTATATAATAATAACATAATGGTTTAATTGCACTGCAAATCTGAATATTACATTATATTAGAATCTGATGTTGTTGATAAATGCAGATAAGCTGCTGTGAATAGAAATCCTGTTTTAGAACACTGGGCTGCCTTACTTTGTTATCCATGGAACATTTTAGCACATATCACCTCAAAAGTGTGTCCAGTCAGCAAAAGTGTGTTTGTGTGCTGTAAACTGTTTGCTTATTCTGCAATACACTGATCCTCTGTCTTCCCAACAGATGCTGGGGGATTGCTGCAGAATGGAGACATTGAGGTAAGGTTTACATTTGACTTAAGACATTAGATGTTGTGTCTTTGACCCAGAGGAAAAATGAGCCAAACTGCCATTTAGGTTAAAATATTGGTTTGTAAATTTTTAGTTTTTAATCCTGTTTCTGCTTTTACATGTTATTCTATCTGCACCAAAGTGCCAAAAGCCAACAGCTGGGCTGTGGCACAGAGGGATACTGTAATTATAATATCAAACTTGCATAACATTAATGTTATACTGTAGTCCCACGGGGCCTAAATAACGAGGTTGTTTACCTGCTTTCTCTCCACACACACACACACACACACACACACACACACACACATAAACATACGCAGGAGCTTAATGGCAGGCTGTGCATAATTTGTCCGAAGCACAAGTACAAGATCTCTTTAGCCGAAGGGGAGAGCTTGTACAAGGCCACCGACCCCCAGGAGACGCAGCCTGTTCCCAGATGGTACTCGAAGGGCGTGAAGCAGCGGACGCACACGGTCACAGAGATCAACGGGGAAGTCTTTGTCCAGCTCTCCAAGAGCCGTGACTGGCTCGAGTCAGACTTCTTCCAGGGAGAAAAGGGCAAGCTGGAAAGAGCTAAAGTGGAGGAAACTGAGAAAAAAGAAAAGAAAAAGCTGGAGAGTAAAAAATAAGGACTGCATCTCAACAGTCGTTATTTGTCTCTTTGATCTGCTCTAAATGACTGTATGGAGAGGATGTTGGTTGTTAGATGACATGCACTCTGTGCTTTATTTCAAGTAAACTTGGGCAGGAATGGCCTTTAAAGTGATCTTCTTTTTAATGAGTGTGGGAGCATTTAGAATTTTAAATTGCTGAGCTGACATGATAATGTTTTTCTTCAAAGCGTGGTACCACTTTGGCATTTTAAGTTTGTTTCTCAAAACCATTATCCTCTTCACTAAATAAAAATTCTATCAATTAATTTAGATTTCTGACTCTATCTTCTTTAGTTGGACAGCGACATGAGGTAATTAAATGTGTGCCCACACTGATGCATCCTTTACATTTCAGTACTCTTCATGTACTATGCATACAGCAAATTAATCGATAAAATTAAAGAAAAAAAAAAGGTTTCTACAGATCAATAAAGTCCTAAAGTAGGTAATCGTTTATGTAAAATATAAAAAAATCACACTATACATATAATAGTATCTGCTTTTTGTAACATTCATGTCTGTTTATTCCCTCGGAAAATATCAAAAAACATGAATATCAGGTCAGAGGCTGTGCAGATTTCTGTGCAGATTTCAGTGTTTGGGATTTAGAGTCGTGACTTGTTTGTCGCCTTCTGGCAAAGAATTGCTTTAGTGACTGAAAACAAAAAAACATTTTGCAGAGGACCCAGAGCAAATCCCAGAGGTTGTTATAAGGTGCGAAGGGCCACTTGAGTCAGACACTGTGGCTGTTTGGAAGATGCTACTGTCCAGTTCGGCTCCTTATAGCCCCCTGGTGCATACTATGTATAGAAATGTATTACGTTTGTAGTGAAGACTGTTTCAAGAGTGTGTTTTGTCCAACCAGAAACCAGGGAGAACATGTATACTATTATTATTAACAGCCTCTGTATTGAATATGTTAAAACAACTACATTTTTTTGTTGATTGAATTTAAATTTTGAAAAAATTGAATTTCCCTTCTGGGATAAATAAAGTATTTTTCATTTCATTTTTCATTTCATTTCATTTATTCAACACAACTATCATACATTTTACATAATTACTCAAAAAAAAAAAAAAAAAAAGCTGAATCATATTCTAAGTTGTTATCCTTTCTTTGCCATCTGATGTAAGAAGTCAAGACAGCCTGTCACATTCAGAGTATTTCTCTGTTTCTGCACCCACAGCACAGGCTAAAGCCGTAACATGGCCCCAGAACTCCAAATGCCATGGGTTGAAAACACACAGGCCATGGGGTTTAATGTTTCTCTGTGCATGAATGATGCCGGTCTCTGTAGCCGGCTTACAGCAAAGTCTCAGCGCTGTCCGAAGGCCTTGGCCTCTGTGACGCTTCGAATACAATCAAGAAATGCACGGGGCCCGCGGGTTCCACGGAAATATGCGTGCAAAGTTCCAGCGCATTAAATATTAAAATATGATTATGCAGTCAAGTTGGGAATCTTGACACAAGGCAGGGACCATTATCTGCAGGTGGTAATTTGCAGTAGGTCACGCAGAGGGCTGTTTGTCAAGATAAAGAGCAGACTGTGTGGGGAAAGTGCTTAGCAGGGCGAGTGCATCTACCAGGGGGGGGGGAGAGAGCATGTAAGCAGCATGGATTTACAGTGTTGCAGGGCATTTACACTCAAGGCCGCGCTTTATGTTTGCTTTACTCGTCGTGTTGTGACCGACACAAGAGGCTAAGATTAAACCTTTAAGGCTTAGGCTATCCTTGCTCTCGAACAGGCCTGGAGTTTGTCCAAGAGGGACCACCGGATCTCATTATTAGTCAAACTTTTTTTTTTTTTTTATATCAAATACTCCCACAACAAAACACCCCCACAGCCAGCCAAAGTATTCTCCTGCTGCGTCAGCAAACAGCCGAACGCTCGCTCTTTGTTGTTGTCGTTATTGTTACCACTGCACTACTAAAAAAAAAAAAAAGAGGTGCTAGTTGCAACCAAAAAGGGTTTCTACGCAGGGATACCATAGAAGAACCATTTTTAGTTCCACGAAGAACCTTTTAGTAAAAGGTTCTGTAAAGAATCCCCAAAGGCGCTTTAAAGAAAAATCTATAAATTATTCACTGGGCACTATAAATGGAAAGACAGTTGTTTGTGGACATACCTGGTTCTATTTTAATAATACGCAGGGAGCCACCCAGATCAGACAGGTCGAGTTCATCCATTGGAACTGCAGTATCAAACTTTCATGAATGCAACTGTGGTGTCCGAGTGCAAGTGAAAGCAGGATTAGATGACTGTAAGTCCATTCATAAACATCAGAGAAAAGACAGCTGTGTCTTTAGCTGACAAAGGTGCATGCACAGACCTCAAAGTGTTAACAGGAGCTTGAGTTCAGTTTGTTGCTTCCAGCCATTTGTAGGAGTCTTTCCTCTGAGTTTATTAAATACCTGCAGCATCAGACAGCAGCAGGATCCATATGAGCATCTCCAAAGCAGGAGAGGTGCACACATTTAAATGCACAACACGTCTTTTTTTTCATCTATTACAATTTAAATTTTCCCTGACATGGAGACAGGATCGATCAGGATTTAACAGCACACACAAGTCACAGTTTACCAGCTACAGTTAAACAATCTGTTACACAATTGAACGCTGAGCTCCATCACACCTGGATATTAGTTCACTGTAAAAGTCTGATCTGTTTACTAAAGTCAAAAATATATCAAAGTTTTTTTTACTGAAGTGATTTTGCAGTTTTACAGCAGGAGAATTGCAACATTATTGTGAGTGTGGACTGTTGAAGAAATTTTACCCATAGTCCTCATGTGAAGTTTGCTGTAGTGGGCTGTTTATTAGTATTTCGGTATACGGTGGACTTACCAACACAGAGCATGAGTCTGTGATGGTAAACCGACCCAGAACATCTGCAGTGCCACACATTTTATAAGGTGTGTCAGAGGGTAGGGAGGACCTGTATGCAAATACCGCAGTGAATAGTGGTTAGTTAGCACACAGGAGGCAAGAGAACAATGAACAAAAGGTGGTGGAATTGGGGGTCTGTGATAGGAGGTAGGAGAACACATGGCAAAAGGTGATGGAATCAAAGGGTCTGTGACCAGCAAAAGAAGAGAGAATGACTTTCTTCATCATCATCAAAATAAAAGAGAATGACTTTCTTCATCAGGACGCATTATAGAATGTGATCTCTTTTATTGTACCGTAATTGGCTTTTAGATAAAATATCATCACACATGGATGGATTTTGTTGTCTTGAAATCATCAATATACTATGAATGTCTTAAGTTAAGGGGTCATTTCGCCTCAGTTTACCCCCCTGACCATCTTCAATTTGACTGATTTTTTTTTAAAGTAGTGAATATTGATTGAGCTGACCATGGGTACAATCTGGGGTCAAAGGTGACATTAGTTTTTGAGTTTCAAATCCCTAAACAGAGGTGGCGTCATGTCCATGTTTGTGTCTTTTCTTTGTGTTAATCTGTGGCACAATGTTTGAAGAGCTGTAACTTGAGAAATATTGTAGCTAGACGCTGAAGTTTTGCAGGTTCATTGATATGAGACAAATGTCCTTGACACAGACAAACATTCAGGTTTAGGGTGTTTTAAGTGAAAATGTGTCACTGTTGCTGATGTTAATATATTAGTCCATTTACAGTCTCACTAATGTCATTGAAAACTAACAGCTCGGGTCTAACAATTATGATTGCGCTCTTGCGGTAAATATTCAAGACAGGTAAGATGAGCAACCAATTAACACTGAAGTAACTCTCGGCAAAAACAAACTGCAGCAGAAAATGTAAAAAAAAAAAAGAAAAAGGTATAGGTATGTTTTATTTATGAAATACTGGTTTTTAGTATTTATTTATTTATTTTTAAGGTCATAATGTACGGAGCCCCAGAAGGGACATGGAGAGAAAAAAAAAAACAGGGAAGGAGAAAAAAAGGTATCTTTTGCAAGATCTCGCAAAACTTTCTCGGGATCTTGCAATAACTTTTGCGAGATCTCGTCAAACTATAGGTAACTCCAGTCCGGTAGGTGGCAGTAATGTACCTGAATGTTGGATGCTAACCGCCAAATCAATAGAAGAAGAAGAAGAAGAAAACTATAGGTATGTATTTATGGGTCTTTTTGGCAGTATGGAGAAACGACAACGGAGGACACCCACCCATACAAGAGTTTCACTGAGTTTTATTTTGAAATCGGCCAAAAATGATGACATTCAAGCAGTGCTTAGCAAGAGGCACAGTTTTCACAAAACATCCAATAAAATTGATGTTACTTTTGCAAGATCTTGCAAAAGATACCTCTATTTTTTCTATTTTTGTTCTTTCTCTATGTCCCTTCCAGGGTTCCGCACAATCTAAAACGATTTCTAATTTTATTTATTTGGGTACCCGTCTTTGCTTTTTGTTGTTTTTTTTTTGTTTGTTTTGTTTTTTAAAAAATTGTGTCTGTGATCTATGCTTGTAATTTCATTCTGAGTGCATTTTAATTTCTTTTAATGTACTAACTGAATGACAATAAAGTAAATCTAGCTCATCTATCCATGTGATAGAATGTAGATTGAATGTTTGATGACAATAAAGCATTCTATTCTATTCTATTCTATTCTATTCTATTCTATTCTATATGGTCTTCAATGGTAAAACCCTGCTTTGATAGATTAACACAAACCAGTTACATGATGATGCAAATTTGGCCCAAAAAAAAAAAAAAAAAAGGCTAACGTTTCTGTGTGCCACCCCAAGACTCCCATCTGGCCACCCTTCAGAGCATTTTCTGGAGGCGCCCCTGGTGCTGCACCTCATGCTCCAGCCTCTGGGCAATTACTTTTATGCTCCACGCGTTTGATGGAGGAGTTTCTCTTTGAAAGTCAGACGAGTGGAAGTTGGAGGCTCACATGTGCAGGACAAAGCTCCCCGTTCATCAGGATGAAAGCTTTGAGACAACAAGGCGTAAAAACTGCGCGCGAGTGAATAAAACAACATCTGTCCTGACCTGCACGACCAAAGCGTGGTCTCGGTGTGTGTGTGTGTGTGTGTGTGTGTGTGTGTGCGCTGTATCCTGAGCGTTGCTGAGTCAGTCAGACCACTGCTCTCTCTCTCTCTCTCTCTCTCTCTCTCTCCAGTTGTTCTTCGCCTGTGAGACTTTGTTTTATCCGCCATCGTCATTCACACGGTGTGGACCCGGAGGATCGGAGCTGCCCTCTCCCTCTCTCTCTCCCTCTCTTCCTCTCTCTCTGCTTCCCTCTCTCCTCCTCCTCGTTAATTCGCGTTTTCCAGCCGCCTGACAACTTGTTTGTGTGTTAGCGCATTGGCTGCTGCCCATGGGCGCTGCTGCTGCTGCTGCTGCTGCTGCCGCCGCCGCTGTTGACACTCTCCGGTCGGGCTGTCCGGTGCGCCTCTGCGGGTCGGTTCGGGACGGGTTCTTTTTTTTTTTTTTTTTTATTTTTTTTTTTTTTTTGGATTCATTTTTTTTTTTTATGAATGAATAACGAGGCGAGGGGAGAAATGCGAGTGACTGCGAAACTCCCATGCAGCCGGGCTCCCGGGGGGCCAGCCGCCGATGAGAGGGATTAACGACGGAGCGGAGCCGCGGCTCATTGCGGAGGAAAGGAAAAAAAAAAAGAGGAGCGAGCCTTGACTGCAGCCTGGCGCGGAGACGCACCGTGAGGGAAACGGGCTCCATAGCGTAGAGCGGCGGAACGGGGAAAAACCGCGGTGACCACAATGTAAGTTCATCTGAAGCTGCAACTCATTACCACATATGAGGAGACTCCTGCTTGCATGCCTTATTTATTTCATCTCCTGCCAACACACCGCTGCTTGGAAGAAAAAAATAAATAAAACAGTCTCCAACATTCATTCAACCCATAATAGCTGCACACTCAGGTGTGACAAAGGCCTTGGCTGAGCTTCTTCTCAGTCATTTCCAGTGACATAACAGTGATGCACTGTCTCCGTGATAGACATGAATAATAAGGTGCGAGGAGAGGGAGAAAAAAAAAAAAAAAGGTGCCTGCGCTCCCTCCTTGGTGCTACAACACCAATTCACTCCTCGGTTGTTTTTGGGGCTTTTGCAGGTCTATCCACATCGTGGCGCTGGGCAGCGAGTGCCCCGGAGGAGTGGGGCCCGGGGAGGAGATCATGGGCCAGGGGCAGCTGCAGGGAGGCTTGCTGTGGAGCTACCTGGGTCACGGAGCCCTGGTGGGACCCTGCGACCTGGAGAGCAGCCTGCACAACCCTGCCTTCATGGAGTACACCTCCAGGGTGTTTGGAGATGTCACCGTGGTGGTGCGGGATTGTCCCAGCTGGGTAAGAGACAGGTGGTGGTAAACCTGCATGCATGAGAAGATGTGTGTGTGTGTGTGTGTGTGTGCGCGTGTTTTTATGCAGGTTAAGAGGGATCCTACAGGTGTAACATCACAGAGAGCACAAAAGACACAGCTTAGTTGACAGACTGTTAAGTTTAGTTTGTTGCTTCCAGCTGTTTGTAGGAGTCTTCACTCTGAGTTTATTCCATACAATAGAGCTGCACATGTTTAAGCAAAAAGCAGCTGTAACTTTCTGTGTGGCTCTTCCCCCTATGTATTCATTAACATCTCAGCATGTGCAAAACCAGATCAGACTGGATTGTGGTTCAGTAAAAAGTGGTGTAGTTTTGCCATGGCATCATCTCTGTGAGTTGTGTGTTTTTATGCACCTTAACAAGGATCTTTAAGAGTCCTTTAATGTGCTGTTATGGTTTAACATGACATAGAGCACAACTGTTACCGGGGGCTTAAGTTTAGTTTGTTGCCTCCAGCTGTTTGTAGGAGTCTTCCCTCTTTTCCATACATTTCCATATTCATTGCCAGCTTGTGTGATGCCGGATCAGACAGGTTTTTACAGAGGCCAACATGGTAAAACAAGTCATCAAAAAGTGGTGTAACATTGCCATGGCATTGTCTCTGTGAGTTGTGTGTCTTTATGCACTTTAACAAGGATCTTTAAGAGTCCTTTAGTGTGCTGCTATGGTTCAACAGTTTGGGAATTTAGTTGACTGAGACAACGCACAGACTTCAAACTGTTACCGTGGGTTTAAGTTTAGTTTGTTGCTTCCAGCTGTTTGCAGGCGTCTTCCCTCTGAGTTTATTAAATACCTGCAGCATCACATAGAACAGGATCCAAAGAGAGAAAGCTGCACACATTTAAGCACAACACAGCTGTAACTTTCTGTCATGGCTCTTTTTTTTTTTTTTTACATTGTCATATTTCGGGACAACATGTTGTCCTTATTGGGCTAGTCAGATTACTGTCTGAGTCTTGTGTCCTCTAGCATGTCCTCCAAGGAACGAAGAGGAACCTCAAAAAAAGTGCACACAGTCTCTTACACTTTAAAATCCTTTATTTGCTGTCTGCATAATCACACAGAGAAAGAGTAGAGGAGTTAGGAAGCAGGGCGAGTCCAGGCCTGAAAACCACATGTGGCTGTGGCATGTGGTGCGTATGTTCTGTTTTGTGCAACATGTTTTTCTCTTTCAAACCGATTTCCATATTCATGATCGTCTCAGCTTGCGCGATGCCAGATCGGACTTGATTCACAGAGGAAGGCTCTGACACAGGCCGACATGGCAAAACATGTCACCGAAGAGTGGTGTAATTTATCCGGAGCATTGTCACTGTGAGAGAGCGTGCGTCACTTCGCTGATATGCTGTTTATTTTTCAATCTGCCACCGTTTCTCAGAAGACATTCGAAATTTCAAATTCCAAGGGCGCTTGCCTTCCAGCGCTGATTGCAGGCTTTATAAAAACATCTCTATTCTTAGTTGGACGCTATTTTAACATGCACTACACACACAGAGAGAAAAAAAACACAGATGAAAGAACTTTTGTTCCTAATAGCATATGAATTTGAAATGAAAGCACTGTTATGGTTTTTGTAGCAGCGCTGTGTGCCTCCTATTATAGGGCTGTCGAACCCTGACGGGGGTGTTGCTGAAGAAAGTCTGTCAGTCGATTGTCTCTCTTTTTTTTTTTACTCAAATTGCTCAAAGCTTTCTGAAGTCTTTCTTTTCCTGGCTAATGAATCAGGTTGGTTTAGAGCAGCTAGTCTCACACAAGTCCTTGGGGGTAAAGTCCCAAGAGCCAGCCGCACTGAGGTATTCATACTTAGAAGGGGAAGGGTTATCTGAGGTAAGATTCATGGTACAGCTTGAGTATGTTGACACTCCTGCATTCCTCATGTGTCTGTCCCCCTCTGACCCCCTTGCGTTTACAGCTGTCGTCCTTTTTCTTACCTTTCCAGGACCTGTTGGACAGCGACTGGGCCAGCGTACGGAAAGTTCTCGAGCAGGCGGACATCCTGGTTATTAAATATTCAGTCACCGACAAGCTGGCCTTCCAGCAAGTCAGGAACGGCTACGCCCCGAGACTCCGCCCGCTCCTGAGGCACTGGGGTGTCCCTGTCATCCTGGTCGCTGTCGGAGCGAGGCTGAATGGTGAGCACGCCTTTGTTCTGTGTTTTTGTTAGAGCCCGAGAGTGAGTTTAGTTTCACCCAACAGCGCTTTGCCAACCGACGCTTCCTCTGCACGTGAACAGTGGAGTTCGAGAGGAACAAAACGCAAAACGACTTCATCTTTCAGCCCCTGTGCTTGATATCCAAGTTTTTTTTGGTGGGGTGAGGGGGCAGTTTACTTTTGCTTTGGCTGTTGGTTCATGTTCTGGTTTTTTGGTTCCCGGACAACATTGTGTTTTTCTTGTTGGCCGAGTGAGATCACTGTCTGAGTCTTGTGTCCTCTAGCGTGTCCTCCCAGCAACGAAGAGGATGCTCGTGATTAAATCTCCTCCAGGCTGCCTTCGGGCACTCGACTCACATGTCTCTCTGCTGGGAACACAGCAAAGCAAAAACATCAAGTTTAGATTTTTCTGCCCAAAAGAAGCCTTTCTAGTAGACAAGGGTTCATCATCGTGGCTCAAAAGTTCACCACAACAGCAGTATGTCGCCTAAATAGTCTGTGTAGATTCTCAGCCATCCAGGTCATGGTACTTCTAGCAGAAAGAAGCCACTTGGATAAGAGGTGAAACATCTTCAAGAAGTCCGGCTGCTTCCCACTGAAGCTCTAAGGGTCGCTTAAATAGGATTAAGGCACTTGGGTGTAGCTTTACTCGAGGCCACTTTACACAGGCATTAACATGCGTGCACGTCGTCACCTCGGTGACTGCGCACGTGTTGTTGCAGACACACTGACCTCTGTTAAAACCAGTTTCGGTAAACAAGCCCATCAAATGCTCCAGGTTGTATTTTTAGCTCGTCTGCTCAACATACTTTGAGATCCTGTCAGAGCGCCGCTGCAGAATGATCACAGCGTAAAGTCAAGTCTTCACTGGAAAGAAAAGAGAGAGGGAGGAGAAGGAGGGAGTGGGTAGCTGTAGACCAGAGCCTTTTGTTAGTGTTTTTGTTTGTGGCTGCCATGAGTATTTTCATGCTATCCCCTCATGACTGCAGAGAATGACGGCTGAGCTCCGAGCGCTTCCCGCTGCTCGACTTTAGACCACCTAAGGCACAGCTGTGGCAGAGAGAGCGCTGCCATACGTGCATTAACGCAGCCATTAAACCAGCGATGAACGAAGGAGCGCAGACAGATTTATCCAAGGGCACGCAGCACTAACATACCACTGATATGCCAAGTCACCGCCTGTCAGACACTCACACACACTCTGCTTTTCCTTATACCTCCCTTATATTCACTCACACACACATACATTCATCCCAGCTCCGGCTCTGTGTCATGCCTGCAGGACATTAGCAGTATGATTTATCAAATGCTTCAGCACTTGGCTGTATGTCCCGCTCATTCCCTCTCTCTCCTCCTTTGTGCAGCCTTTCTGTAGTTTTTTTTTTCTTCCTCCTCCTTCAAGATAATCCCTCTAATTTTCTGTCTGATTTTGTCTCTGTGATCCCCACGGACACATGCCACAGTACAGCTGGTCCTAGTGCACGTGCCACTGCAGATTTTACACATTTATGTGATTTTTGTTGTACAATAATCCCTTTTTTTTTTATCACTTTGGATTTAGTGGATGATGTGAAAACTGTGGCTTGGAAGTGTCACGTTTCAAGAAGCAAATATTTGACAAACTCAAAAAAAAGTGCAAAGGCCCCCTTTAAAATCCTCACTCGCTGTCTACGTAGTCACATGGAGAAAGAGTAGAAGGGTTAGGAAGCAGGGCGAGTCCACACCATGAAACCACATGTGGCTGTGGCATCTGGTTTGTATGTTCCGCTTTGTGCAGCATGTTTTCGTCGGTTTTGAACTGATTTGCAAAATGTTATATTTTGCAAATCAGTTCTAGTGACTTCTAATTTGTAACACAACCTTTTTTGGAAATGGACACGAAAACAAGATTTGTGTTTTGTTGATTTGTTTACTGGTTATTTGTGATGTAGTAGATTCTGCAAGTTCTTTTTTTTTGACTCTTTCATTCTAAGTGTTACGCACTTTGTGCTTTGACTCACAGGAAGTAGGTTGACTGTCGATCATACAAAACTACATCCACCTGTGGGATTAGGTGTGCTTATGACTCCACTGTCTCTTTTAAATTTAAAAAACTGCTCTGTTAAACTTAGTGAGAGCTAGTTAGTGTAATACTAATAATACTTTTATTCATATAGCACCTGTTATAATAAGAGTTTATAAATAGGGCAAAAAAGAAAAGAAGGATGCTCAGGAAGAACACTGAACAACAGAAGGCTGGTCAGTCCAAACATGGTAATAAATAAACTGAAATAATTTAGTGCAACAGCAGCAGATAAAATATCAAAATGCCACAGCCAAGTAAAGGAAGGAAGAAGTGGAATAAAAGAAAAGAGAGGGTAAAACTGTAAACACAAGGCTAAAAAGGATAGTAATAGCAAATAAGTAGAAAAATAAGAAAATAAGTGAATAATTAAGGGGCAAAAGGGAATGAAATTAACAATAAAATAAAGTGTAGATGATAAAACCTATAATAAGAAGTAAGTAAATATAGAACGAGACAATGTAGCAGATTTTTTGTCCCACATCTGGATTGATTGTGCATTGATCTGTGGCGTTTATGGACATTATCACTGAGGATGTTGTGCTTCAAAGTGTAAAGTGCAGTTGAACATTTTACCAAATCTAAACAGCACATTATTTATTTCTATTTGCTGTAGGTCATAGTGGTCCAGTGAAGCTCCTCTAGTCCAACATGGCACTTGTATTTTGTGTTTTCGCATCTCCAGCATTCGATGCCCAATTCATACAGGGTTCATGTTTCCTAAAACGCATAATTTCACATCGATGACTCATGTGCTGCCTCTCATAAACCCTCATAAAGTATTTATTAGATTACGCTGTGCATGCAGGATGCATTACTTCATCTCAGAGTTGAACTGTGCTCTGTGTTCAGACGAAGGCCCTCCTTGTACGTGTCCGTTGTGTGCATCAGACTGGAGCAGCTGTGTTCCTCACAGTGAAGGTCTGCAGCTGTCCCGGGACCTGGGGGCCACCTATCTGGAGCTGCCCTCTCTCAACCACGTCTTTGTGGGTCGCTACTTTGGCAGCGTGGTAAGCGATGACGCAATACGCGACTCAAAGGATCTAGTTTTGAATGAGCTCTTAGATTTTGTTTTTTTTTTTACCCAGCATCCCCTGAGGAAAGCAGCATTTTTATTTAAAAACTAAACAAAAAAAAACACTCCTCTACATATATGTTAATGCTTGAATCACAACAAGCGCTTTTCATACTTTTCATTTCCTGTCAAGCTACAATAACTGTGCACTCCCAGATAGCTACAGTACTCAGTAGAGGAGACAGTGACAGGTTGGTCTTCCCAGGAAGTTATTTCCAAAGCAAAGAAACTGATGATGTAACATCACTATTTTTGTACCCTGCATTTGAACTAACGTGTGTATTTCTGTATTGTTCAGCTGGAGTACTTCATGATTCAGTGTCTGAAACACAAAGCCAAAGAAAGGCCAGAGAAGAGGCGAGGAAATAAAGTGAATGAGCTCCGTCCCCCTCACTTAGAACAACCAGGTCAGAGGAATACTACGGCATTTAATGAGTAATACTAGCTGTGGCATGCGTTTAGGTTTTTGTTGATTCCTATCTTTACCTTTCTATCACACCCCTTTTTCAACTTAATTCTCCTTTTTAAATGGTAATTTCATGTTCATGCTATTAAGTAATTATGGTTTCTTTAAATCTCTCTTTTTCGTGGTGTTCAGAGGGCATTCAGTGGACTGAGCGGATTGTTCCTTCTTGAGCTTACATGGCCATAAAAAGAGCTGAGCACAAAGGTTTTTTATCTAGATCAATATTCTCTGTTCCAAACTGGAAATAAGAAGAGAGACAAAGAGCTAGGTGGACTGCTTTTATTCAATGGCATCTGAATCAATTTTAGACTGAGCTCCTTTCAGCGAAGGATGCAACACCAGCTGAGTTTATTGCTTTTAGCTGAGGCGACTCAGTGATTGTTGTTGTGGAATGAGACAGGATTAGTCCTCAATCTTTAACTAAATGCTCCTGATAAGTTTGGCTATTTGATAAACCCTCCTGTCCAGTAAGTTTCATGCCAGCTAGAGTTCAGTTTTTATATGTTTTTAATGTATGTTTGGTCTATTTCAGCATTAGAAGATGGAATTTAGGTTTAATTATCTCCATTGTCAGTTGATCTGTTGATTATTTTAATGATTGTTTTAATTCATGTGAAGGAAATTGTCTTGTTTATCACAAGTTGACTTTAGCACAAAGAAAATAGACAGATTCTCACAATTCTTTCCCTTTGAGAGGTTAAATCTGGAAAATATTTGGCATTTTTTCCTGACAAGTTACTAATCAGTCCTCAAAAACCTCCCAGTTAATTATTGACTAATGATTTGAGATGCAATTTGTCTTAATCTGCATATTTGAAATTCAGAAATCGGGATTACATTTTAATTAAGCTTCAAAACAATCCTCATGTCGAAAGGCTTTTGTTTCTAGCGGCAATGTCGAGGCTTTTTGCAGATTTATTGCGAAATTAATCAAACCGCCTCAAAGCCAATCAGATTCCACAAACACGAAACTCTTAATTATGAGGAGATAAATGACCATGTTGATGAAAAGAGGCTAAAACTCACAGAACATTTGCACGCAGTGAGCAGCTTAGACACACAAAGTTTGATTGTTGTAAAAGAAACAAGGCGAGCTGGAGGCCTGCTTTTTCTTTGTCCTAATGTTCTACTTTTTGTTTTTTTTGTTTTTTGTTTTCGACTGTGGTGCTCTCTCTCTCTCCTAATTGGATAAAAGATAGTCTGATTAAACCTGCAATTGACTGCCGGATGTTGTCACAAACTGAAAGCTCTCGCTGTGTTCAATTTGGAATTACATAAGTAAAGTTAATGTGGCTCCAAGCACAGCTCTCACACCACAAATAGTCCCAGTGGCATTGTTTTATTTTAAAAATAGGAGCCCAGTGGTGTATTGTGTAAGGTTTGAATTCATAGCTACACTCCCGTCTCTTGCTTTACAACCACAGCTGCCGTTTTTTTTCCGAGCACAGTTCCTCTTGTACGAAATAAAACACCTGAAGATATTCAACACAAACTGCGCTGTTCAACCAACATTAAATATTGATTTGAGCGGTTCCCCGCAGTGTCGGTTTAAATCGGATGCAGTGACTGACAGCTTTAAGTTCTGCCAAAAATGGCAGCAAGTGCTGGTGGATTTATTGGTGTCTGTCCAACGCTACTTAGCTCTCCTTACAGTGTAGCTTTCATTAAATATGGCACGCAGTGATTCAGGAACAGCGCAGTGTTCGAGGACAAATCGGAGCACCCATAAAACAAGACGATTTTCACAGAAGTACAGTGTGTATTAGGCATGAATAGGAATATAATAGGATGATGATTTGTGAAGCACCCTCCCCCCCCCCCACTTCCTTCACTCTTCCCCCTCAGTGGTTTTTCACTTTTATTAATCTGCCTTCATGAATGCATGAATCATTTTGTTCCCCTCCTCCTTTTTCTATGTAATGTTTCATTACAGGTTGTTTTTTTCCAGGCACTATTTCTGTTCTTTTGTCATCGCATTTGTTACTGCTTCACCGCAAATCATTCATTTGTAGCTACTGTCGGTCCAAATCGTCTCTTCCTCAAACATTAACCTCATTTAAAATAAACTTCTGGACGTGCTCTGCTTTATTGTTTTTATCATCAAAATGATTTAAATTGTAACTAGTAAAGGCCAACTTTTGATCCCCTCTTGGTCCTTTAAGGTTAGAAACAGGCGGCTGTCCTCTGTAAGCTAAAAACATGTTAGAATTCCTCTGTTAGTCTGGCAGACTGGAATCCAGTGCAGCAGCCTGAGCTTGCATCTTTTCAGAACTGTCATTAGTGCAAAGACAAACATGTCTGGAAGCATTTTTTTTTTCTAGCTGGAGCAACAGGACGCAGTGCAACGTGACATTGGTCCCTCTTAGTGCTCTCTGTCTTGACTAAAAGATCTCACTGCACTCTTGCTGTCAAAGCTGCTTCCTCCACCTACCTGTATACAGCCTATTTCTCTCTGAGCTGTCAAAACCTATCACTAAAATAGGGAGAAATCCCAAGTATAACTAGACAAGGTAGATTGAGGGAAAGTGGAAACACCAAAAATCTTTATCACAACACGCCTCGGAGGCTTTGAGCATAACAAATTGGTGGATTTTCTCTTTTATTCTCTGATTTAGGGCCAGGCTGAATTTCAGCAGTAACTGCTCGTTATCTCAGCTCATCCTATCTTCCTTTTCTTTCCACCCCCACCCCCCTCACTTGCTCCTGATTTCCCGTTCAGCTCGTCTGCCCCCCATCCGAGTGGAGGAGTCCAGCTTCTCCCAGGACATGCAGTGGTTGCTGGAGCGTGGCGTGCAGTTCGCCGATGTGGCTTTCTACGCTGGGGATTCTGGGAAAGAGCTGGGGTGGGCGCATGCTGCAGTGTTATGTGCTGTCAGCCCCTACTTCAGACAGCTGCTCCTGGGGCCCAAGACCAGGTAGGAGAGATATTAAGTTACTTACAGGATAGAGCCTATTGAGCTATTTCATCGCCTGAGCCTGTAGCCAGCAGGAGCTCAGCTATTTCTGGAAAAAAAACAAGTCCTCTTTAGTGTGATTGCGAAGCGTTTTGTTCGTCTCTGGTCGGACAGGGAACGCCCACAGTCACGATGTGTTTGCAGAGAGCGAGACGGAGGCCCCCATTCGCTGCTCTCTACCTGGGACGGAGGTATTATTGATGACATGCCGAGATCGGAGGGACACCTGACAGGACGTCTGACCCGTCTGGTGGTGAAGGACCCCCTCCTGTGTATGTGCCTATGGGAGACTCTCATGTTCATCTACAGAGGTGAGAGCTGTCATTTAAACTCAGCTAAACACACTAATTGCCGCTGTAAACCTGCTGTTCTATGCATTTTCTTTCAAGTCCACTAAGCCCCTGTAACACCCATTGTCCCGCTTGCACCATGGTAGCACGATATAAACTTCAGTTTATTGCCAGTGCAGACAAAACTTTATAAGTGTTTTGCTTTGTTTCTCACAATATCACACAAGATTTTAAATTTACTGTCGTAGAAGTTGAAGAAAACCGGAAAATTGATCTTTGAACCCCAAAACCAGCCGGGAGATTTGATGTTATCTTTGAAAAGTTGGCAAAATGAGACCATTAATCAGAGCAGGTAACTGTAAAAACAGAAAGAATCCATCCAACGGTCATAGAACTACTCATGTCTGATCTGCTGGTTTCTCAATAAAACCTAACTGAATCTAACTTTAAAGTTGTGACGTTGATGTAGAAGCCCTCTATTCTACATGTCATACTTCAAAACCTGCCAAAAATAGAGCGTTTGCTCCTGCTGTGATGCCATTCGTGACTCAGCTGTAACCAACTGTGACTTGACAAAAATTCTGTGACTTTTCGACTGGACTGCAGGTTGGGTCTTCACAGAGTAATGAGGAGAGAAATATGGTTAAAAAAATTACAAATTTAAGTAGTAAAATATCTATGCTAAGCAGGGCAACCATATTCCCAGTATTGATAACACCTGAGGACACTTGGAGAAGGTTATACATGGTGATTGTAGGTTTTCTCACTTTTTGGAAAACAAATAATCAAAAGAATTCTGCTTTTGTTTTTTCTTTAAAAAAAAAGAAGAAATTATACCTTTTTTTTATACTGTACAGAGGACATGTGTGAGTTCTCTCTACTTCTGGTGAGGATTGTGTTGTTTCCATAGAGGTACAGGACTTTATAGTGCAGTGAAAACGAGCCCACAGTGAGTAAAAATGTGCTGGCCATAAACTGCCGGGGTTCAGACGGTTAAATCTGCTGTTTCGTGCCCTGCTTGCAAGATGCACTATGTTGAACCTCAACAAACGTACACTATTGCGGATAATTTTATCAATTGTTTGTTGTTATCTTACACAAGATTTTCAATTTACTCTGATAGAAGTACAAAAAAACACCAAAAACATTTTTTAAAATCAACAAAATTTCTCATTTAGGAAGTCTGCAGGCAGGATAGCAGCTCTGTGAGGCATTACTTTGAGTTAACTAAATGCTAACATCAGTTTTTCTAAAAGAAAAAAAAAAAAAGAAAATGCTCATGATGATAATATTAACTTAAGAAGTAAAACAGCAGGTGTATTGTTCAGCATGTTCACCATTTGGAAAAAAAAAACTAAACTTCCTCTGACAGTTGAATTGTGTATAATGCACTGCAAAGTACACAACAAAAAGCCATCACAAGCGACGAGTTAATTACAAGTGAATTCTAGTGTGAAATCATTTCTGCATTAAAAGCTCAACCACAGAAGAACATCCCATCCGCGCTGATTAGAAACCCTGTGATTTCGCCGAGATGAAGTCGCCCAAACTGACATTCTGGCAGCAGGATCAGATGCACGTTAAGCGCCAAACAGAATCAGAAATGACAAAAGCGTCTCCAAAACAGAGGCTGTCATGTACTTCACCCAGAGAAATGTGAACCAGGCCGGGAAGGCTCAGTCATTTCACTCCTATGTACAGTCATACTGCAGGAGATGCGTGCATGTTGAAAAATTCAGCCGTTCCCTGCTCTTGGATTCTACAGCCCACTCTGTGTTTTGTATTGCTCTATACAATGTTTAATAAATGCAGCAGTTTGCTGATATGTATTTTTGATGTAACTGCGGCCAGGTCAGCCCGCTGGAGTTTAAACACAGCTACCAGAGCATCACTCACGGGATGGGAACTCCATTCCCAAAAAGCAGTTGGTCTTTTTCTAATAATTTAGATGTGATGAATAATGTCCCCTGGCAGCAGAAGGCACTTTGCCCAGTTTTCTGGGTCTTGTCCAACGTTCCATTACAGAGGAACAGAAATCAGTCAAAGTGAAAGTACTTGATAGTAAGCTACTGTAGTATTTTAATTAAGGAGCTGATCAGTCATTTTTTTTAGTAGTGTGATCTGCTTTCTTAACCTGTATTTGTACTCGCTGGCTGCCTCAGGCCACTAGTGCCTTCTGTGTCTCCTCCCAGCTCGTTTCTATTAAGCGATATGGAAATCAGTTAGGAGGGACAGTGGAGGAAGCCTTTGATGAAACTGAATTTCCATTATTTTGACAGCAAATGGGATTAGTTGATGGGATCGGACTCTGTAACCTGTGACAGGAGATTCATATTTACATCAACAGATGATGAGCTCTGCGGTGCAACTGTCTTGTACAATTATCTGTGTCGTACATTAGCTTCACCCAACAACAATAGAGGCACATTCAGACACCGAAAAAGAAAAACATTTGCAGACGTTGTAAACTGAAAATGTTCTCCAGCCGTACATGAAGCCTAGTTAAAACAGGCACATGATTTTCCCTGCGACTTTAGCGCCGTAATGAAAATCTTCTCAGTCTGCGGCTTAGGGTCTGCAGTGCTGTGCTTGCTGCATGTTAGATTACAGCGGCTGTGCATGCCAGCGCTTCATCGCAGGCTGTGTGTCATGCACGAATCCTTATGGCAAAAAAGCTGCGCTAACATCTGATTCATAGGCTGCCCTGTTAACGTGTATTCGAGAGGCACTGATGTTGAGGCGCACAAACACACATAAGCACAAGAGGCAGAAATGCATAAGCTGAGAGTGTAGGGTTGAGCGGAGAAGAGAGGAAGATTATAGGGTTAGACTGATTCCCTGTGAGTGACTTCATGAATACCAATAAGAAAGCCAGCGGTTGAAAGACAGCAGTTTGTGTTTTCATGCATGCGTGTATACAATTCATTGTTCTTGTTTAGTTATTTTTGAGACAAAAAAAAGAGGAAGACGGGACAGTGAGGAGTGGAATGTGGCAGGATTTTCATAGGATAAAGTGATTGTAACAGGCTGGGCACCAGAGCATACTGTGAATGTCTTGAGGTCTAAAGAGGAATATGTGTGCAGAGTGGAATATGAATGTCACGTTTTCATAAAACACTGCAGGGAGAGTGTGTTAAGTCAGTGTGAAAAATGTTAACCTTCAGCATGGTGGGTCTGATTGTATGTCTAAAGCGGCTGACTTCATATACAGCGTGTGTATTAGTGCATTTTTCTTGCATTGCGTTGCGTAATCAGATGTGAATGGACGCCGTCTTTGCCCATAGAGACATTTCGGAGCCAATCTTTGATGTTCATTTGCAGTAAATCCGCAACAAGCTGTCCTCTGCCTTTCTAAGGAGACGGGACAAATTCCACTCATTTGTCAGTCGTGGCTCTTTTTATTGGCTTATCGGAGCAAATTTCCATAACAATATCATGTTTCAGTAAACACACAGCGTCACACCCAGGGTATTATTCCACGCTCTGGGTTTTTGTCACTTGAGTGTGTGCGGACAGTCACAGAGGCCATGACTTTGCTTGTGTGATGTTAACACTGTGAGACTCTGTCTCCTTGTGTAGCGTGCTGCTGAATTATTGCATTTGTCACTTGGTTGCTATTGTGTGTTTGTGTATGTTTAGCACATGTAGTACATGTGTATGACACGGATGTAACAGTGTGAGTGTGTGTTTGCTGACTCTCAGGTCTCATCCAGGGTCACGTTTTAGACAACAGACCAGTCGTTTGTTGGGGCAACTTCTCTCAATGTGAAAAAAATTGGAAGTTGGTGTCCTTGTAACTGAATTTAGCACAAAACAAACTGGCTTCTGTGTTTGGAGGGATTTAGTTTAGGTTATGGAAAATTTTAGAGCAAGGAACATCGCATTTATGGACAAAGTCAAGGAAAACCTTCAGGAAATTAGCCCTAATTTGTACAAATTGCTCCCCCCGGCTTTTGTTTTAGTGTTTTTGCGTTGGCAGGTGAGCAAAAACACATCAACATGGAAAGCTGTGAGTAGAAATGATAAGCTTTTCCTAATACATAGCTGGAGTCTAGACTCTATTTGATTTGTTTTGGCTTCTCCTGGTGTATTTTGTTGTGTAATTCGGTGTCTGGCTGCGTCATATATCAGCACCACAGCTCCTGAGCTAATCTCTCGCCCTGCATTTGAGGTGTCTGCGCCGTGCAGTGTCATTATCCAGCGCGACGTGTCGAGGTAATCCCTCTATCAGCCCAAATACCGTCATTATGAACTAATGATGAGCTAAATCCTGCCCAGTCCAGCTCCCTTCTATCCGCGGCACTCTGCTTATGTCCCAGTGAGACAGAGTGCGCCACCCCAATCAAGCTGCAGGGATGTGGAGGGTTTATAAAGTGAACTGAGGAGTAGTTTTCTCCACATGTTTTCCCATCGACTGAGCGAGTAGAGGAGTGTATGTGATGTGTGTTTAGATTTATCTTTATACGTTAGTGCTGCTCATTATTGTGTTGGTATGTGTCACCCTGAACTTCTGTTGTCCTTTTTCCTGTGTGTCAATGATTTTAGGCAGTGCTTGTGGTGGGAGTCTGTGGATGTTAATTTCCATCTGTTTGCCTGTTAGTTGGTTGGTTACTTGGGTTCACGCTGAAATACCTCTACAGCTGTTTATTCTGTTTCGGTGAAATTTTCTGCTGACATTCACGGGCTCCCAGATGTGAACACATAATGATCCAGTTCATTTCCAGTGCCACCATAATTATCACATTTGTGTTTTTTAGTTAAATGTCCCAACAGCTGTTGAATTGTAATCACTTTTGTGATTACTTACTCTTTTTTCTTTCTTTCTTTTTTAAAATCACCAATTAAAAATGTCAATTTGTCCACATATGTGACCAGATACTAATGGGATGCCCACTACACGCTTTGTGCTCCTGTTAGCAAATGCAAATATGACAACACTCTGAACTAAAATGGGACGCATTATCTGCTACACATGAGCACGTGAGTCATTGTGAGCATGCTGTTGTTACTATTTAGCTCAAAGCAACACCGTGCAGCACAGCCTCACAGAGCTGCTAGTATCAGTGTAGATTCTTGTTATAGCAGCAGTGAAGCTACATATGTTTTTAGCCAGTAATAATATTCCTTTTTTTTTTTTTATTATGATCCAGTGAGAAACAACCAAAGTGCAGAGGCTTTATCTCGAAGTAAAACTCCTTATTTATAGCTGTAAATATACCTGTAATAAAGCTTTAAAATTATACACTAACGCTGTAAATATCTTTGTACTGTATTTGTGAAAAATGCATTTGACATTTCTAATTCGTACGGACCATTTTGACCCAGTAACTAAATGGAAAAGGATGTTTTTAAAGTAATCTCAATTAAATGCAAGTACAAATGTATAGAAAGTCCTATTATATATTAGGAATGGACTTGAAGGCAGAGTTATTGTGGCCATTGGTGTGTTTTGCAAAGACCTTTTCTTCACTCTTTCTGACATTCGTGGAATCTGGACTGAGTGTCCCACCCATAACCACCACAGATTATATAAACAGACAATTTTTTAGAACAAGCCAACTTTGACAAAAACAGGCCCCAAGTATTGGGTGTAAGGTATGTGGGTGGTCGGAGCACAGTGCCAGCTAGAACAGAGTTTGCCTGTGTGTTTGTGTTAGCTGTACTGTTGTGGATCCATAGAATGTGTATGTGTTTGTGGATGTTTTGCAGGAGCGTGGGAGTGGGAGCACCTTCAGGAGGCCCTGGAAGAAAAGCTGAAGAATTCGCTTGCCGTGGCTCAGCTTATGGAGCGCATACGATCGCTCATCGGCAGAGACAGGGTGAGGTCTTTAAAAATCACCTGTACTCTCTGTTGTAACCAAGACAGAGTTGATGGTAACGGCGCAATCTTGTTAAAGGTTGAAATATTTCATGGGGTGTATGATATGTGCATGCAGCCCTCCCTAACAAAAGAGGTTAAATAACTTATAATGTGTCAAATCTGCTCTTTGAATGTACAAACACATGTTTTTGTAGTTGCAGACTAAAAGTGCCTTAATTAGCAAGACCTTGTTTAGAAACAGTGCAGTAATAATGTGGCTATAATTAGCATATTTACATAATTACTCCCTGTAATCACCTCTCAGATACTGTGGGAATTTGCACAAAATAAACAAGAGACACTCTCCGAGGAGCAAAAGTACAACATAAGATCTGTGAGGACTTCACACTCACATCAGCAAAGTTATGTTCAAAACTGCAGCGTCATATTTGTCTTTCAAATAATTTTTTTTAAAAACCCACAACACAAAAAAAAACACAAGGGATCTCCGTGTAATAGGCAGCAGACTTTAACATTTAGAGAAGGATCAGAGGATATGACATGGCTGCGTCTGACAAGCCCTTGGCACCATGCACGGTCTACCAACCCATCTGGATGGAACTAGGTCTTCTACCTGAGGCGGTGTTCAGAGGGGCTGACGCACCGAGATGGCTGGGCCACTTTAACGCGATGAGACACCCTAATGTCCTGTCATGATTCGATCTTGCCATCTGCAAACACCTCCGGGTCGTCGCTGAAATTAGCCTTTCCAGAAGTTTTTCCGTGAGTTTTCCGCCCATTTACAAGAAAAAAAAAAGGGGGGCTCAGTTCTCTGGCTGTCTCCGCTGAGGACTGTGTTTGTCGAGGAGTCTCTCTGCAGCAGAGTGGTGGCAGAATATGGAGTTCTTTGTGCCTCCGAGAAAGGTCAGGTAATGGTAATGGGACGCTTTGACGGCACTTATTTGCGGGCTTTACAAAAACCAGGTGAGCGCGTGAAAATACAGACGTGCACACTGGCAGCTTTTCTTATTCTGCCTCTTTCACCTGCTCTGCAGCACAAAATACTGCATATGCATATGATGTATCCGGTGCTCATTAAAAAACTGAGAAAATGAGCAGGAGTGTGTTGATGATGGACAGTTTGGGTGCTGTTCTCGCTTCCAGTCGTGTCGCTCTTGGCTTTGCGGTTCAAGTGTGTTTGGGTAGCGCTAAGCAAGACAGGCAAGACAGTCCATTGGTATTCCACGGGGGAGGCGGGATAGACGCACGGAATGGCAATTGTGCTGGTAACGAGTACCTGACATGCAGCACAGAAATGTTAACTCTCAGTTCTTTTGGCTTTTTCTCCACTGTTTGTGTGGTGTTTGTGTGTGTGTGCAGGGCCCCAGGGACACGCCGAGCGCTCGGGCGGCTCAGCTCGGCCCCCAGACCCTCGTCAACCTCTTCAACTCCCCCCTTTACTCTGATGTCATCTTCATGGTGCAAGGTGGGTTCACGCTGATCTACCACACACACATTTACAAATGCATGCACCGTCACACAGCCGAGGAAGGTCACATTTTATTATCCCTGATTGAATTATGATCTCGGTCCCCCCGGCCTGGTCATCCATTTGGAGACGAAATAAGATAAAACGGTCCGACTGATGGGCCCTCTTCCGTTCCCGTCATGTTTCATCCCGACAAAAGCTCCTCCATGAGCTGCATTTAATATTTCTCTATTAAACGGGGAAATATAGAGATAATGCCCCAAAGCCCCTCCTAATCAATATTTATCTCGTAAGCTTTTCTTGTCCTTGCACCGCAGAGCTGCCACTTAAACTCTCTGAGGTCATGGAGAAAATGTACAAAAAAGCATTTCTGTTTTTTTTTTTTCCTTTATGCTAATTTGCCGATTAAGTGCTGCGACTGACTGTTAATGGTACTTAATGACAGTGATTAAGTGAGGACTTGTGCCCAGGCTTTACATGTCATTTGTTTCCTGTTAATTTAAATGGCCCATTATGACTGATTATCACTTCTAACAAGCCAAATTGAATCATGTTTGCACTCTGCACTTCTGCGATGAAGTAAAAAAAAAAAACCCAACATGTTAGTGATATTAGGAATGTCTGATTGAAGTAAAAAGCGATTCAATATTTGCATGTGTTCTCGGTGGCCTTTGAAGTTTTTAATGCCAAAGACATGCTCTGTGACTATCTCTCAAGATTCAGCACATTAATTACGAACACGCTACGCTGCGATTCCGTCTTCTTTGGAACTTATCCACTTTCAAAATTCGAAGCCCGGATGCTAATTTTGTTTGTGGAGCAGGGAGCGTGCTACCGGCTCACCGGGCGGTTCTGGTGGCCCGCTGTGACGTCATGGCGGCCATGTTCAGCGGGAAGTACGCGGAGGCTCGGAGTCGAGTGGTGCCCATCCACGGCGTCTCCTCAGACACCTTCCTGTCGTTCCTGGAGTATCTCTACACTGACTCCTGCTGTCCTGGTGAGTTCACTACAGTTAACCAGCGGTTTACTCAGCTACACTAGTGTGACCGCGGTTTTACTAGATATACAGTCGTCCTCAAATGTATTCATACCCTTCCATTAAAGAAAAGCCAAACTTCACAATAGTCACTCAAATAACTAGAAACTGAAAAAAGTAATAATAAATAAAAATTTGATAAATTAGAATTTAGTGAAATAAGCCATTGCTTTTGAATTGTGGTTGAAAAGAATAATTTTAAAAAACAAACAAAACTGTTCCAGACAAATTAGAGCACTCTGCTGATGAGCAGTGGACCAAAATCAAAACACCTGTCAACAGGTGCAGAAGTCTGACTGAGAGTTACAGAAAACACTTGATTGCAGTGATTGGCTCAAAGTGTTGTTCAACAAAATATGACTTTACGGGTCCCATTGTGCTTGTTTTTTTTTGTTTTTTTTTTATTTCTGTCAAACCACAATTCAAAAGCAATGTCATGATTTTCGTTACATTTTTATTTATTATTACTTTTGTCAATTTCGACTTATTTCAGTGACAGCTGTTTTTTTCCTTCTTTAATGGGAGGGTGTGAATAAATTAGAGGACGACTGTATACACAAGATTGTTTATAGAAAGAGCTTTCTGAGTTTCATAAGTGGATGATGATTTGTTTGTGACAGAGATGAAAGCTGCTTCATATTGTATGGCACGTATCTGATCCACATTCTTTCGCAGCGGGACAAAAGATTGACTTTAAACATATTGCAGCGATGAGCGCCGTCACCAAATCACAAAAACACTTGAAAGAGGCGCATCAGTGTTTTCCTTTAGGCCTCCTTTAGTCACTAAACGGAGCCCGAAACAAAAGTGCAGATGACAAGTCCCGTCAACCATCTGCGTGACTGTGACATGCTGCCAGTGTCAGTCTCAAGAGGCGCTCGAAGAACAGCGCTGAGCTTAAAATTAAATTAGATTTAGTGATGACAAAATCAACCCGTGGCATCACTGCTTCATCTGCTTTTAATGGAGCCAACTCACGGCCCCAGACGTGTTGCTGTTCATGTTTTTCTCTGACACTTTGTGGCACATTGTGTGCTGCGTTTTTCAAAGTAATTAGTGCTGATAATGCTCTCTGGTGAGGCAGCAAGCTACAGTATATTACATGCATAAGATTACAGTACATCTGAGAGGCTTCTACAACTGGAAAGCTGCAGTATTTTTAGAATTGGCTGCTTGTATTGTAATGTGAGAGCTTTGCTAATACTGTTGATCCCACTGAAAATCAACATCCAGTTGGCAGCTATTTCCACCTTTCAGGCACGTTCTGCTGTTTTTTTTTTAAATTTGTGAATGATTCAGAAGTGAGCTGTTCTCAGTCAGACACACCGGTTGTTTGCTATCTTTAAAATAACAAATGGCAGAGTCATAGTAAAAGACTGATGAAACACGGCTGAACATTTACAAAGATGTAGTTTTTCTGAAGTTAATCTAAAATCTAAAATGCCAGTCACTGAGCAGGAAGTTGAGGAAGTTGTGAATATATGTGATGTTTCTGTTGGCCTGGGCCTGCTGCCTGTTTGGACGACAAATCTTTGCCTACAAGTTGATCAGAACTTTCCACATGACGCAGTTCTTTGTCTAAATTGCATTATCACAAAGACTCAAATGAAAAATCATTAAACCTTAATTATCCTCTTAAGACAATTATTTCTGAAACTGATAATTGTCTTTTAATTTAATTCCTAATCGTTCACTTGCAGGTAGCTGCTTTAATTTTTTTTTTTGTACAAAAACAATAACTACCCCATATTCAGATTTTCCATTTTTGTGCTTTTGCGCTGGTGGTTGGACTGTACCATTATTGTCCAGTCACACAGCCACAGGTATTATAAAGCACATCTGACCATGCAGTCATTTATCAGCTGCCTTATTTTGGGAGGGTTTGAACATATGAATATTACTCAGAGACTGGAGCTGTAGGCCAGTGTGTGATTATTATTGTCATCCTTTTTTTTCTCCTTTTGTTGGTTAATACCTGAACGGATGAATACATTAGAGACTGAATGGCTGAATAAATTTAATAAATCAACTGGATGAAAGCAAAGACGACATTATTATATTAGGCACATTATTGCTCCACATGTAGTGGAGCTGATAAATGCCTGCTGAAAAAAAAAAAAACACGGCTGTGAGTCTGTTGCTGTACGCTCCCCGGGGCGCTAATGGTTCAGTCCAACCACAAGCGGAACACACAGACTGGAAATTTGAATAATGAGCCTTTTTTTCTTACTTTTCTTCAAAACTCTTGAAAATTCTGAAGCAACAACCCAAATGAGAACAATTAAAATCAAACTGAGAGTTAATTATTCATTTGCCAAGACATGGGGGGGAAAATGGACAATTTTGATTCATTTTTTAGGTGCAAATTTAACAAAGAAATTCAAAGTGCTACACAGATCAAAAACAACTGGATATGCTGACATATTATCAAAGCCCCCTTCACTAAAAATGAAACATGTCAATATGACTCTGTATCATTAGTTTTCTACAGCACCAGTTCTTATAACATAGCATATGTGGCTGAATTACTCCACAATAATACAACTTGCCATTGCGTAGTGCAGACTAGTTTTCAGGTGTGTGAGCAGAGTTGTAGGTGAGCTGATGTGCTCCAGCTGCAGGGACTTCCTACATCCACACATTCTAGTGAAAGCAGCAGTGTAGAGCTGCATCTCGGTGATCTTTTAAGATGTGAAGGAAGTGTTTTAATGGAAGAAAACCCTCTAAAAACATAACTTTGTTCCACCGAGATGAGGTTTTGGAGGTTTAAACAATGAATGGAGAGGGATTTGAGGCTCTCTGTTGTCTGTAGTTTGAGTTTTATATCCTCTAATAGTGTTGGTTTATAGAGCTTTGGATGACAAACTCTCGGTGTGGTTTTTAAAGCGGCCTGGGAAGTTCTGCGTGTGACTGTACGTTTTCACCACAATGCGACTCTTCTCTTAAAATGAGCCCTTTTTAACTACAGTTCATTACAAATTAAGAACACTGTGTTATGTTCATTAATGATAAACATTACGATTACAACCGTTACTCACAGTTGCAGAATGAGTGACAAACAACACTGGCTGTCACCCTCCTTTGCAGTATTATATAACAAAGCTGCTGAACAGACAATGCAAAGCTTCAGAATAATCACTTCTGAAAAACCCAGCTCGCAGCAGCTGATGATCCCATTATTTTTGTGGCATGAGCTCGTTTGATGAAAAAATGATGAGAAACTCGAGTCCTTAAGATCCAGCTTAGGTACAGGTAGGATAAGCAAGCTGTTCCCGGAGATACTGCTTCAGGTTGAGTCAAGGGAACAGGAAATTAAAGCCATGAAAACGGCTTCAGAGGCTGCAGCCGCTGTACTGTTATGTAAGAGCTCAGCACTCAAGGTCAAAACAAGGTAACTCCACCAGTAGGGACAAAAACGAAGGGTGTGAAAATCAAAGCAGGAGTGCTATCGAGAGTGTTTCATTCAGATAAATAATGTATATATGAGAGAAAACATTGTTAATGCTCATTTGTGCGGTCAGATACTCCGTGGTGCTGCTGCTGCTGCTGCTGCTGCTCAGCCCACCGTGCAGCAGCCTGTCAGAGACGTATGCAGAGACTCAGCGTGTATACGAGGGAGGGGATGATGCTGAGGGTGGTGTTTGGCATAAATGACAGGATTCAAGTTGCATCTGGGGTAATTTGACTTGACATTTTGGCATTACATAACAGGATTGGCAGCACTTGTCTGACATTTGTTGCACATAAGGATGTAATTTGACAGCACAGAAAGAGCAATGGTCAATTATTAATGTTGTTTCACTACTGGCCTCTATTTAAAATCACAGGCAGGGCCCAGATTTAGTCCATCTGATGATAACGTGTGTTATACGCTTTGAAAAGATTCCCATTAAGTGCTACTACAAACTACTGCAGTCTGAGGTCGTGTAAGCTACAGAGTTTTATGTTTTAAAGAAAGCACGAAGAGTAAGAAATAAAAATGGCAGAAATACATAATTTATGTATACAGGGTTTGTGATTAATGGTGTGTGTCTGGAATTTATCCTTTTTGTTAAAAAGCTCAGCACTATTTAAGAAACACGTAGCTTTGACATTAGACGCTGTGGACATGTTGTGCTTCAGTTTCTTCAGCTGGGCTCTAACTTCATTTCTAGTTAAAACTGCATCAATTGTAGAACAACCTCTAAACTCAACACTGAACAACACCTCAGGAAGTCAAAAAAGGTGGACTTGCACCATTAATATTCATCAGCTGTTTTTGTGTCCACCTGACCAATTCAGGATTAGCATTCACTTCGCTTGCAGCTTTGTTTTTCTGCTGAGAGAATGTTACTCCTGAAAGCATTTAGTTACAAAGATGTGCTAAGAGAGGGCTTTAAAATCTTTTTTTTTCTGAAAACAGCTGCATGCTTTTGGAGGGAAACAGTTTACAAAAGGTATGACAGTGAAGCAATACAATAAAGCTGTGGTCCTGAAAAGCAAAACAATGCTCTAAAAGATGCTACAATGAGTCAGGTGATCTTTTTCCTCAATGTTGTCAGCAGCTCTAATGATGTTTTGTGGAGTTTTTAAGTTAAGCATTCAACCATGTCACTCCTGTGCATGCTGAGCAAATGCAAACCAACTGCAATTTAAACTGAAAATAATGTCAATTTTGAAATTCTGCTGAAAGTAGCCTGAACTGGTGTCTTTTGAGTTTGCTCACCAAGTTTTAATTGTGTGTTAAATAGGTAGCAAATGCTTTTATTGTTACCATATGTGTTTGTTTTCAGCTTCCTAGTGTGGCTCTCTTCCAAATTCATTGTTGGACCAGTAAATGTAAAAACACTTGTGCTTCCAAACTTTCATTTGTTCTGGAATCCTACATGCTCGCTGTCACACATTTGAAATAAATTGCAAAATACATGAAGTTGTACTTTATTGCTAAAGAAGCTGATGTATGTTACACTTGCTACTGTAGAAACGAGTGCATTCGGAGTATCTGACAGTGTTGTGTGTGTGTTTGTGTGTCCAGCCAGTGTGCTACAGGCCATGGCCGTGCTGGTTTGTGCCGAGATGTACCAGGTGAAGCGACTGCAGCATCTGTGTGAGGTCTGTGTGTGCGCTTACCTTCAGAGCATGCCCAGCAGAGAGCTGGCATCGACAGGCATCAGCGTCGTCCGGCTACTCCGCAGAGCAAAGGTCAGTGCAACTTTTCAGCAGTTGTGGGTAAAATAGCACGAGAGAGGCGAACTCGGAACAGACCTGCGGGAGATAGCTCGTCTATGCAAAGCGATTTCATTCTAATGTTGCCTTTCCTATAGCCAACAAAATGCAAATTCGTTGTATTGAATGGAGCTGGCTCTCCGTCAAGTTAATCGTTTGAGCAGCGCTCGCTCTGGGCCTCCATCTGCAGCAGATATTCATGGTAGTCTTTACAGAAGCCTAACTTCTCAAGAGAACCGTTGTTGTTTCACAAAGCGTCTGTGTTTCTATTGATTCTCAGTGCCACAATGCGGAGCAGCTGTACGTCTGGCTCCTCCACTTCATCGCCAACAACTACCTAATCTTCAGTCATAAACCCGACTTCCTGGAGCTCTCAGGTCAGTGTCAACTTTTACATAAATATCTCACAATCTTAAACAGCCCTTATAACCGGTAAATCATTTAAGCTAAAAATGATGCAGAGGGTGATTTCAAATTTGCACAGTTAATTTGAAGGTTCAGAAAGCTCGAGAAAAATGAGTGCTGTAGGGGAAAAAAATGCTGTAAAGTTTGCATTTTTTTTCAATAAGCAAATTGTAAAATACTCAAGGTGGCTTCAAGGTGCTTGTTTAGGTAGCTGTGATGTGAAATTAAACCATATTGACTGTCCTCTTGCTTTAATTTGAGGAAAAAAATGTTATTGTGGGAAGTTTTGAGAGTCAATCTGGGACACCTGTGTAAACCTCTGTATTTTACACATCATACAGCACAGTATGGCAGTACTTATGGAAATTATACTGTGGGTGGTCAGGCCCTCAGAATAATAGCCTCCTTATAGTACGCTATAAGTTTACACTTCTATGTATATAAGGGTTTAGTGCTTTAACAACATAAAAGCAGATAAAGGCAGACTTATGGTAAAAAATTAACAGCAAAATTGCATAGCAGTAGCAAGCTTTATTGTCAACATTATTCATACACACACACGAGTCATTTAAGGTCACTGGACGGAAAATAAAGGGCACAAGCAAAAGTCAAAGGCCAGAAAGAGGAGAAAGCAAACAACTGATTACCACTGGTCTTCAGTTGCTTGTTGGTGAAAATGAAATCACATCCGATATTTCAGCCTTGCTGCCGGTGTTCGTGGCAGCAAGCCAAGGAGTTGTTACAGTATGCGTGTATAGTACAATAAATCTTGCGGTAATGGTTTTATCAGCAAAAACATGCGATAGTTGCGCATGCAGTGGATTACAGTTGTATGTCTTTGTGTTTGTGTGTTCCAGAGGAGGAGCGCGAGCAGGTGGAGAGGCTACGCTGGCCATCCAGAGGCTACCTGCAGGAGCTCAGCGAGTACCAGCAGCGACGACGCAAGCTACGCAAGTCCCGCTGTGTAGTCATGTGACCACATCTGGATGCCAAAACTCTGTGGAAAAGGGGGAGAGGGGGGAGCAGAGGAGGGAATCCAAAGAGAACATAACAAAGAATGAGCGTGGTCATCGACGTGTGTGGAAGCAGACAGAGGAAGTGTTTCTTTCTGTTTGTGCTGCTGGATGAAGGGCTGGCTCTGAGGGACGAGTGTTGCAGTGGAAAAAAGACGTGTGACTCCTTAACCAATCAGACATCAATCAAGCAGTGACACACACACGGCTGCAACACACCTCTCCCCCCCCTCCACAGAAATGACTCGTGCATCCTTTGCATAATGACTTCTTCATCGTTGGGCAATACAAAACGACCTATCCTTAAAAACCAATATGACTTTAAAATGACTGTCTGGCCACTGTCCAGAAGCTCTGTGAAAGATTATATTTCTACTGGCTGGAGCAAAAATAGTTAAGTTCAAAGATGAACAGTGACACAAAACGTCTCCATTCTGAGTACAGATATATCAAATGCCCACACATCTGTTGGAAAACTAACCGGGATCATGTGCAGATTGTTTCAAACTACATTAACGGGTTACGTGACGTCAGGTTGAATAAGCAGGAAGAAAACAGCGCCGAGGGGTTTTCCCTCTCTTCATGATACCTGATCTGTGTCTGTGTCTCTTCTGTACGCTGAACACAGGACTTCTCCATCATAAATTAAACCCATGTTGGCTCATGATGCATCTGTGTCCCGTTGGATCTAAAACTTGTGAACATGTGCACATGCAGCATTTCTTAAGCTGAAGTGACTCTTGAGCCTTTAACGTTCGCGGCTCAATCAGCATTTCAGCAGAGCGGTGACCGACAATAACGTAGAGAGCAACTAGTGATGCTGCTGGTAGCACCGTCATACTCATTTCCATCTGTAATATATCAGAAACTCAGTTTAGCATATGAGCAGGACCAATTTAATTACAATTCTTTTATTAGATTCTTTCACATCTATAATGCAACATCAGTGAGTAGCCTGACTGATTTTATTACCATGCGAGATAGAATACAATTTGATCGTGGTCGGTGTCAAATGAGGCCATTTCCCATTGAAAAAAATGGCTTCAAATTGAATCCTCAAATTAAATGACACCTTGCTGTATTAAAATCAGGTGCTGTGTACACCAAATTCAGAATAATCATCACTGTATTTGAAATTTTCATTTGAAGTCTGTTGAGCTGGACTTTTCCACCATTTCCTTTGCAGGTTAATATGAAATCATGTAGAAATGAGTCCTTATCTGTTCGCAATAACAAATAATAATGATCTGTCTCTGTCACAAAAAGGCAAAAGCCTTTTGTAGCATTTACAGAAGTGGTACAAAGGTATGAGAGGAATCACATATCTTGAACATAAGTTAGTAAATTAAAAACCTTAATGCCTCTGGGTGGGGATACACAATATTTATTTGATCTTTTTTTCTTTTTTTTTTAATTTGAGAGGTTGTTTTTAATCATAATGAGATTATGATTTATTGGTGCTGCAATTATTTTTGTAAACAATACTGTATGTGGACATTTATGATTTCTTTTCTACATTTGGAGTAGAAACTACAGGGTCGCACTACTTTACAGTCTAATGTTTCACTGCTATTTACTTGAAAGGTGTAAAAAAAAAAAAAAACTTGATAAAAAAAATGGGTACAGAATGACTTAATTTGTCTGATTCATTCAACAAAATAAAAAGAAAAAAAAAAGAGTGACTTTTTGCAGTTATTTTTTTATTTAGTAGATCACTATCAACCTACAGTATTCAACAAACCGTGTGTAACTGTATTTGTATCCAACTCACACAGTGTTTTTGCAGAAATGTAGCAGAAGGTGGTGCATATCGTACAAGCAAGATACCGCTGTCAGATTTGAACAGTGCGCCAGTGATATCAGCTGGTGTCTCCCACCTGTTGGTGTAAATCTGCTGCTGCACAACAGCAATTGAACTTTGTGTCTGGTACAAGGTCCTCAGATAAATCTCTATCTCCTAATGAAATCAGTAAATAGCAGATGAAACTCTGGACTGTGAAACAAAGGGAAGCCCAGTGCTGCACCCACACACAAGGCTCCGCTGGGCCAGTGCTGTACAGACTGTAGATAACATGGCGTCTGACTTTAAATAAAGACATGTTTTAGAATGAACATACCACTGACTCAATGTCTGCACTCTGCTGTTTGTATGTACAGATTGTGTGGCTTGATTCATTTATTTGTAAACTGTTAAGAGCTCACTGATAGTCCAGGTCTCCTGAGGTACAACCTTTCCTTCCTTATCTTACTGAATATTTCAAATATTTTACAAAGCTTGTCAGTTTTCCCCTCCTGAGAGACAGTGTGTGTGTGTGTATCTGGGTAAAGGTGAGATGCGTCATGAGAGTTTGTGCAGTGTGTTCTGTACCTGGAGGTCTGAAGCAGATTACTGCAGGGCCCCAATGGACACCAGCATGCCCTCTAGTTTACCACTCTTATGCAGGGCTGCTACATCACTTCCACCTCCAATACACTCCTCGCCGATGAACACCCGAGGGACCTGCGTTTAAATCGATATGAGAAAAACAGGCACCGAACCAGTAAGTATGCAGCAACTGATTTTCAGTCTCATGCACAGGGTTGATTATAAATTCAAATCAGACAGAGATGAGCCAGAATTTTTGACATCTAAAAAGCACTAAAATGTTAAAACCTTTCTTGCCTACATAGCCATGTAACTGTGCACAAATGTACACCTTTATAACGTAGTTCAGAGAGATCTCTATGTGCACCAGCCAGTGGATTGATATATAAACATATATTTCATTAGTGATTGCCTATGTTCTTCTTGTGAGCTTTACTGAGTGTTTTCTATATAGCTGGTTGTCAAGAAATGTCTTTTGTGCTTCATGGCTTTTGTTGAATTCGACACAGTGCTCCTAGTAAATGAAAAGTTTCGTTTGTGGGTCATTTGAATTTTTTTGCCACTTTCCCGGCCATTCTACTCTCCCAGCGCAGGAATAATAGGCCAAACAAAGCTGAATAACTTATTAAAATGTAAATTAAACAGCATAAAACAAAAACCTAAACAACCTATGTTATCCCATCTTGATCTGACAATGCTCCTTCTTGCGATGTTTGGCTTTCTGAGTTTTCAAGCGTCCCCTCGAATGTTCAGCAGGGTTTGAGGTCAGGCAACTGTGGAGAAAACGTCTACGACAGCCAGCACTCATTAGTCTCTTTTTTTGATCAAAGCTTTGAGGGTTGTTTGGGGTTAACATTCAGCTGCAGTATGAATCACTGATTAAGAAGCAAACCAGAGGGCGGAGCATTTTTCTGAAGAATGCAGTGCAGCTACTTCTCGGTAGAGGTGGCGTCGACTGAGTGCAGGCTTCCAACTTCCAGAGAAGCTAAATATCCCCCGACTTCCCAGCAGCATGATTCACTCTGAATTTGACACACTGCTGCATCAGTCAGTTTCCTGCTGACATCCTTACCCTTTTGATACTGCCATATAAACTTAAAATGATCAGTAAAAATGACTTTTTTCCATCACCAACTGCAAAATACTGGTATGTTTGGACTTGTTTCCTCTTGTAAAGACCGTACTTGTCCTCTGAAATCATGACATGACAGAAATTGGCGGGAATTTCGATTGTCGATTCCGACCTTTTTGTGTTTTCAATCGATTCCAACATTTGCAGACTTGCATATAAAATGTGATATTTATATTTTTCAGTGCAATCTTTTTTTTTTTTTTTAATAACCAACTGAGGAGCTGCAGGGTGGCCAGTTGGTAGCACTGTTGCCTCGCAGCAAGAAGGTTGCCGGGTCGCGTCCCGGTGGGGGCACCGGAATCTTTCTGCGTGGAGTTTGCATGTTCTCCCCGTGCAGCGTGGGTTCTCTCCGGGTTCTCTGGCTTCCTCCCACACAGTCCAAAAACATGTTGAGGTTAATTGGTGATTCTAAATTGTCCGTAGATGTGACTGTGAGTGTGCTTGGTTGTCTGTCTCTAAGTGTAGCCCTGTGATAGACTGGTGACCTGTCCAGGGTGTCCCCTGCCTTCACCCTAAGTCGGCTGGGATAGGCTCCAGCCCCACCGCGACCCTAATGAGGATTAAGCGGTGTATAGATAATGGATGGATGGATAACCAACTGAGGTGGAGAGGAACCAAGTACATTTATTCAGTTATTTACAGGCGTCCTCAAATTTATTCACACCCTACCATTAAAGATGAAAAAAACAGCTGTCACGGAAATAAGCTGAAATTGACAAAAGTAATAATAAATAAATAAAAAAAATTGATGAAAATCATGACATTGTTTTTGAATTGTGGTTCAACAGAAATATCTAAAAAAAACAAACAAGCAAACAAGCATGATGGGACCTGTAAACTGTAGTGTTTTCTGTAACTCTCAATCAGACTTCTGCACCTGTTGACAGGTGTTTGGATTTTGGCCCACTGCTCATCAGCAAAGTGCTCTGTTTTTCTGGAACTGTTTTTTTTTTTTTCCCCTCCAAGTATTCTTTTCACCCACAATTCAAAAGCATTTATTAAATTTATTTACTATTACTTTTTTCAGTTTCTAGTTATTTAAGTGGACTATTGTGAATTTTGTCTTTTCTTTAATGGAAGGGCATGAATACATTTGAAGACGACTATAGGTGCAACTTGGAGGTACCTGTACTTTACTTGAGTCTTCTACACCACTTTACATATTGCACAGTTTTAGTCACTGCCACTTGTTGCATTTTTGTAGTTATTCAGCCCACGACCCTAAAATCAGAAACTGCTCAGTGGGTTTTCACATACAAATAATTTGACTAGGTGTTTTAGTGCACATCACATAAAACGCTGCTTTTACATTACTACAAGCAGAATAATAGTCTAGCTTTGTAATATATAGTAGCACATACTCCATCACTGACTCCTTAATTCATTTTAATATGCTGAACCGGATTTCATGAGAGGAAAAATCCCAAAAAGCACTCATCAAAGAAAAACATGAGCTAGCTAGCATAGTTGCTAACAGTTGCTTTAGTCTCACGCGGGTGTTATTTAACCCTGTGGTAACCTGTGAATGTGTGATATGAGATGCTGCGTGGGGTTAAAACTACACAGACTGTCCTTCTCTACACTTATATCATCTCCATCCTGTGTTGTTGTTGTTTACAGTGTGACACAGCAGCTTCGTAGTTACCGTGCGGGCTCCGGTCAGCTCCAGGAAGTAGTCCTGCAGACTGCCCATGTCGCTCCGGCTGCTGATGTCGATACACTCCAGGTGTCCGGGTTTGAACTTGTATTTAGACATCACGTCTTGGGCCGTGATGCAGTACGAACAGGTGGGCTTCATGAACAGCACCACTTTGTCGCCTTTAATGTGAGCCTTCACGAACTCCTGCGCCATTTTAGCTCGTCCTGCGAAGCCGCCGGTCAAAACGCGAATAGAAAATAATATAAAAGCAAGAGAAGAAGAAAGATGAATTATGTAAATGAGGGTGACGTAACGCCACGTACGGCCTCTTAAAGGGACAGTACACACGATACGTTCAGGCGCAAACCCTGCTGGTGGAAGAACCAAGCTGAGATGCAAGAAACAACTCATGGTGGTGCTACAACAACAACAACAACTAATAATAATAATAACAATAATAACAATAATAATAATAATAATATAAAGACTTTTAATAAGCATAAATGTAGTGTAGAATAAAAAATTACAGCACTCACAGCATAGTTATAATATGTGGAGCCCCGGAAAGGACATGGAGAAAGAAAAAAAACAAAAGAAGGAGAGGCACAATTTTCAATAAGATTGAAGTTTTGCAAGCTCTTGTAAAATATACTTCTATTTTTTGCCTCTTGCTAAGCACTGCTTGAATGTCTTTGTATTTTAGGCTGATTTCAAAATAAAACTCGTATAGGTAGGTGTCCTCCATTGTCGTTTCTCCATTCTGCCAAAAAGAGAAGTATATACCTATAGTTTTGCAAGACCTTGCAAAAGATACCTCTATTTTTAAAATTTTTTTCTTCATTCTTTCTCCATGTCCCTTCCGGGGCTTTGTAATAATAATACCAAGCAACAGCATCAATACTTCTCAAACCTGGGGCACTCAACATTGTTGGGTTCATCAGTCTGTTTAAGTGATAAAATTCAGACATAAATCAAATTTTTGTTGATGTTCCTCACTCAGACATCACAGTGACTGAGATGCAAAATTTGTCATTCAGATAGTACAATACATAATAAATGTAAGACAGCAGCTTATTAAACTGTCCAGGAAACACTAATAGTCTTAATTATTTCTGAGTTCCTAATTAACCAACAGTAAAAGAAGAAGTAACATGACAGCTTGATGGAGCTCAGGACTCCATCTCTGTATATCAAATTGATTTAACTGCAGCATATAAACTGTGGGCAACATCTCACCTGTCTGAGTTAAAGAAAAGCAAATAGTGGGACTTACCGTTACGTTATGATCATCATCTCCATGTCAAGGATAACTTATGAAGTAAAAATATAATGAAGCTACCATTGTGCTGTATTGTGTGGTAATGTGCACAACTCTCTTGCTTTAGAGACGCTCATATGGATCCTGCTGCTGCCTGCTGCTGCAGGTTTTTAACAAACTTGGAATAAAAACTCCTACAACCAGCCTGAAGCAACAAACCAAACTTCAGCTCCTGTTAGCACTTTGAGATCTGTGATTGTACCTATCATTCTCTAATCTGCTTCCCATATATGAAAGGTCCTGGTTCACACTGAAACAGATGGTTTTAACCATACATCAGCTATCGAGGTTTCAGCCTGACTCTAATGCAAACTTGTGTGATGTCATCGCCTTCTCCTTTCCCTCTTCATGTGCAGTTTATAGACGTACACAAGCTGAGAGAGGAAATGTAAAACCAGGTCAAATCATTGTTCAGCACGTATATTTGATGAAACTGCTGGAGCACACAATGACTGGCATGGCTGAACGAACTTGTAAAGAAGCTCAGGGGGGAAAAATAATGCTGTTTGACCCTGACACGTTCAACCTCCCTCACCCTGAGGCATCCTCATCTCACTGCATACACAGCATAGTTATTATTTTCACAGAGGTCTGCACTCATATGAGCTGTATGCACATGTCAAGATACAACGTTATTGGCTGGAATTGTGGGGAGAGGCTCTGGTATAAGGCCACTGTTATATCTTCCACATGCTCACAAGGGTCCACATGACATAAATTTCAACATCCCCCCCCGACATGTGTGTGAACTCCTCCTCACCCTTCTGTGTACTTAAAATTCTAAAAAGAATAAATCTAGATTTTTGATGTAGGACAATTGTACAAGACGGGGCCACAAGAGAAGTTGGCTCAGTTATGTTACCAAACCTTTTACATATAGTCAATTCACATCATATGTTAAGAGATGTTTGATGCTGAGTTGTCCATTACAATGATTACAGTATTAGGAACACACAAGCTGTTTCTTAAAGTGCTCTGCTGGGACTTGTTAGCTGTTTGAGTTGACTGGTTCTGCAGGTTGCACTAGACCCAGGTCAGTGCAAACAATTCACGACTGAAGTCCAAATTTGAATTGCACAAAGCGTCTAGTCGTCCATTTAAACCAGTCTGACCAGTTTTTAAAGCCACAGAGAGAAACTTACCGAAACCCGGAGGCGTATTGTGCACACAGCTGTCTGGTCACACTTTCTGGTGCAGAGAAAGCTTCCAGGCATATGAGAGACTCTAGGGATCACATGAATCTTTCAGTGAAACTGAGGAAGAGAAATCAGAACAGGTATCTTTTTTTTTTTAATTTTCAGATGTGGCCCGTGCAAACCTATCATTTACATTTTGGCTAAATTCCCAAGTAATTAATGTGCAGCGATCAACAAAAAGTATTTTAAACCACAATGCTTCAGGAACAGATTAAATTAACAAGCTAGTGTTGGACAAGTGGGATATTGTGCACCATGGAGGCCTAACAGACGAAGGATGGAAACTAACCTGTGTTTACTGAGAATGAAATGCTATTTATAGATGTGAATACATGTACATCAGCTGGTATCTGTGTAAAAGGACACCACCACACCTCACCACTAGAATGGGATAAATCATATAAGTATTATTTGGCACCTAACAAGTCAACATCATCTGTATTTATTTCCCTTTCAGGACATCAGTTTGAGACGCCGTTACTCCTATGCTTACTGATAACATGTGTTGATAATGTTTTTATAGAGGAGCTTGGATATCATCTGCTATTCAGTAAGAAAAGGAACGCCTAAAACATGCAACTTCACCAGCTTCAACTGAACTGAACGCCATTTTCTAATGACTGGAAAGGCAGATTATAGGAGACACAAAAGAGACAACAATCAATCATGTTCCAGGTAAAACTAAGTTTATTTTTATTGAAATGTCTTGTACATTTTCAGGTGGGCAGGATCAGATTTCACTCAAAATTCACTTGATTCGCTGTGTATTTTTTGTACAGATGGAGCATTGTTTAGCTTCCTCATTAAGACTCTTGATCAAGCCCCTTCCCTCCCGCCTCCCGCCGCACCGAGTCACAGATTATTAATCCAGGTTGCTCTGACCTAACTAAACAAAATCTCTCTGAAAAGGACAGAAATATTTGGAAGTCTGAGAGGAGGACACCCGGTGAGAGGCTACACATGGGAGGCTTTATGCAAAGCCTCGGTCAACATCAGCATGTTGGGAGTGGCCTTTTGTAACTTTAAAATGACCATTGCAACAAAAACAGGAAAAATAAACCAAAACACTGACCCTGTAGCCCCCAGCTCTGTGAACATTTATCTACTGTTGTGACACCTCCAATATACAAGTGCTGATTTTCTGTCCAAAACAACTGGAGAGACAACAAGTAAGTTAAGCCAAGTTTGTAATTACGCTAAATTGATTCTGACAGCCGACCAAAACAGCCAGTCTACTGCAGAGACTGACTCTTGGATGGAATGCCATAATCTAGATATAAGAAGAAAGAAAAAAAAAGAGCAGGACAATAATTACTTTATTGTCTACTTTGGAGGAAAAGAAAATCAGGCCAATTTTTTTTTTTTTTTACAAGACAAACTCTTACTTGTCCACACAATATTATCAATAGGACTCCCGAGAAGGGGCTGACCACTACAAAAGTGCAGTTAACACCACTGTGACCAAGTTCCTCTTCAGATCCCCAAACTTAAGGATGTTTAACTTATTGTTCAGCGGAAGAGACACATGTTCCAGTATTTATGTCTCCTCAAATTTAGCCCCAATCAGAATTTTTTTTACTCCATGGAAGCAGTACCAGAAAGGCATTTAATTTTTTTGGCAAACATTCTAACACAAGTTTGTAAACACATTTTCCCTTATTGAAATAAAGAATTTCAAAGAAGCCATTCATCCATCCATGAAACTAAATCTATATCAATGTTGAAAATAAAATTAAAACAAAATGCTACTCGGAAATCTGTTCTCCGGAACTCAAACTGAGAATACATTTGACACCGTAATACAGGTGATATTTCTGGAGGATTACAAGTTTTTGCTTCATTTCAAAAAAACAGAAACAGACTTGTTTGCCGCTGGATAAAGCTCGAGAGGTGGGCGGAGTCCTTTGTAGGGTCTAGAGAGGAAGCATTCTGGAAAATAAAGATCGTCTGTATCTCTTCAATTAGGATCAGGTACTTTTTACTCCAGCCAGGTTGATCCTGAGTGCTCTGGCTGGTTAAACACTATAGCAGCTTTTTTTTGTTTGTTTTTCATATTTGCCACGTTTCTGTTTTTCTCTCACCACTCACTCCACGTGATGCATACGAACACACACACACACACACACGCACGCACTTGTTTGTAACACTCCTTCCAGACTTCACATCCCTTCCTTCCTCCACCGATCTGACATGTGCTCTGACACGCACACAATCACTCGCACACAAACGCACACCTGTTTCCAGGCAGTTGTAGTTCCTTTGTGTAGCCTTCGGGCCCCCCAGCAGGTCGGCCCGACTCAGACATTTCCGAATGTAAACACCATAAGGCACCCATGATGCACCGTGAACGTAGAACATCGTTTGGTGCAGGGAATACTGCCCCCTACTGATAGAGGATCATACTCCTTTAGTTACCCCCAACCTCACCACCCCGTGTGGTCATTACAACTAAATTAACAACCCATGCACACATACTGTTGTTTCTCCATCAGCTCAAGTGATTTCTCTTCCCTGTCTCATTTCCTCCCCCTTCGGCCTCAAACTCAGCATCTGAGCAATTTGTTGAAGCAAGGTCATCCAGTACAGTTTTGTTTGAAGAGACAGGAAATGAGGCAGGAAAGATCTCTTCACCAGATGAGATGACATATGAATCATGCGTGCAAAATGGCTTCACAAAGTCAAAACACATAAGGCCCGCGGTAATTATTTTTTTTTGCATTGTTTTCAAGAAAAATTAAACAATATATCATCTGCTGACTCTGGTTTTTGCACTACGAGTCTCAAAATAAATAGATCTCCCTCTTTTTTTCTTCTTTTTTGTTTTTACTTAAATACATGTAAATATTTTCTCTGATGCTCAAAAATACTTATTTGTCTGAAGAGAAAGTCCTTCAAAAGTTAGAAGAGTTGAAGTTTTTTTCCACAAACCCTTCACACATGCAGGCAACCCCTTCCCACTAGTCCAGTGGTATCAAATTCCACAGGAGCTAATTAAGAAAAAAAATATTGAGAAAGCAAAAAGGATTTGGGGAGGGGGGGAAAGGTAAAGTGAAAGGGAGATTTTCAAGGTTGCAGGCAACAATGAAGCCTGGAATCAAAAATCAGAAAAGAAGGAAGGAATGAAGAAGGACGATAGGAGAAAGAAAAGGGTAGGAAAAGAAGGAGGATGGGTTGGGTGAGGGTGTTAATAAATAAGAGCCAGTTGGACACCCCCTCCTGATTTGACACTCCATTCTCAATACTGAGCAGTGAAGATGTGCTGTGCTCTCAGCACCAAGCCTGGGCTCTACGCTGGTCAAAATCAGCTATTAGCCGCTTGATGTGGGCCAACTTGTTGTGCAGATACTCGCAGCGCAGTTTCTCCTCATGGTAGTTGGGGCTGTGCTGTAGGAAAAAAACAAAACATCCACATTATTGGACTACAGACGTCAGTTCTACTGGCATCATTTCTCAAGTTTGGGTACTGCTATGCGAATTACATATTTTTCAGGCTTTTTAAATAAAAAGAAGGAAATTCGACCCCTGTAGCAAACAGATACATGAACCTGCTAATGTTAATCATGAATGTAATTGGGGCATGTGCTCTTCTTTCCAGCTCACTTCAAGTTCTGAGGCATTTTAGGCTGTTCAGACTGTGCAGCATGTTTATGATCCGTGCGCAGTTTCAGTGTTCACAGTGGAGTTTGAAGTTTGCTTTGAGTCATTCTCTTGTTGCTGAAACCAGCCTCTTCTCAGTTTCACATTCAGAATTTGCAGGTTTTCAGTGGAATTCATTCAGTCCTCTAATCTGTGCAATATTTACTGTGCTACTGGCTGCCACACAAAACAAAATACTTCTCCCCTTTGCTTAACCGTTGGCAAGGTTCTGTTTTTCATCAAATACAAATTTTTTTCCCCTCCAAACACACTTTTGGTGTTTGTGGCAAAGAACTCGATTTTAAGTTCACGATCCACAGCGTCTTCACAGGATTCAGATGTTGCTTTGCATACTTCAGAGATGGACTTTTGTAATGAGGTGGCAGGTAAGGTTTTCTTCTCATACCTCTACATATAGATCCTGTTTATGCTTCAATGCCACACCGTTAGACAGTGCACACACACTCCCATGTCTGCTAACATTTCCTGACGCTCCTTTACAGCTGGAGGATTATCTAAAAGTTTTATTAGCTTCCTTTTGTGATTTCCACAGTTCCCCTCTGCTGTCATTACATAATGGAATTGTGAACAGTGGTATCTACAAGTTTAAAGTGCTTTAATATGTTTTTATAGCCTCCTTCAGTTTTATATGCATCATTTAGCTTTATCTTGGATCCTGAATCAGTAGCTTAAAGGAGCTTAGCATTGTTGAATATTACCACAAGGTTTGGAGAATCTAAAAATTTATCAGGCTTTGCATTGACATCAGTTGGCAATGAGCTTCCTTATAAGCCCTAAAGATTCAGTTAAGTTCTGAGATTTTACAAGTAGCACAAGCCACAACTGTGTTTTCTATTTAAGTTCATTAAATAAAAAGTACAACTGCATTAACATTTAAAGACAGACACATTTTCACTAACTGTTTAGTGTCTGTTATTAACGTCTTTTCACTTTAATTAGGAGAAGGGGTCCCAAACTTCTCCGTACCCCTCCACCTCCCCTGTCCCTTTCTCTATGTGAATACATGCATGGTGTGCACTTCTCGGTCTTTCTTTGTAAAGACCAATTTGACATGGAGATATTTGAAATGAGGACGTCTTAATTTCTGATACACCTTCCAAGGGCTGTTTAAGGGCTGAGACTTAGCTTTAGGGTTCAAATTACAAATAGGTTTGGGTCGGGTTTGGTGTTTGATGGCATGTAGTTGTGATGGTTAGACTGAAAGGGTCCACAAAGACAGATGTACATCTATTGATATAAATATAAAACAATGAATATGAAGCTACTCACTTGTTTCACCTTTTTGTACTCTTTCAAGACTTCTTCTTGCACCTTCTGTAAAAAACAAACAAACAAACTGTCACTTAAGTGAAATGTATATATTTTGTTAATACTGCAAGCAACATATTCTGTCATCACTAACGTACTGTAAAGAAAGGTGTTGAGCTATTTATAATTAGGGTATTAAGTGAACGAAAAATGTAGGATCAATGTGTTTTGGTACAAAAGCAGCACCCTGAACATAAGCACAGAATTTCACAGAAGGAATTTATTTCTAAACTAATTTGCGCTGCCTGGTGGTTGCAGATCTCACTGGATTGAGGAACAGATGTGGAAGGTTGACAACGCTATAAATTTTTGTTGATTATAGGCAAGCACTTCCAGCAGTCCTGCCTTCTGTGTGGCACCACAATGGGACGGCAGAGTACTAACAGGCAGTTCTGAATGGTCTGAAGCCATCACGTTACACTCTGTAGCAGCCAACGAGGCTGACAAAAATGAAAGGCTCACATAAAAAAGCTGCAAAGCATAATTTCTACATGTGCTATTGTCATTTACATATCAGTAATGTGGAAAAAGACCAGAACACATGTACAGAGACTAAATTAGAAGATCAGTTTCATCATTATACAATCCTCTAACAGCTATCATTTGCAGCTCACACAATGACCTTCACTGAGAGTTAACTTTGTTAAAGGTGTTCGACTAAGACCATACAGCAGGCTGCTTTAGAGAAGGGACTGCATTTTACTGTACAGGTAAGCAAAGTGTTTCAATGTGACCTGGTATTCTTTGGTGCCAGGGACCAGCTTCCGACACTGGGTGTCCAGCTGGGTGAAACGGCGGGTGATGTTCTCTACACGAGCGTGCAACAGGCGGTATTCATCATACTCTGCATTGAAGTCATCTTTGTAGCTTTGTCGCTGATCAGTGGACACCAACGCTGTGTACTTCCTGTTAACACAGAGGAAAATTCAACCCAAAGATTCCCTTGAGAGTCATGAAACACATAAAATTACCATTTCAGACAAATACTGTTGTTACATACGAGACTAAAGCTAGAATTTCTCTTCAACAAACCCTTCGTGAACAAACTTTTTGAATACACCTCTCCAAAGGTTCATGATATTTAAAGACACATGGGAAGCCTATCATCTGTTCAGGCTCTCTTCATCAGATGTGCCAAAGATAACATGCTCCCTGAACTCATTACCAATGATGTGGAAAGTACAAAACAATCCTCGTACAGCAATAATTGACGATTACTAGAAAGCACAGATGAAACACATCTGTGTTTACGACTGCATTTCATGCGTCCTAATTCTTTTGCTTACTCTAATTTGCTTGTGTTTATTCACAACATCCCTTTTTAATGGTGTCAAAATCTGTGTTGTCACTGATGTTAAGGAAAAAATTAGATATGACAGTTATAGAGGGACACGCTCTAGGAATATGGGAATACTCACGCCACATAGTCAGGCATCTCAATTTTGGATGAGAATTCAGTAGCCTGCACAGGCTTCTCTTTGTCTGAAGACTCTGAGGAGAAAGAGCAAAGAGAGAGAATGTAAATACTGCACTAATGATCCATAATACATTTAGTTAAAACTCATCCATAATACATTTAGTTAAAATTCCTGCAAGGCCCACCTTTACATTTGAAGTAATAAAAATACACAAATCTGAAAAAGCTCTTTTAAATCAATGTCGGAGTATTCGTGGTCTTTGTATGCATTTATGAATTCAACACACACACACAAAGAAAACAAACAGCATACTTTTATACATTTTGGTCACTGAACACATTTAAACTTTTAAATAAGAGCAGCAAGTATAATGTTGCAATGAATACAGTGAGTTACACAGTGAAGGCAGTGAGTCTCACTTTACATTTTGAAACTATTTGAGGGAGTACATTTTAAAAAATGTGAACAAATTAAAAAAAGAAAAGAAAAAGAGAGACTCACGCTGCCACCCACACAGTAACTTACTGTATTCATGGCAACACTATACTTTTTGTTTCTTGTAGATGTTTATATGTTCACACAAGAGAAGACTCTTCTAGCTTTTAGTCATTACATTTAATCAAGTAGCCCCATCACCTCTCTGCAGCACGTGTTGGCATGTTCAAGTCAACAAGTTTCAGGTCAAACAAATCAGACAATCGCACAATTTCAAAATTAATTCAGTACGTGGCCTGTTTTTTTTTTTTTTTTTCATTTCCTCTTTTTAATTTGATCATAAATTTCAAAGTACGAAAACAAGTTTTTGTTTTGTATTCAGAAAAGAATGGTAAAAGAAATTGCTTTTGAAATTAGTCTATTAACTATGAAAATAAGAGTGGTGCATAGATTGATTTATTTATCTTTTTATGTTTATTAGCTTTGACACTCAGGTGAGTTTTGTTCTTCTAAAGAAATTCTGGTACATTCGACAGTGCAGTTAAAAATACAGCTGCCAGTCTTTGACAATGAAGAGTGTGTTTTTTTTTTTTTTTTAGTAAAACTCAATCAACCATCAGTACAGATGTACTCAAATCCATCAAAACAGCAGGCTCTGCAAAAATGGCAGCATAAAATGTAAAACTAGAAAGCCATACAGGCTATGACGGAGCAGTTTCTCCAAACAATATTTACAATATCAAGTCAGCTGTACTAAAGACCAAAGACTGAAGAGGTCAGATCAATGCCTCGACATGTTCAAGCAAATAACAGTGTACTAGTGTAATTAAAGATCAAACTGTATGAAGGTGAAGGGGCTGTAAGGTTCAGCACTGAGATAAACACTGAAACAGTATGAGGAAAATCCAAAGTCTGAAAGATAAACTGGTTGGAAACTTTGATAGAAAAGGCATGCAAGTCACAAGATCTGCCAGTGCTGCCTGAATTAGTCACACTTTTATACACATCATAAATCATATAAGGAAAGTTCTAAAGGTTGTAAACCAATTGGATGTATATGTATTTTGCATTGTCATCGTTTTCAGTTGTCTTGTATTACATAAAGACTGTTTCACTAAATATCTGATGCACTTTGTATTTATTATGCACTGAGAGATTATCGTCTGATTTAGTTATATATATATATTTTGTTGTAAATCAGCAATGACAACAAAGAAATTCTATTCTGTGTCTCTACTGCTCTCAAATCTCAATAGGATTAAACACGCATGAGGCAGCTAACCAACAGTACAGGGGGTTTTCATTTGACATTATCAGGTAGATAAGGTACAGATAACCAGATACTGTTTTTGAAAGGAAATATGAAGCAAGTCCCCTGGTTTGATTGTTCCATAAAATAAATGAGGAAGGCAGCACTGTCATAAGACTTTATTGTTCAGCATTGAAGCTGTTGTAGTCAGTGTTTGATCAGTAAGAGGCAGAAGGACTCCAAATCAAACCGACAGACCCTGACATACCATGGCCATTTTATCTATTTTTACACCTGTATTTTTTCTGGCTATATGTTCAGCAAACATTCCCCTATTTAAGCAGGGGTTCCTAATCTAGTATGAGTTACTATGAAGTAAAATCCTGTGATGCCCTGCAGATTATTAGTGTCACTTAAAACCTGGTTGTGGCGCTGCTGTTTGTCTGTGTGCTTCGTTCTTCTTCTCACACACAGCAGAAAGATTGAAATTAACTTGAGGTTTTACATGTGTCAGCAATGATTCTTGTTATCCAAACGTGCAATAAAACTAGCCAGTAATGGAGAGTGAACGGGCAATTAAACAAGCAGAGCATAAAGAAATACATCTAGGAATCCGTATGCTTTTACACACCCATATGGTGCCCATTAAATTTTACCTGAACAAGCTAATTATCGGCGTGTATGAAAATGTGAAAATGAGTACACTGAGGCTGAGACTGAACATCCCCTTATCCTCTCCACCAATCCAAAGTTTGCTCATATCAGCAGAGGAAGGAGGACGGTGGAGAGGGTGAAGATAGCAATGCTAGCCAGTGTAGTGTAAAAGACTTTTTCAAATTACATTTTAAATTGCCGACTGTAGCCCTCCTAAACTCTGTCTTTACAGGCTTTGTCATGCTCAAAATGAGGACAGCACAAGTGAATCAAAATTTTGTTAAAGATGTCTCAGTTCCATTAGTTGTCTCTGTACGGGTCAGTGAGGCAGCACACACAGCACCAGAACCCTGGAATTAGCTCACCTAAATAGAATGAATTTATCTGTAATATTATAAATTCCACCCAGCGTCTCCGCTATGAATGAGGTCCATACTAAGTCTCTGACAACGTAGCAGCTTAATGGAATTCGTTTCATTATTTAACCCTGGGTTTTTTCCTACTGTGACATGACAAATATCTGAAAAGGGAGAACTAACCTTTTTTTACTTTCATTATTAATTGAGCTTTTTGTGTTTGTCCCCACTAGCACAGAACCAGCTGCCTGTTGCTGCTGGAAACTTGTGGGCTCCTAAATTAAATCAATTTAATACACAGGGCTGAAATGCTCGCTGTTAATGGGTTTGACACCATGAACAACACTTCTGCCACTGCATGTAGTTCATTCAACTGGCATGGTCATTTAAGATTCAGACATTTGGCACGGCAACGTAGAGAATAATCAAGACGGACACACACCTTGATCTTTGTGAGAACTTTTGCCGATAACTTCTCTGCGTTCTTCTTCAGCACTGCGCCGCTTTTTGGCTCGACGGCTCTCCTCAGCCGGCTCTGCTACACTCTGAGGTATACTGCTGCCTCTTTCTGTTCGTTTCCCTTTCTCCCTCTCTCGATCCTTGTCTTTGTGCTTCTTGGATTTCTTTTTAAACTTCTTATTGGTACTGCTGGACAAGGGAGGGCTGGTGATGACAGTAGAGGTAACTGTGAGTGAGGTGCAAGGAGGAGTAGGGCTGGGGGAGGCAGCTGGTCTGGGGACAGGGTGTCGATAGCGGTCCTGCAGGGTCCTATCGGTGGAAAAGGGACTGGGTGAAGGGTCTCTGCAGGAGGAACTCTGGTCCATGGGCAGGTCCTGGGTGCCACAGCCCTCCGGGGTGCTGGGTGAGTTGGAGTTGGAGGCTGGGCTGGGCTGCTGGTGAGAGGGTGCAGGGGGGTGGGATGAGATGGGGAGATGGGTGGGAGGGCCCGAGGTGGCATTAGAGGGTAGGGACCAGCGTTTGGAGCTGGGGCTGCCCTCGTCCTCTCGGCGGTCAGAGGAAGAGGAGGATGAAGATGCGACTGGCCCTCGATTGCTGAGGTGGGAGATGCGTGCTTTCTTGGGAGCCAAAGGATCGATGAAGTCAAAGTCTGGCTGGCGCTTCTGCAAGAAAACAACCAGAATTTAGCCAAAAAGAGCGACCACCATGACTATGTGCGTTTGTGTGTGTTTGTTCAGCTACCTGGGGGGATGTGGGGACACTGTCTTTGGGAGAACTGCTTGTTGAAACTGTCTCGGTAGGAAGACCTAATTTGCTATTTAAGAAAAAAAAAAAGAGGAAAGAGTGGTGTCAGTGGGAACCGCTGTAAGAGTCTAGAAAGAGCATATTATGGGTGAGCAGTGAAATCTAACTACACAAAGACCTGCTGCAGATACCATACTTTTAGTAAAGCAACTGTTTACAATTCCAAAGTGCTCACATACATAAGAAGTTATTATTTTCACAATCATCTACATTTTCCATCTGGCGGACAGTAGCTGCCACTTGACATGTGCCAACAAGGCAAATACTGCAAGCTGGCAAACGTGTACTTAAAAATTCAACAGTAATTAAAAAACAATGCGTTTCCCAAATGTTTTATTAGGTAGGAAGTGCATTTAAGACTGGTTGAGAGTTGTGTCAAACTATAAAGTTGTGTCTATCGTTTTTTGTCGCACTGTTTCACAGCCAGAAGGAGGGAATGTAAAAATAAAACCTATTGGGTTACAACATGAGCTTTTTAGAATTTACACATCCCTCCTGTACGATTATCAATGTCAGTTACAATGTGCTCCAAGCGTGGCAGGTTTTCAATGCACAAGAATAAAAAAATATCTCAAAACATTTGATCAATTGTTAAAACCAGTCCTGCAGCAAACTCCACTATTTCACTGTCTCTTCAGTATGTTCAGCAGTAAACTCAGTAAAAATTGTGTTCTCACTGACTATACGGTGGTTTTGTGAACAAAAGCTAAGTGCCTATACATAACTGCAGTTACACACTAAAACATACATATCCTTTACTGTTCCAGTATGCCTTTAAGCTCTGAGTGCAACTAAAAAAAATCTAATTCAGGACTTCTGATGGCCACTTTGTAGAAACATGTACCTCAAAACTGCTGAGGGTCTTTGCTCTGTGTTCTGCCCCTGCATTTCCTACTGACAATATCATTTTTTTTGCAAAATTACACGAAAAGATAATTTTAAAAAAACAAACTAATAAGTGGTTTCTGTACCGAGACAGGATCCGGTCAACCTGCGACTTCTCATCCTCAGAGTAGCCAGGCCAGTCCCGTTGGACATCACGGTATATAAATTCCTTCAGTGAGTATGTGTTGTCTTTGGGATTCAAGTTTGCCACCTGTTTTGCATTGAGACATACACACCAAGTTTCAAAATTAAACTATTACAGCACTAAAACTATACAAAACGTACAGAAACTTCACATTTCCTGTGTTGGCCAAACATCTGTGGATGCAAATACAGTTTGACAATTACATGAAACTTATGAATGAGACCTTCATACAACTAAAGGGAATTCCTGATTTTCATGCCTCAGTCTTCTGCTGAATAAAATTAGATCATCAATCATCAAATTAGATACTTAAAGGCGACTTCTTGTCATTTGTCAAATATCTAAAGATCAACTTTTACAAAATTGAAAGTTGTCACTAGGTAGTTTTTTCTTTTCTGAATAGCAGCGTATGTGCCCAGTGTCCCTTTAATTTGCCCTGTTCATATTCAAAAATCACATTATGGTGTTCAAGAAAAAAAAAGTTGCAAAAGAAATCCATGCAGTACCTGTTGCAGGGTGGTCCCCAATGAGTTTCGGTCCTTCTGATTGATACCATCCCGCTGCAAACGGGCAAGCACTTCCAACTTCTTGTAGGACCTCAGCGCCAGCAGGTGGATGATACGGTCCCGAAACGGCCGCTGGGATACGGGGTTATTGGAAAGGCACTTGCGAATAGTGTTGGCTGGGTTGATGGGTGTGGAGCGTTTGCGCTCTGGGACCACCTCTGGGTTTGACAGTGCAGGCTTACGAATATGCACTTGTTTTCCTAGAAACAGAGGGTAAAGACGTTACACCGCTTCTCCGCTGACAGGTTCCCCATCATAAATCATCCTGTCATTCTGACAGATAACTGCAGGAACTCTTCTGCTTATTATCATCGACCCACTTATTAAAGTCTATCTCAGTTGTACCTACATACATTACTGCCCATCCTCAACAATAACAACGGGAGTTTAAGGATATGTGGAGTCATATGCCACCCATCAATTTTATGGTACCAACCTCAAAAAAAAAAAAAAAGATAAATATGGCCACAAACATGCATGCTTGAAAAAAAAGCTTTCAGCATTTTTAACAGGAGAGTAAATGAGGCAGAACAAAGGAGCTCAAATGAAGCATACCAGGAACATCTGATTGACTGAGGAAGTTAAAATGGTAAAGGTAACACGAATTTCAGTGGAACCTTTGAAGCTGTATCTAAAGGTTACAGGAGGCATAGTTAGGAGTGGTTCCTCATATCTCATTTTACACATTCCAGACAGAAACTACCTGCTTTTATTGTGGCTGTTTTGTTTTGCTTTATTAGAGTTGAAGCAAGGCAGTCACAAGATGGAAGCCACCACTAAACTACATTGTACACTGATCTGTAGTTCTCTAACTAACTCAGAGTAGTTTGGAAAACTGCTCGAAAATGTTGAGGTGATTAAGATCCAAGACACTGTTCAGTATTGCTGAGCAATGTGCTTAACCAGGGAGCTTGCACTTTCCCTTATACCTCTTCATGGCCATTATGAAATTCTAAAGCTCTTTAAGAGATTAAGGTTAAAGAAAGGAAGAGAAAACTCCCCTCCTCCCTTCTTGTCAAAAAGCAGACTAGAAGCAATGTCAGCTCACACACTTTGCGTAACAGGCCAATGACAGATTGCAGCAGGTGAAAGCTTTTGCTATTTACTTCTTCAAAAATAATTCTGTACAGACCAAGAGTATAGTAATTTGCAATGTCAAATACCACTGCATTTGTAATGGCATGTATTGTATTGTTAATTGAAAAAAAAATAAAAAAATACTGACTACAAAAAATGATACTGATAAAAATACAAGTAACAGAACTAAAAAGAACACCTGTGAAAAAAAGAAACTAAAGGCCCCTTTTGCATTAGTAACTATGGTGCTCACTCCAAACCAGGTGCTGCGAGCTCCTGACCCACCCCTTTTCTCAGTAGTTCCTCTCGTTTCCCAGTTTCTATCTGGGCCAGTTTAGGCAAATCTATTCCCTGGGCCCAGAAAAACAGGCTTGAGGAGGTTTTAATTCACAAAGACAACATCTACATTAAGCCGTCTAAATCTGAAAATGCTGCTTTTGTGCAAAAATCATTTGCCCTAACATTTCCAGGTGGTTTGGTAGAGACCTCAACATTAAGAATGACTAAACCTCTTCTTCTTTGCCCTATTTATCAAAAAAGCAACATTAAAAATGCGTCACAATTTAAACCAAGAACTTAGTGGACTGAATCCTTATTTTATGGCTGGGACCTTGTCCAACAATATCAACATAAATACAAACTAACTGCTGTGTATCAATGGTTACACTGGTGTTTAAAATGTACAGAAAGTTGACTTCTTAGCTTTGCTGCCACTAACTCCCGGTCTGTGACTGCAGCTGGTTTCACTGCCAGTGTCAGCCTGTTAGACCTCCATTCAGCGTTCCCCAGCTGTCTGCAGTCACCTCTATTGTGTTTTAATGCAAGCAAACTCATGATATAGTCGCTCTCACTTCTGTTGTCAGACAACTGAACAAGTATGAAATGACTTAATTATGGGCTCATAATTGCTGCACATTAACAAGCAGTCAATCTAGAGGTACTGCACTGTGAATTTAAAATTCATATTTAATAACTCCAATATTCTCTGATTTAAGTGAGCAGGGTATTGAGAAAGCACTGTTGCACATTTAAAGGCAACTAAAGGTAGTTCCTGAAACACCAAGGCAGCATTTTCAGATTTAGATGCTGTGGTGATCATTTAGAAAAAGTTCCCTTTTGGGGGAAAAATAATACTGTTTAATTCTGGATAAACGACGAACATGGGGAGAAAAACATCCATTTCCTACTTTATGTAGCCTAATGTGGGAATTTGCTGAGTTTTGTGGATCAAGTGAGCCAAATGGTATGTTCATTTCTTCCCAATTTATGATATTGGAGCTTTACTGTATTACCTTCTTTTGACACTAATACAGCAGGATAAAAAAAATCATTCAGCCTTCGCTTCAGCGGTGTGTCTGAGCTCATCTTTCCTGTCCTGACCTGTGTCTGGAGTTGGTGATAAGTTTACGTCTTTGAGCCTGTATTTGTTTTGTAACTGGAACGTTACAGCATTAGTTTGTTCTGTTGGACATGCTTTGCCCTACTTTGCCCTAAGTTGGATAAGACACAAGAGTGAGAGTAGAGAAAGGGATGAGCTAAATTACATTACCAAAGACTATTATACCGGGTGTGGCACTGGAAGGAAATTTGTCGACATGCGTTTATGTTCATCAGGTGTTGGGAAACCATGAAAAGCCAGTTTTAAATTGTTGTGAAAGATAAGCGTTTACTACAATCAACACTGAAAATAATATGTATAATATGATACCTCAACTTTTTTATTTTTTAATTTTGCCAAACTGTAGGTAAATAGAACAGAAATAACTTCATCTGTGGCTTTTTGCCCTTATAGGTCACACTCCTAATCTGGAAAAAACTGAGACGGCAAAATGGCTTAGTCAGTCGCAATAATGGCTTTGAATAGAGCTAGGCTTGTCAGCTTTCACCTATTCAGGCTCTCCAAAAAGGCAGAGTTTGAAAAGAGAAGGGAGGTGTTGATAGGATGTAAAGCCGTGGTGATGGTGTGTCCAACCTGCCATCTGGCTGCGACGGTTGCAGATAAGCACGACTGCTATGACGGTCTTTACCTCTGTACTGACCACCAGGCTTGATGACTTTGGTCCCACGTTCACGTGTATCCTCCACGGCCTGGGTCATACGTTCCCGAGTCACCTGGTAGGAGTCATTGGTGGCACACACTGTGACCTTGTCCTGTACGGCTGCCAACAATGCCAGGTGTGAGGCCCCTGAGCTGGAGACAAAGAGGGAGTATATGAGAGAGAAATGTGAGGCAGAGGGGGATTACCTTCCAGCAAAGTGTGGTAAGACAGTAACAGTTGATTCAGCTGACCAGTGATTACCATTACCTCGACACATACTGATGGATGCACTCAAAGCTTCCCTGAGGATTGTCCTTGCCCACATTAGACAGGTAGAAATCAAAACTATGGAAGGTTTCTGAGGAGGAGTCAGTCTTGGGAATTTTAACACGCTGTAAAATAATTCACACAAAAATAAAGCGTAACACAATTTATACAAGCTATTTACATCTGAGTTTGATATGAACAACATGAATGCTAGCATCAGACAGAGAGGTCATGACAAGAAAAAGAGTTTTCGGACTTCTAAAAATCGCCTCCAATATATCACTAACTTTTTTTTTTAAAAGCCATATATATCTTATAACCATATATCGATATGGTTGAAGACAGGAATTCTCCTGACAAGTAAAAACACTAAAATTGTTATTTTTATTGAATTACACAGCATACTGTAA